GGACTGCCTCCGTAAACATAGGCCACACATCCACATGTACAAAAATCATGTCGACTTTGCCAAATTTCGATTTCCACATTTAGGCTTAGTTTGTAGGGTTTTTTTGCTTTTGAAGCATACTCACCCTCTTTATAGGCTAATCAGAAAGTGCTGCCTTTTTCAGATGTATATTTTTCGTGAAATTTCCAGATTCATTTTTACATGTTTGTGTATCAAAATTGCAACATGAAATTTCACAAAAATTAGACATCTGAAAAAGGCAGCACTTTCTGACTAGCCTATAAAGTGGGTGAGTATGCTTCTAAAGCAAAAAATCCTACAAACTAAGCCTAAATGTGAAAATCAAAATTTGGCAAAGTCGACACGATTTTTGTACATGTGGACGTGTGGCCTATGTTTACGGAGGCAGTCCAGTAAATAGGCCACATTTATGGGGCTATGAACATGCACAGTGACTTAGACATTTTTACCGTGATAAATGTTAGTCTGGTTCCACGCCAACATTGTCATTGTGACTTCGTATTCACGAGACGGACTCTGACCATTTTACAATTTCGGACTTTATTTCCCTTTAATTAAAAAAAATCCTCCAGAGCCAAGAATCAGCAAAAGAAAATGCGATACTCGGTAATTAAATGTTGGAATTCAAGTCAATTTAAAATAAATAAAAGGATATTTTTAATTGTTTGGGATGAAAAAAAAATGAAAATGTCGAGAGCTGGGAATCGAACCCTGCTGTGCTGGGGATCTGTCACTCATAAGATTCACATGCTATCCACTAGGCCACAGGTCTTGCACATGCACAAACAATGTTGGTAATTCAATACATTTTATAAAGTAGGCCTACTCTTATACGTGTCCAAAGGGGGCGCTGTATAATCTATCTGGCTAAATATCGTTCACTGAAAGAAAGCCAGCTCAATCTAGTCAGCAAATTAATTATACACTTCCTTCAAATGTCTATTTTATTTGTCTGCATGTCTCTTGAATGTTCAGTACTGAATGGTAGCTCTCACAAGTCTGCCATTGAAAACTGATCAGTTGCACTCTTGTTATTTACAGGTGGTTATCATGACAGTCAGACTCAGAGCCAATGAAGTGGATGCTGTCAAGAATGCTTATGTGAACCACACAAAGCTGATCTTCAACTAAAGGAATGCCCAACTTTCAAAGTCCTTGCCATTCGGTTTGTCATGGTTAAACTCTGTTCATTGAACTAATATGCTCTAGAACAAAGCTCCAGTAAAGTCTTTCGGGCCAACTTCTTAGGGCATGGAAATAATCTTATGAGTTATGTAGTTAAACTGAAATCTGAAATGAGTGATATGATTCCAAATACATTAACAAATGGACTCAATCTTCATGATGTTTAGACCTCGAGCACGTAGATGCTTGGAACTAATTAAGTCCAATTTTCAAATAATTTGAAAATAAGTTGCACAGTGAACCTAACCTAAACATTAGGTTAGTGCTCATAAAAGTAAATTTAAACTTCAACTACATTTAACAATTCACTTTGATAAATGAAATCAATATTTGTTTAGATTTAAGAATGTTCTGTGCCTATAACTAAGTCTTCCACTTGATTTTAAGTTAAGTTAGAAAGCATCAGCAGAACCATAGATGTAACAAAACCTAAGGACAAAACTCATAAAAGTCAAATTTAGCTTTAGATGTGAGGCAGCTCACTTGGGTGGCAATCCAGTTTTGACTACAATGTGGTAGCATTCAAGTATGCCAAAGTCATTTTTGTTTCCACTATTCTGTGTAAAACTGTGGACCCTTGCAGCATTTGTTAGGTCATTCAATCATCTGCATGCATCCATTGACAGACAGTCATATTAACCACTGGCACTGACACTGACGACATAAACCACCTAATTAACCACTAACCAGACCTGTCCAAATGTTGCAAGGACTGGGCAAATATTCCACGCTTCTTGGGAACTTGAGTTCACTTGCGCATTTTCTTCTTAGTTTTTCAAAGCTGGATTGCCAGTAAAAACAGTTCTTAGCATTTACACAATTTATTGAAAAGCAAACAATTCGAGTTAACTTTTACATTTGGCTGAAATAATGAGCACAAACAAGAAAGGAAATGAAAAAGCTTTAAACAAATTCTTTCAGAGCATAATCTAAAAAAAGGACATTTAAAAACAATCTTAATATTAAAAATGGACACATTTTTATAGTGAAATTAAATTGTATTCTCTATGAAAATGGTATAAATGATTAATAGCCAAACAATAAAGGAGGTGTTCATCTAAAAATGCAATTTAAAAACTACATTCATAAAAAGAAATGTTTAAAAGGATTAGTTAGTATAAGGCATAAACCTGAAAGACGTTTATTTTAAAACTATAATTACAAACATTGAACTCCTTTCTTTTTTGCCATAACCACATGATTTAAACATTGAGGTATATGACATTTACTCAAGTTGGCCCTTGACATACTTGGGACAATGTTCAGTACGGAGCAGTAACATGTGAGAGTCATTCTGGAGAAACTCTGAAAATCGCCTCCAATTATAAGTTGCCCCTGGATGAACTTTGGACATTAACAGTACAGGCAATACTGCTGCACATCTGACCAGTTTGGAACAAAGGATGGACATGACTGTTTTGTTGAGTATTGCCTTTCTCCAGTGCGGACTCGTTGCAAACTGCAACATAACTGGATACAATCGTCTTGGAAGCAAAACTGAATTGGAAGTTTGTTTGGATACTTGTTTTGAAGGACGATGCTTGTTTAGAAGGACGATGCTTGTTTAGAAGGACGATGCTTGTTTAGAAGGACGATGCGTGTTTGGAAGGACGATGCGTGTTTTGGAAGGACGATGCTTGTTTGGAAGGACGATGCGTGTTTGGAAGGACGATGCTTGTTTGGAAGGACGATGCGTGTTTGGAAGGACGATACTTGTTTGGAAGGACGATGCGTGTTTGGAAGGACGATGCTTGTTTGGAAGGACGATGCTTGTTTGGAAGGACGATGCATGTTTGGAAGGACGATGCTTGTTTGGAAGGACGATGCGTGTTTGGAAGGACGATGCGTGTTTGGAAGGACGATGCGTGTTTGGAAGGACGATGCGTGTTTGGAAGTACGATGCGTGTTTGGAAGGACGATGCTTGTTTGGAAGGACGATGCGTGTTTGGAAGGACGATGCGTGTTTGGAAGGACGATGCTTGTTTGGAAGGACGATGTGTGTTTGGAAGGACGATGCTTGTTTGGAAGGACGATGCTTGTTTGGAAGGACGATGCTTGTTTGGAAGGACGATGCTTGTTTGGAAGGACGATGCTTGTTTGGAAGGACCAACTGGAACTTTGAGGATCACTGCCTATTCTGATGTGGGAGACGTAGAATTCTGGTGACTTTCTGATGTTGGGACAAGTGGAATGATTCTGGTGACTTTCTGGTGACTTTCTGATGTTGGGAGAAGTGGAATTCGCCATCCTCGCTACCTGTGGATGCCTGTATCACTCGGAAACCTCGGAGGTAACCCCCCCCTAAAAAAAATCATTGTTAATCATCAGATACTTAAAAAGGATTTTGCTGATGCTATAGCAATGCATCATTTAACTAGCTTTGGGTTTGTTTCACAAATTAACACATGTTATGGGGCATGACACTATAGGTCATTCTAAAAACAGATTGGTTAAATAACCAATGTTGGTTAAAATGTATCCAACCAACCCGATTAGTTCAACACATAGTTAACAATTGTTGGTTAATTCAACCAATGTTTGGTTATGATAACCAATCTGTTTTTAGAGTGTAACAATGGCAGATATAATGAATCTGGTATTTTATAAATTTCAGCTTTTTATTATTTGACCAAAGGCAATACAAGGAAAATACTTCAAATTAAATGAACATTAATTTATATGCATTGATTTTCTGCAGACGTGAACATGCACAAGAGACCCCCGGATTGTGAAAGTGTACAGTTTGCAAGTGGAGTCATTCGATAGATTGTTCGGAATCATCGGCACAGGGGGACAAGGTTGCATGTAAACTGAGGTGAGGTAACCATTTTCTTTGCAGGGCCACATGCACTTGTCCCCCCCTCCCACTTGGATTGTGACCGTTTGCAAGTGGAGTCATTCGTTGGATTGTTCGGAATCATTGGCACACGGGGGACAAGGTTGCATGTTAACTGAGGTGAGGTAACCCTTTCCTTTGCAGCTCAAGGCCACATGCACTTGTTCCCCCCCGGATTGTGACAGTTTGCAAGTGGAGTCGTTCGTTTTGTTCAGAGTAAGTCAAACCACAATTCTTGTACTTTTTCATGTGCAAGCAAATTTGAATCTATCCTGATTCTATAAAGTTGAAGCAACTGCAGTACATTATTATGTTTTTAATATGTGAACCAATTAGCGCGGCAGTTTTTAGCAATTTTGTAATCAAATTTCTCAATAAAAACCCTCAAATTTGCTTGTACATGTATATGTTACTTGAACCATCCTGGAATAATTTCAGTTTAAACGATGTTTTGGTAATAAGCACAAAAGTCAATTTGTTTGTTAAGATTTTGTTGAAATAAAGGAAAATTGGGAGAAAACATTCTGCAATGCATTTATCAGCCTAAATTTTTAACAATTACTTTTTTTTTTTAAACAGACAACATTTTAGTTAATGTTTTACTTAAACAATAAGAATGTCCAGGGTGGTTGAAATATGTGTTTGTGATGTACTGGTTGGTGGTGGGTGTGTGCTTGTTATTGTGTGGGGTGTAGGTGGTGGTTTGTGTGGGGTGTAGGTGGTGGTTTCTCCACAGGTGCTTCGGTTGAGGTGCGGGGTAAACCCAGTTAATCGGAGTTGGACTGGTTTCCGATTGAGGTGCGGGGTAAACCCAGTTAATCGGAGTTGGACTGGTTCTTCGATTGAGGTGCGGGGTAAACCCAGTTAATCGGGGTTGGACTGGTTCTTCGATTGAGGTGCGGGGTAAACCCAGTTAATCGGGGATGGACTGGTTCTCCGGTTGGTGCGAGGCAAACCCAGTTTCAAGGGACGGGTTGCGTCCGCGTGAATGCTCCGGCATCCACGTGGGGCGTGGGTCCTACGCAGCGGCCTGGAAACCCTAGGATGCCGTGCCATAAAGGAGCAGGTAGTGCGTCCCTCTTTATAGGGGCGTGGCCCTGTATTCACAGCCGGCAAACGCTGCTACTTCCTATCAGACCGCATGAACCCGTAATGGGGGATGGACTTAGGGGGGCACGCATATAGGTTAGGGTACTCTCCTGATCCTTCGGGGTTGGGGGGCGTACCGGACAGTCGGCAACTGTGCATGGCCCTCCGGGGCCGGCCTTTTGCCCAGCAATGGACCTGACGATACTGAAAGCGTGTTTGGGGCTGGTATCCTGGAACCTTCACGTGGTGGCCCTGTTTAAACCAATCTTACCAGGATGTGCTTCCAGAAGGGTTACATCTACAAACAAGGTAAGATTTTAAGAAGGAATGACTTTTTGAAGAAATGTGAAATTCAATTAGCAACTTTTGAAAAATGAATTCTCAACAAACATCATAATTATTGCCGATCAGTCAAAATGGACTTCAATTTTAGACCCCCAAAAAACATTCCATTTGTTTCTGGGATTATTATGTTTTCCATCAAGTAAACCAAAGCATTCTGTTGGAGAAAGATTTTAAAACCTTTTCTTACAATGGAAAACAATCTTCAGAGTGGGTCAACAAAGGCCTTTTTTTGAAATTGAAATTGATTCCACCTCTCAAAATTTCACTCCAGTTTTAACTCGGCATTCTGAATCTATAGCTTAAAAATTCTGGGCACGCTGAATAAAGAGAACAAATAAGTAAAACAACACAAATAAAATTGCTTTTGTGTTTATAATTGGAAATACAAAATTTGTGGACAAGATTTGTGTGCAAAATGTACTTTGAAAACTTGACCACTTGAATGATTGTTTTGTTTTTGATAACACTGCAAGGTACAAGGTATAGATGAGAAGCTTACTGGAGAGAAGTGGGAAAGTAGCGATGAACCAACGACTTCAGGGAAACCCGATCGTCCAATCCAAGGTGAGCATCTGATTGCAACTGATCCATTATAGACAGCAAAAGGAATGGAGAAACATCTTCAAACGGGCTGAAATTACGATTGGACATTTGTCCGTGAACAAATCAAATTCTGTACTTTGAAGTGCATTCTAAAATAATGGCTTTTGATGCTCTGCATGAGACGGTTTACAATATATTTTGTCGGGTCAGTCTGTTTAAAAATGCATCAGCAAATTAAACTTTTTCTAAACTGAACAGTTTCCAGTTTAATTGATTAATTTGAAAAGGAAATTCACCAATTTGCCACTGGATAATGTTGTTTTGCAAGTTATTTTGTTATTGCAGTTTACCCCCCCCCCCCCCCCCCCACTGGAGATGAGAGGCTGTAGAGGAATTTGTTGTGGTGACAATGGATCATTCTAATCAAAGGTGAGCAAAACATCTGACTGAAGATGATCAATTCAAGACAGCAAAGGGAACGGATAAACCTAAGAAAAGGTTCAAATTATGATTGCACATTTGCCAATTCAGAGGTCCTTGTCAGAGCAAAAATACATGCTCAAGTCAGATTTTGTATTTTTGATATGCTTGTCAATTCGGGAAGGAATTTATTTTCGACGTAATCGATGGCTCAAAATTGGTTTTTGCAGTGCATTTTGGCAAATTTATTTAAATTACCTCATTTGTCATGAATTACGTTTTCTGGTCATTCTCAGCCCTGATCATTTTTTTCTTAGGATTTAAAACATGAATTTCTTGTTTTTCTTTCCTCCTTTCCTGATAGTCAGTATGGGCTCTGAGAAACACGCAGGAGACAAGATCTGCCGCAGTCATTGTTAGCAAGAACTACCAGTTTAATAAGGTCTCTGATTTTGCACTTGTGCTTTGAAATCAAGTAGCAATTGTAGTTGACTTCCAAGGTAGAGAGTAGACTCTCTGCTGTTGTCACAAAGATTTACACATGTGTATTTGAAGGACAGTTTTGCAAGTTGTAAACATATTTTTCAAACTACGAATGATTCACTGATTGTGCATATGCCCCGAAAGTGTCCACTGGTTCCACCTCAGAAATTGCTTTCAAATGTGGTCATCCAATTATAGTCTCCATAATCTCTTGAGATCAATTCAAGTCTGCATGTCCTCTTGATAGTAACTACAACATTGATGTCTTATTTGTGATGAATTCAAAATCTTCTTTGTAGTTGAGATGTCCTGAAATTCTGAAATTATCTGATGATCCACTATGAGCCCTGTCTGATAAACACTATTCTAAGACCCCACTGTTCTCAATCCAATTCAAGTTGACTTGACTCTGATATGCCTTTTTGTTTCTATCTCACATCTTCCTCTGCAGGTGGACCACACAGACAGCCCGATAGCCTTGCAGAGGAGAGCGTTTCTCACGAGTGGATTTACAACTGACTGACCAATCAACCTTCATCGGAACTTTTTGAAGTAGTGGTGGTGGGAAAGCGGTGGTGGGAAAGCTAGGTTTTCAGGTTTGAAATGATATGTTGTTCTAGGTTATGACTGATTAAATATTTGGTATTTTGTAAATATTGTAATTTTTTTTAACTATGCAAACACATAAAATTGTGATATTTTCTCCAAGATGTTTGATACTTGTGTAATGGCAAAAAAAATGGCTCATTAAGAAAAAATCCTGGTTGAAGTGATTGTCACGATATAGTTTTAGAAACTGGGACAAAGAAGAAAAGGAATCAAGGAAACCAAATAGACTTCTCAAAATTTTGATTTAGTCTGATAAAAAAGGACATCTTACACACACACACACACAAAACAACTTGTATCCTTAAATAAACAATAGTCTTCTTAAAATGCTTGAAAGAAATCTCAATCTTGATCAAACAATGAATAAAAAACTCAAAAGAAATTTGCTAAGGAAAAATCAAACTTTGCCAAGGATAAAAATAATAAACAGTTGGATACAATTTTAGGAAAATAAGAGAAAAACTAGGGTATGAAGAAATGGACAGCAGTAAAAAAGTAAAAAGCCACGAAGCATTATTGGAAAATGACTGTAAAAGCACAGCAATGATCTACAAACCAATGACTCCACTAGCAGACAAACCCAAGCAGGAAACAACTCCAGTTAGGAGGAACTTGGAATGAAATACTGTGAACTATAAATTTTTCTATTTTCAAATAATTTAGTATTTGATTATTTCAAAACTGCACTTAACTGAATGTTTGAATATTAGAAACTTGCCGATCAAGTGTGACACACGCAAGCTGCAGCTGCCTTCCTAGCTGGTCAACAATTGCATATAAAGCATGCTGGTTACAAATGACATGCGTTGATGGTATTGTCTCCTTTTCTTTGTCTGTGGCATCCATAGGGAGGTTGCTGACAGCCAGGTGATGACCAGCATCTTTCACCAGTAGTCTCTTGGTCTTCCACTGCATCTCCAATTTCTTGCCACCACAGACGGATGTTTCAGTGAAGTAGTTTTGCTCCAACCTCTCTGCCATCTGCCATGTGATGGGCGCTAGAGCACATCCCGTTGAGGAAGTCGGTAGCTAGGGGTGGAGGAGCAAAGTTCAAGTTAACAACGCTGATGTTTAATGGTAGCTACTAGAGATCCTGGATGCTGACTCTGCCTAGGTAGGTGATGTTGAATACGATAGAAATCACTAGGGAAAAGTTCTATATGAACAGCATGTGAAGTGACAGTCTCTAAACAGGGAAGTGGTTCTGAAGATTTGAAGATTTAGTCGGTGATCTGTGACTGTCATCAGGAGAATGCCTCAACCTAAAGACAGGTGATCATTTAACAGGTGTGGGGCAGATCCAGTGTGGATCAATAAAACATGATGTGATAATACAGCCAGCTTAGGGTTGCATTATATTAGGAATAAATGACCCACAAGTCTTGGAACTATTGATAATCAATAACATGTGGAAATTACCCTGTAATACCTTCTGATCAGCATAAACCAGAAGAGCGATCACGCAGCAACTTGGAAAAAAATCGATGCGTGCCGGTTTTTGTACGGTCCCTACATACATTGATATTTAATTTCAATTTTGCTTTTTATTTTCAATTCAAGGTTTCCACAATGCCTGGACCTAAAAGTGCTGAAATGCCCTGAAACTGCCCATCAAACATCAGGTAGGTCAACACCATTGTCACAAACTCACAGGCACGCGCTGTGTAGTGTCAATTCCTGAAAAACTACATAGTCAATAATTTCGGTTTCACGAGCGCACTTCGTACACTGACGCGTAATACAATAATTTCGGTTTTCACTAACTGAAGTGCAACCATGTACATGTAGCAGAAAAACAATTAGGAGAAAAATGCTTTGAAAGGTTTGACATGAATTTACTCCATCCGTATACTTTTGGGCTTAAACAAAAATTTATTTAAAAACCATTTTACTTGTGAAATTAAAATACACTCGCGTGCTGGGCACTCACGCACAACTGAATGTCGATTCATGGTGTCTGTGACATTTTTGTAAGATATGGAGGTTCAATGTTTTTTTCAGAACTTAATTACTAGTAAATTTACAGAATAAAATCAATGGTTGACTTCACATCCCTGCCTGCATCAGTGATCAATTGCATAAACTTTATTCAAAGTGGTTGTTACATCAACTATTTACTTGAAATATCAGTAGAGGTTTTAGGCACCATTAATGGATCAGATCCCTTCTTGAACATTGTAGTAACCAAGTTGTTGTTAGTGCACCTTCTTCAGACATCTCTGTGAACAAGTCCACTCATTATGTAACTTTCCATTCTGTGTATGTGTGTAATTATCTTGTTTGTTTACCATTTCACTTGCTTCATAAAGTCAGGTATTTGTTCCGGATAATAAAACTGAAAACGGTTTCAGCAAGTGTATACTCAGTGACATGCAACCAACCGAGTCACTGGAGATCGCTTGAAGTAGATTGCATGCAAGTTGTTTCTTCAGTCAAAATGTCCTACTTGTGATAGCGTCAAAATCTAACAGTGGGCTGAACTTGCAGACAGAATAATGGATGTTGCTGCTCCACAGCAGTCAGTCAGGGTCAACTCAGTCGCATCTACATGCACCTCTGCATCACTGACAGAAGTGCAACTTCTTCACACAGAAAAGCCAGCTGTCATTGCAAATACAAATATTGTCCGCAGGACGTCATCGTTCTTGCAGTCATTCAAGCAATCAACCACGCTCCCTGTGATGGTAAAACATCTGAGGGTCTTGGACCTGGATGACGGAGAACAACTCTGGAGACAAGCTGCTGGAGAAGAATCACTACACGGCCAATCTCCAACACTCCGCGAAGGAACACTCATCAGACGCCCCTTGGGGCAGCAGTAAGGTGGATAAGGGAGGATTCTGGCTCTGGCCCAACACTCTGTGGATGCATGCTTGAGAACCCCTCAGGGTAACCGTATCACAGATGAGGGTTTGGGGAAGTGACCGGGAAAGTACCCAACACTCCGTGGAGGAATGCTCAGGAACCTTAGGGCGACCATAACATGGACAAGGGCCAGGCCAACGCCTGTACGTGGTACTCAAGATCATTCCTACGGCTTTTGGACTCCATCGTTACAGACACGGCTCCATTTCAAATCCACAGCCTCCAAGATCTTCAGACAATGAGACCAATCTTTTCCTATCTTGTCACTGGAATTGTGTCATGTGTTGGGAGAGCTACCACTTGCAGCAGACGCTGACACATCACCAGCAGTACATTCTCTAGTTTCCTTTCACCTTGTATGTTTATCAGTGGGAGTTTGACTCAGACAGGCTAGCTGTTTCCAACCACTACCAAACTCACAAGTCCAGTGGGTCTGTTTCACCGATTGTCCGGGCTCTGCGGCCTCATGACACACCTTCCAAGCCTGTGGATACAACGCTCCCACCCATGGCTTGGTTGGTCAATTAATTACGACTGTACTGACATCAGCCTAACACTTTGTCTGCCAGGAGCACGAATCAGGGACTTCCCAGCCGGGACTGGGATCAAGTGAGATCTGGCCATTTCCCAACACTCCACGGATGAATGCTGGAGTTCCCTGCGGGGTTCTTCTAGCGTGGATGAGAGAGTTGCTCTGGTGCTCCAACACTCTGTTTGGGGCCCTTCTGTTTTTCATAACACAGATGAGGGTATGTACATGTATGTGCTGGGGGAGCAACCGAATCCATGTGACTGATGTGCGGCGCTGGAATTCCATCACAGCTAGGTGAGGGAGCAGGCCGGGTTGCTTTTGGACATGGCCTGCAAGCTGCGGCTTACCTTCAGACCAATGAAGTGTGTCACTCTGTCCCTGGAGTGTCGCAGAGGTCGGTGAGTGCTTCCCTCAGTCTACAAAGTGCAAGGTAGCGATATTCCAGCACTGACTGAGGAATTACATCGTTACTGTCACGTCCGTATCGGGTAGCAGAAGTAACAAGAACCTTGAGGCAGTGGTGGCCAAGATGACAGAAGATCTGGGCAAGGTGGAGTCCTCTCTCCTGGCTTTCTGGCAAACGCTGGACGCACTACAAACTGCCATTGAATAGTGCACCTTGTATGTGTTGCTTGACAGCAATTGCCAGAAGAAAAGTCTAAAGTGGCTAAGGGATGAGGTGGTGAGGTTGGTGCGGAAAGTTTGCATCCTTCCGACGAGGACCGCCACCAATGACATCTTTGCAGACAGAATGGTGGGCGGTCTGGGTCTGACGGATCCCATCAAGGATGCTGCAGTCAAACAGTCACGCAAGCTGTTTGAATTTCCTCTTTACCTGGCAATACCGGTTGTAGTGTCTCCACCATGCAGCTGACTTCTGTCGTCTGCCGCACCATTCAGTTCATGAGTGGGTCTACGGAGGGGGACCTGGCCAACTTCAGCTTGAGCGGGCAGATCTGTACCCTCTGGTCCCAGGCTATTATGGTGGTTGGCCTGTTGCGTATCTCTTTCAGTGGCTGCTGTTATGGCTCAGTAGTCACACGTACGGACAAGGGGAAGGAGATACTCTCCAAGAGCATTACCACGGTTCTGCGGGCCGCCGCCCGAGAGTTTTACTCTGGTAAATTTCTCTTGTTGACAACCGATCGCAGCTGGTAATTTGAATCAGCCCTCTTTGGCACCCTCACTTACTTGGCTGCAAACACGTACACACCACTACCTGTCATTCAGAGCATGGTCCAACGATTACAATGCCAACTCAAGCTCTGTGATGAACACTCAAATTGCTCTGTAACTTTCCATTCTGTGTGCTCATGTGTATGAAATGTGTATCGTTTTTCTTGCCTCTAAAAGTCAGTTATTTGTTTCGGATAATAATAACCAATGTCTACAGCCTCACAAGTAATTTAATCTATAATAACTAATCTATGTTTCATTTTTGTGCACAGTCTTTGATAAGACAGGACCTGAGTAACCTGAGTAAGACATCAGACGCCTGTTATCAGAACCACAAGAAGAGGAACGCATGTGTTTCAGGTGAGCTAAGAACTTGTTCAATATACTTGAGTACTTGCTTTTGCAACAATGTTTATGTGAATTATGGGTTGATGATAAATTCATACTAAAATTTTGCTGTAGATGTGAACACAAAGGAAGCTAAAATTCTAAATTTTATCTTCAAAACTCCTCCCTACCTATAGTCGATCTCCCAAATTAGTGGAGCCTCAAAAGCTACAAAAGCCTGCAAAAAAGTAATCATAAACTGCATGTATACAAGTATGCTATTTATATTCAATTTTCCTTTTTAAATTTTTTTTTCAACTTGAATTTCAGGTTTTCCTGCTCTTACCAAGAAGATGTTGCTCTTGATGCTGGAATGCCCTGAAACTGCACCACTTTGTGATGACATCAAACATCAGAGAAACTACATCCAAGGTGCCTTGGGCCTATTTAGAACGTACTAGGCTGTTAAATGAGAAAAAAAGGTTATATGGGCAATTCCATGCTGGTGGAGACACAAGACCAAACAATTATTTTATGGTTTGCTCAAGTTTGATTTGCTGAAGTGACACAATATATCTTGGCGTTTTTAAAACTGAAATAGTTTCGTCCCATGCGCGCACTATTTTGTGAGTTACGGTACACCATCACATCAAAGTCTGCAATGACGTCATGATAACTTATGGATGCACTGGTAAGGAATTTTGAATTAGTCTTTTGCTATCTATTGAGTAATATTTTCTCTCAATTTTTTATGTTAACCATTTTTTAGGGTGTCTTTGTGAAAATGGATATTATTTCTATTAGTTGTTGATTTTAGTCAGATTTTGCTTGTAAAATGCGATACATATTTAATAATTTATAAGTCACTAAAACATATTTGTCTTATTTGTAAATACCTACATTTTCTGACCAATGAATTATTCCGTTAAAAGTTTTTAAGCTTGAGTTCTGAGAAGTACATGTATATTTAAAAAATAGAATTTTGTTACATTTTTGTTTTATGCTTAGACCAGCCGTGAAATAGTGTAATGTCGGCCACATGTAATGCCATGCAGTCACAATCTCTTAGCGTAACGTAGTGTCAGTCACATTTTTGCACAGTCCGTAGTTGAGGAAAATGCAAGTACACATGTTATTGAAGTCCATACACATACAAGTAGTCAACTCTTTGAACCAAAATGCAACTGAGTGCCAAGCCACTTTCTGAGCAACATATATATTTTCCACAAAACAAGTCTTTTTTAAAATTTATTTTGGACATCTGTAACCCTTTGATAAAATGAAAAATATATTTGTTTTGCTTTTGGGCACAAGTAGTCTATCATTGTCCATTCTGATGGGGTGGGGTGGGGCAAGTCTTCCCTGTGAGAACTGAATTATTGTTTGACACCAAATAGTTTGATTTTCATAATACCCTATTTATTACTTAACATTGGCTAACTTATTTCATTTGTTTTGTTGTTGGTTCATTGGATAACTTTGGTATTGCTAGAAAAACAGCAAATAAAATTGTATCAATGTAAACTTCATACAACATGAATAATTCTGTTTAGTATTTCATTTTTTTCAGGAAAGATAAACACCCAAGTTGCAACTTACAGCAGCAGAGAGAAAGACACAGCAGAAACAAAACTTGGAAGAAAAGGATTGTATGAAGACCACAAGAGGAACAAATGAAAGAGGAATAGACAGAAAAGAACAGAACATGAGGAGTTTCATAAAGTGAGCAGGAATAAAACTATGAGAAAAGTAGTTAGAATTGAGCATGGAATTTGTTAAACATGTTGAGACCTCAAAATTTTTAGTAACACAGAAAATATGATGCAAGTCTATTTACACAGTTTTTATTGGAGACAACTTTAATATTATTACGGTCGCTTTGCAAAATTTCTTACTTAATTAGCTTTATGATCAGTTACTTTTTGGTGTTGATTGTATATACATGTTTTTTATTACATTTTTGTTTTTCATAAATTCTAAAACTCTCCGAGTTTGGATATTGAAAAATTATTTTGTTCTTTCATACAGTCACTGTTGGAAATTATAAAGAAAATAAAACTTGACCTGAACAGAAACTATTCAATACACAGTGTCTCATTTCTCAATTATTATGATTATAAAAACTTTCATTTTACATCTTTGTACATGTGTAAAGTGTTATACTGGCTATAAATTATATGAAAGATAAAATATGACATCCATTGGCCTTTAACATAAGAGAAATTTCAAATTTGATCTATCATTTGTTTCCTGTGTTGTTTTTTATGTAATGTCGGTCACAATAAAGAAAGAGTTCTGTAAGCGAAGGACAGAAAAGATCAATGCGTCTACAGGTTGGAAAATGTAAAGACACTTCATCCCCCCAAAAATGATGCGTATTGGAATTATATGATGCGGCTGATTAGTGAACGCAAACATAATGACGTGTTCAAATTTCCGTTTTCGGCATGGCGTCCCTGCGTAAACCTATTGAGAAAATCGTGTTATAATTTCTTGTCACAAAAATGCTCAAAGTTCACCTTAAACCTTGAAAAATTCACTCTTTTACTTCTAATTGCAATCAGACGTTATGTCTCGTACATAAAATTAAGAATGAGAGGTGGTTATCATTTTTCTTTAAGAGAAAAATTTGAATAAAACCGTATGCCACTTAATCGATTAGCGTACGAGAAGAATTGAAGTGATGGCGTCACGCATAAAATTGTTCTGAATCGTGATACTGATGTGAATTTGAAACCTGCCGAAACTCTCTAATGTCTGTCACCATGGAATTGCCCGTATACTTGCTAAAGCTGTAGATTTTCTGGTTTTGCCCAATTAGTTACTTGGCATTATTGTATTTTTGTTCATTTGTGTAGTTATCATTTGTTTAAATTTAAAATTGAGATTTTTGTTTGTATATCAATGAGAGAAAGTTAAAAAATGTTGTACATAGTTGTGCACCCTAGTTGTGGTAAATAAAAATTAGTCTCAATGAGGAGCGCCCTCTATTGCCCATGAATTGCTAATGACTGTTTAATGAATGAATTAATGTATAATAATAATGAAATAATAATGGAATTTCGTAGCGCCAAATCCATTTGAAAAGTGCTCCCTGGCGCTTTACAATCAAACTATTTATATGAATAAAAGAAATATAAATACAATTTTACTAATGTGATTATTTAATACTCAAAGTGTATGATCCACACCAACAATTGGTTTAAACATGATGAATAGGAGTGCTTTGTTACAAGGTGTAAGATATGGTTGACATGAATGAAATCAAGCCAGATCTGTGTAAAAGATGTTATCAAACAAAGTTAAACATTAGTTACTTCTTTGCAATATACAATTGAAACTGTCTTTTTAGTAAAGTGACATTTTGAAACTACATTCCTAATAGAAAAAAGTTCTGGGAGGAAAAATCCATGTTTTAAGGAAACAAAATCCATAAATATTTGCTTTTTGAAATTTATGGAAAGAAAAGGGAAATGGAAAGTGTTTTTGAATAATTTGAGCATTCTATTGAATTGGCATAAAAATCTAGCCAGATAGACACAGTTAAAATATTTGGTCTATAGAGGGCAGTATGCATATATTATCTGTAACATGTTTGTAAATCAATGTTTAACTTATTTAAATTTAGTTGTAAAAGCAATTTTTCCTGAAATAAGGCGTTACTGTATTGGAACTGGTATTGTTTTTTTTTTGAAGTGGTTAAAACATTTCAGATTTTGAAAAATATAGTATAAGATTTGAGGCAAAAATCACTGACAAATCGAGATTACCAAATTTAAAAACTCCATTTCCACATTCAAACAAAAGTTTGGCCTTTTATAGTTAAAAACAACTTTGTGCGCCCCCCCCCCAAGAATAAAATTTGAACAAATTTAACGTAGGACTTGCTATTTAAATATTGAGCATTAACAAATTAGGTAAATTAATGGACATTTATTAAACACAATTTTGTTTCTTGTTAAATACATGTACGCATAGTTTACAAACTGTAATATTAATTATCAAACAAAGTTAAACATTAGTTACTTCTTTGCAATATACAATTGAAACTGTCTTTTTAGTAAAGTGACATTTTGAAACTACATTCCTAATAGAAAAAAGTTCTGGGAGGAAAAATCCATGTTTTAAGGAAACAAAATCCATAAATATTTGCTTTTTGAAATTTATGGAAAGAAAAGGGAAATGGAAAGTGTTTTTGAATAATTTGAGCATTCTATTGAATTGGCATAAAAATCTAGCCAGATAGACACAGTTAAAATATTTGGTCTATAGAGGGCAGTATGCATATATTATCTGTAACATGTTTGTAAATCAATGTTTAACTTATTTAAATTTAGTTGTAAAAGCAATTTTTCCTGAAATAAGGCGTTACTGTATTGGAACTGGTATTGTTTTTTTTTTGAAGTGGTTAAAACATTTCAGATTTTGAAAAATATAGTATAAGATTTGAGGCAAAAATCACTGACAAATCGAGATTACCAAATTTAAAAACTCCATTTCCACATTCAAACAAAAGTTTGGCCTTTTATAGTTAAAAACAACTTTGTGCGCCCCCCCCCCCAAGAATAAAATTTGAACAAATTTAACGTAGGACTTGCTATTTAAATATTGAGCATTAACAAATTAGGTAAATTAATGGACATTTATTAAACACAATTTTGTTTCTTGTTAAATACATGTACGCATAGTTTACAAACTGTAATATTAACTTTTAAAAAAAAGTGTGAAATAGGTTTGTAAAAAGTGTACATAATGGCCAACAATAGAAAGTATATGGAATAAATGGCTAAATTTGAGAATCAGAATTTTGGATCTGTTGTTTCCTTCTGAATATTCAGTTTTCTGCTTTTTATTATTCAATTATTCAAATGAGCCCAGGCGGCCATTTTTTTTCTTTTTTTTAATATTGCGCAATCTAACCTTTAAATATAAGTTCCGAGAACAAATTTTCGAAGAGGCCAGTGGCCTGGTGGTCTAGCTCGCTGACCGCCAGGCGCCGGGTCCCCGGTTCAAAACCCAGCCGGGGACCCGGGAGGAGAATTTTTCCTCACAGCAGTGATAAAATTTAAAAAATAAATAAAATAGTAGCATGGAGCAGGGTTGAACCGCGTACCTTCTGCATGCCAGCTCTCTTTTTTCCCGCTCTGCCATGGCACTTTCTTGAAAAAATCTCCGGTTATCGTAATTAAAACCCTTAGGTTGTTGGACTTAGACAATTTTTCAGCTTTGGCCAGAATTTCAGAAATCAAGGGGTACCCCTTGAAATTTTTTCAGATCTGAGGGTCTGAGGCTGGGAGGTTGAAAAGTTGGGAGCTGAAGGGGTTTGGAGCTGGAGGGTAGGCTTTGGGACTTTGGGCTGACTGGTTGATGGTTGAGAGGGAACTGGACTATTAGTTGAAGGGCTTCCTGACTGATAGGTCTGCAAGTTGATGGGACTAGGGAGAGTCTTGGGGATTTTTGGACTTAGAGTTTATTTGGCTGGACTTAGATTTGGGAACATAATTTCCTCATATTAGTTGGACTAAATTTTTGACTGAATTTTCAGACTTCTTTTTTGAAGCCCTACCCTGTCTTGTAAGTTAAGATCTGTCTTCGCAGCCAAACATCAGTCAGACTGGTAGTTAGCCTTTTCCTTTTTTTGAGATTGCTGAACTTGTTGAAGCCTGCTAGAGACCACATAAGACTGCTGGAATGCTGGTTACCAGTGGTGTGTGAGGTGGAGGTAGACTTCTTAGCCTGAGGGTCTCAATGCAACCTGGTTGAAGGGCCTTCCTCACTTGACCGTGTAGTGTGCCGTCAAAATGGGTTTTCATGCTTCAATGATTTTGTATGGCTTATCTTACTCTCTTGTCAAGATGTTTAGAGGTCACATGATAGTCTGGTGCCGGTGAAAATTTCAGGATTTTTAAACAGGAGTAATTTTTACACTTAATTTTTAGAGGTATGCCTAAATGTTTGCAAATCTTAGATTTGTTTCTCAGTGCAACAGTATAATGCAAAGTTTCTACGGCTTTGATTATATTTTACATTAGTACTTTTCTAAATGTTTAATCATTTTTTAATTGTTACACGATTCCTCTTGAAATTTTATGGAGTTCTTAATTGAAGACTTTACTTTATGAACGATCGATGGACACATTTTTAATTAAGCTCAGCATATATTTCCAGAATTGTTGTCCAGACAAATTTGTTGTTCTTGTTGCGTATTACGAATATTTTTCATTCCGATTTAAACTTTCACGCAGAACACACTTCGTTATTTTTGTTATATTAATTGAATTAATTTGCTCTTGAAATTAAACAGACATCGTCTCAAAAACCAGTGTTTGGGTTTTTTTGGGACTTTTTTTTGCATTATTTTGCATTGCCATTTTCTCGCTAGAAACAGTTTGTTTTAGTTACATTAACTGTATTGTTTGATATTCCTGTTAAAATTTGTCAGGCTTCACAAAAATGTCATGATGAGTTTATAACGGAGGAAATTTCACTTTAATACAATGGGTATTTCTCATGATATTCTCCAGTCAACGAGAATGTTCTGTTTCATTAGGTCGAGTAAAAAAAAAAGGTTTCTCTTCCGGGTTTTTGAAAAAAAGGAGGAAGCGGGACTTTTTTATTTGTTTCAAGATGGCTGCCATTTAAAAATTTCCTGCAACCGTTGGTGTTTCCACTGTTGAAAGACACTTTTAAAATGAAAGATAAGTTAGACAAGTGAAATGAACATATTAACAGTGTCATTTAGACTTGTATTGGTCTACAATTTATTTTCCGATGAATTTGTGGACTTTTTTGGTGTTTTTTTATATGCATTTTTCAAAAATAAAAAATAATAAAAAAATTCAGGCGACCTCCAAAAAGAAAGCAGGCGGGGACGAGAAACTTTTTTTTTTTTACTTTGCCTTAATGGTTGATTTAATTCGCATTTTACTTGTTTTCCTGCTGAATTAACACACTCTACAATATAAAATTTGACAATTCCTCTCCAAATTTGGGCTTTTTAAGACGTCAAATTTTCAAATTTTCGTGACGGGCATCGGCTGCGCTGTATTTTGGAGACATTCCAAGCAACAGGAGCGCATGTTTAGAACATTTTGCACACTACGCGCACATGGCGTTAAACACGCAGTTGTAATTTTCCTACAAAGATGGCGTCCTATGAGAGAGATCTATTGGAGAATCCGGGCCTCATCATCACAACCAACCAACAAACAAAATTTCAATTGACTTGCATTCTGATTGTACTTTTTCCACTGAACACACTCCATTGTGTTTGTTTTATTGTTGCAAGAAAAACTATTGCAATAAATTGTTACGCACTCCCTGTTATTCTAGATTTGTATCTGCACATGTGCACTTAATCAGGCCATAGAGCTATAGTAAATTATTAGAGAGCTTATTCATATATGAATAGGATGAAGCTTGCTGGGCGCATGCATCCATGTTTGTGCTTAAGTCATCAGAAATTAGCTTAAATGTTGTATGTTTATACATTTCAAAGCTGTTATTACAACTTTCATTTCATTCTGTGCTTTCACACTAATGCGCTGCATAGATTTTTGCATTTTTTCACTGTAGATCACGTGCCTGCTCAGCCGTATATCTGTTATATTTTGGCAACACATTAAGCGCACAAAAATTCAAAAGAATTGATGTCATATTGGCGACGTGACTTGCACATTGATCTCGCTACATGTACATTCTTCAAGCACTGTGTTGAGCTCAGACAACTTTGAAGTGTGCAAGGGAATGAGGAGTAAACGCTCTCATAATTTACTACAGCTCTATGGAATGGACATTTTAACTGATAAACTACTATTGAGGCGACAGAGGTCAAAGGTCACCCAGGTTCACTGACCTTTAATGTTGTAATGTACATGTCAACAAAACATATTTTCAACTGACAGTTTCCAAGATTGGTTTCAATTAACTTCAAATTTTTAACATTAATAGCCTATCATCTTTTTACAAACAAAATTAAGCCAACAAAAAGGCAAAGGATTTTTCAATTGTTTTACAGTAAGGCCAAAAAATAAATACTCAGTCTCTGGTCAGACCAAAGTTCCCGAATTGATGCGGCGACGCGGCTTTTTTTTTTCAAGCTTTGATTGTACAGACAAGGTGGGGTACTATTTTTCCTTTTTTTTGGTGTCCTCATGTACATTGGTGTCCTCCATAATTTGCTTTGGTGCCCTCGAGCATTTGCCTTGGTGTGGCAATAGAGGGCGCTGTTGGAGCTACCGCGGAACATTTTGGAAAAAAAAAGATTGACGCGCATGATTAAAATCGACACGCGCACTGAACAGAGTCCGACTATTTTTTTTTTGGCCTAACATACATGTAAATAAAGTTAAATACAAACTACTCACAGTTTACAATCATCTTCAATTTCACAGAATTGATACAATTTTTTGTATTCCAAGGCGTAATTATTTCCTTTTCATTCTTTTCTCGTAATTACGTCATCAGCTGCAGGTAAGGCAACAAACCCACAGACATATAAATGCATAGACCGCTAGGTCCCATTCAAAACTACATGAGCATTTCGTGATTTGCCTAGCGCCCGACTAAAATCAAAACTGTGGGCAAATTCACTTTTCGGTATATAGGGTTTTTACACACAGTTGACGAATTCCAGTCAAACATGAAAACAAAAAATGATGAAGTTAGTTCTTTGATGTAAACAAATCCCTTGTAAACTAATCACGATTTCTATAGATTATAAAAACAATACGGTACCCAACATTTTCAAGCAACTTTTGAGTAATACAGCCTTTACCAAAATACTTTAAATGTATGTTTCGTATTAAGCATGTTGACGTAATGAACGCGCATCGTGCAGTTATGCGCAGTGTCGACAAACACAGTTTCAAGCGCACGACTGGCGGTCCATCCATTTATATGTCTGTGAACAAACCAGATAGCATGATGTCGCCCTCTATGGCTACTGGACATCTAAGAAAAATTAATTAACTTAACTATCTCTTGTGGATGCTGCGGCTGTGACGAACAGCGCCCTCTATAGGAAAGGATGGAGAAGTGTCCTCGTGTCACATGACTGACTGGCTCCGTGCTCCCCACACCTGGGAAAATGGAAGACAAAATTGCAAATTTAATGATTTATCAAATTTATATTAAAAAAAAATTAAAAGTAAAAAAATGAGGATTGTTTTGTTGGGTGACTGAGGGTAGTTGATCCCAACTACATGTAATGCTGTTGTGCAAATTTTATTTTAGAACGTGTAGTTCATGTCAACAAACTTTTTTAGGGCCCCTCCCGGCAAAATTAAAAAAAAGGGGTATTTATGGGAATACTGAATTCTTTTGTTTCTGAATCAACACGCCTTAACACTTTTGTTTCTCTGGGAATATTTGAGTTTTCTGAGCAGCCACTTTAGACCTTTAACGTTTAACAACTTCAAAGATTGGGCATTCATTACATCAGGAATACATTGAACTTGGCCTGAAGAAGGATTGTGCAGTAAATACTCAAGAATTATGTTCATAAATAATGACAGGTTTTAAGACTGTCTCCCAATTGCTGCAGCTAGCAATAATGCGCCGATATGAAAGCGGCTGATAGACACGTGTTACTGACGACCATATATGTGAGGCGTTCTGGCAAAATGAGACAGAACTGGGCAGAGGTTGAAATGAGGGTTTGCAGGTATTAGGAAAGAGAATAAACTTCTCCTTACAATACTGTTTGTTGCACTTCAATCGGATATTCCGTTGACAAGTTATGGTTCACTTTAAAATTCGCATTTATAGACAAAAAAGCAAAATACTAAGAAAAGGCCTGTAAAGTTTTGATTTTTGTATTCTTGAAAATGAAAGATGCCAATTATCTTTCCTTAAAAACTCTTGTATTCCATGATTTTTAGACTAAATGTTTTACTTACTTATAAGAATATCAATTAATCTGACAGTCGAAAAACAAAAATCACCCCCTATCATTTTGTTGCATTTTCCCTCCACTACGGCCTGTGCCCAGTTCCGTCTCATTTTGCCAGAATGCCTCACATATATAGCCTGATAATATTGACACGGACTTAAGCTTTGAGACAGGACCCACCTTTGGATTGGTGCTATGAAGTTGCATGGTGGCTACAGGGTTCCAGACCGTTCCTGCCATTCCATGAGCTGTCATCCCTCCCCCATCTCCCATGGCCATGTTATGATGCATGCCAGACATTGGCTCATGTTGCTCACCAAACCGACTGACAGGTGTCTGTAGGAAATAACCAGGGGAATAAGGTTAGAGCTCGCAAGCATGATGACATTTCAGTAATGTCTTGAGATACACAAGGTACATCTTGATGAGGTTTTGATTTCTCTATTTGATTTTCTAAATGATCGCTGTTCAGTTTGTGCTGGTCCCAGAGGGCCAGCCTACAGTCCTCTTTGTACCTCACGGATCGACTCACTGTCACTTGTGAGCTGGGCAGTGCTGTTGTATAGGATTACCCTGTAACACCAATGAATGGGCTCAATCAATTGAATAGGACTGTGTGTACTCTGGAACCAACTTGAATTGCCTTGTGTTGTTGTGAACTGTTTTCAAGTCCTGAACTCATGCTGATTTACCACAACAACATTGAACACAAAATGAAAGATGATGAAATCAGTTTTAATTTGATGTGTCTCAAACACCTTGGAGAGTTGTGAGTATTTTCCCCTGAATTTTGGAAGTGGGTGTATCTATCACTGGGGTCTGTGGCAGTTTATTTAAGTAGTCTGCAACCTGATGGTGTACGTGTACATGTACACGTATGCAAGTCAAAATTAACCTAACTCAGGTCCAAGATACAAACTCAAGTGTAGAGTAAACATGTCAGCAAACAAACAAGATAATGAACTGTACACGACTCAGATCTGGGATCCGCCCACTCTAAAGGTTGCGACTATTCACACTCGTTGCATCAAAGTGGAAAATTCCCCCCCCCCCAAAAAAATGTCTTTCAGTGACTTGACTCCTCAATTCCTTCAAGGAAAACTGAGGTCACACCTGGGAATAAACAGGAATCGAACCAGGGGTCACTAGAAAAGAAAACAAGCAGTGGGATCTGAACCAAAGACTCCTCAATTCCTTCAAGGATAACTGCATGAGGTCACACCTGGGAATAAACAGGAATCGAACCAGGGGTCAATAGAAAAGAAAACAAGCAGGAGGATCTGAAGCAAAGATTCACCAGATTCAAACCAGACAGCCCTAACATGAAGCTTCCAAGACATTAAGTACATGTAAGATCACTAGTCATCAAATCTAGCTGATGCAGTGATTATTGCCAGACAACTTTCATTCTTACTTGACTTGAGACGTTTACCGGCCGCCATCTTCTGACTCCTCATCGTCTCTCAGCCAACATTCTCTCAAGATCAATTTTACATCAAAGTTGACATTTTTTGGTTGGTCAAAATGATAACTTTAAATAGACTGAAAATTCTTTATCAGTATTTATAGCACAAGATAAAAGAAATTTTAGTACATGTATGTGAAATATGAAAGATTTGAGGAAGAAATATTTTTATATATTTTTTTTTTGATGGTTAAAAAAAACCTGGTGGGATTAAATGTATGGTGAGGTGCATGCGATTGTAATTTCACAAAGTGCAGCATGTACATGTAGATAGAATGCATGAACCTATCTAAGATCCAAAACTCAAGTGTCAAGTAAATATGTACACAGATAAGCAGATATACAGATTGTACATGTGTGACGCACATGTATATATGCAGCAAAACAAAAATCCCAAGCTCTATATATAAACCATGTCACGCGACTTGATGACGATGCTGTGTTTGCCCAGCGCCATCTTTACCAGATCCGCCCCATCAAAAGTCTCAACTGCTTGTGCTCTTTAGGTCAGTAAAAACCTTTGTGTTCAAGTGATTTGACTGGAAATTCATAAGAGGTAAGAAAATATTGTCAGTTACTTTGAATGAGGTTAAAGGCTAGCTTACAAGCGTAGGAATCGCAGTTTGCATTAGACTTCAAAATATGAAGTATACGGACAAGTCATGTTTCAACAAAACCTATTCAGAAATAAAAATGGAAAAATACTATGGTGATCATGACTTGCATACATGTACAGTTTTGTCCATTTCAATATCTGAAATCGTTATAGAAGAGAATTAAAGATGTACTCTCAGTGCTCCTCAAAACTTGAACAGGAATTCCAAAAGAACACAAAAGGGCCATTTTCTATTTGATGTTTCGTTCAAAAGTGGATATCGTAAATGTTCCAAAAAACCTATTAGTGGAAAAAACTATGAATGAAAGATGTACTCTCAGTGCTCCTCAAAAGGAAATAAAAGAGAGATTTTTTATTTGATGTCTCGTTCAAAAGTGGGTATCTTTTGTCTGGCTACAAAATTCACAAGAAACGTTATACATGTACTGGTACATACATGTACATGTACTTTTTATCCAGATGAAACTCGTACATGTACATCTTTAATGTACATAGAGGGCACTTGTTTTGCTCAAGTTTTTTTCATTGCTTTTATAGTAACCCACCCATTTTCTTTTTAATTACTATTTGAATACAGATAAAAATGGCTACAGCTCTTGAGAAGATAAGTAACCATCTTGTGTGTGGCATATGTCAGGAGAAATACAAGCGGCCCAAGGTGCTGGACTGCCAACACAGTTTTTGCGAGACATGTCTGGAGAAATACTACACTAGCAGGCATGCAGGTCAGCCTAAAATTCCTTGCCCTGTATGTCGGCGGGAGACAGAACTTTCAGAGACACGCATCCAAGGCCTGAAAACAAATTTCCATTTGATGGGAATAGTTGAGGAGGTCTCACTCCAAGAAAAGGTGGCTCGTTCAGTGGAACAAATATCATCAGATCAGTCTAATTGCCAGAAACACAAGGACAAAGTGAAATGGTTATACTGTGAGACATGTGAAGAGTTAATCTGCCGAGCTTGTACTGTAGTAGACCACTGTAGACCAAAACATCACTACATTGAGTCCGGAGAGGCTTCTCTCAAATACAAACAGTCACTAAAAGATAAGTTACCGGATATCACCACAGACATCAAAAGACTTGAACAATGTTTGGCCAATTTATCACAAGCTAAGCAGAAGTTTACACAGAACGTCACAAAGACTGTGAAAACTGTGCAAGATAAAGCGGATCAAATGAGAGCTGAGATAACAACTCAAGAAACAAAGATGATTGAAGAAATCAAACAACTCCAGCAGGATCGCAACAGAACATATGATGAGCATCAGTCAACACTGACAATGATGCTTGAAAGTAAACAACATTCCTTCAGTACAGCTCAGGATGTCATAAACACTGCATCAGACACTGATTTGCTTTCCCTCTATCCTATCATCAGCAAAGACTTGAAATCACTCAAGGGTCAAAATCCTCCCCAGATTGATCCCAAGCTTTCATATCTGAGCTTCACCCCAGGTCAGAGGATTGGTGACATCAATCTGGGCAAGCTTGAGGTGGAAGCAGTCAAGTGGAAGATGTGTCGTACGTTTTGTAAAGCTAAAAAGGGACCTCGTTCAGTAAAAGAGTTCCATGGGACTCTAGATATTACTGCTACTCAACCTGGTGAGATTGCTGTGGCAGATTCTTGGAACGACCGAGTGGTCATCTGCAGCAATGAGGGACAACGCAAGGGAACCATTCCCCTAAAATCAAGTAAGTTTCTTTCATGCACATGTTCATCAACACAAACTTTCATAATCGTGTGGAAATTATAAGTCAGTCTTCCATGTGCACATGCAGATCTGACAACTGAGAATGAAAACCAATAAAATACTGGCAAGGAATTGATGTGCTGGCTGTGCTTCCCAACATATTTGATTTTGTTCTCCCAACAAATAGTCAGTTTTTTTACATGAAGGCCTATGTAAAAAAATATGGCACAAAAAAACACACACACAGACACACACACACAAAATAAACAAAACTACAGCAAAACTTCTATTAATTTTATTAATGATTTGTGTTTGTATGGAAGAAAAACTCTTTTTTGGAGGGGGGGGGGGGGGGTCTGTAACCTTTAGAAAGAAATGTTTATTTAAAGGTTGTTTTGCAAACATATCTGCCCTGTGAGTAGAATGTTCTAGGCCATGGGTAATGGGGCTGATGAGCCCCCATCCAGATCATCCTTTGGTTTGGTCTTTGTTCTTCTGACAATAATGCTGCATGGCTTTTATTTCAAACACAACAACGTGTGAATTTCAAAATTGGTATTCAACATATCCATCCTGACACTGAGATATGTGCATTCAAATCTGAAGTCAACATGACATCAGCAGGCATCAAATTACAAGAAATTTTAGTTCAAAAAGTGACCGTTTTGTCTCGTTTATAACTCCTGAACAAAGCAAAAAATGTTGTTCACATTTTGTGATGATGAATCATACATTGATGAACCGTTTTTTTGGTGTATACACGTGAAGTTGCTTGACCTTCTGGGGTTAACAGTCAAAGTTATACTAAAAGCAGCATGAACAAAAAAAATGGAATTACTCCCTTAGGCCACAAAAAAAGGCTCCGGTTTCTGGTATGGAGCTTGCCCCAAAAGTGGTGCAGCGACGCAGCTTTTTTTTTTTTTACCTGTTTTTTTTTTTTTTTTGGCATCAAATGTCGGCTGATGACTGCAAATGGTGCCCGACTAAACTTAGTGCAAATATATGGGAGTCCAGAGAGGCCACATAAATCTTTTTCTCGATCATAACCCCATCTAAAAACACGTTAAAATTGTGCAGCAGCAGAATTCCAGTCAAACCAGTGAGTTTGGCGGTTTTGAAACATCATCTTGTATTGAAAAAAAAACTTTTTTTCGACGCGCATGGCAACGGCGACGCGCGTGCATACCAGAAACCGAAGACTTTTTTTTTTTGGCCTTACGGGTCATATGAAGAAAAACTGTGTACAAATATGCACTGTTTTACAAAGACATGACATCATACAATGACACCACCATATCAAATAAAAAGTGATTTAAAGGGACACTAAATCCTGGAAAGCACCCAATAGGGCTACAAAGAGCATTTAAAAGTAGGATATTATACAAATATATTGATGAGTGGCTCAGAGTGAAATAGGAGGAATATTATCGCAAGATAAAATCTGGACTTTTCTTCGCCTCGTGAAATGGAAAATTCCAGATTTTACCAAGCGATAATATTCCTCCGATTTCACAATTTTAAGCCACTCAATATTTGTTTTATATACCTGACATGTAGATCCTGACATATTTGATACATTTGAACCTTTATTTCAACATGAAATTGGTGGAAAATGTATTTCTCTCTTCCAAACCACCCCTTCACGAAAATGTTTGAACCTAACTCTGCAGCGCTGGCTCTTTGGAACAATACACGATACGCTACGCTGAACGCGCACACCAGCATGCATTTGCAAACAAATACCGCGTCATGGAACAAGAATGATCCTAACTGTTTAATAGTACAATGTATTTCACATTCCCCATGGGCGAATGGGACTTTTTGAGCCCCGGCGTGAATGGGAGCAATAACGCATGTCATGTGATGTGACTTCCACCAATCAAATGACAAGGATCTGTATGTCAATATAAAAACGTCTACACAATCATCCTTTATTACAAATTGGCCGTTTCTGTGTTATTCTTGCAAGAACAAATTTTTGGGGTCAAAATTTTGACTCTCACAAATGTGTCATTCCGTGTCAATTCAACACGATTTTGGACCCGACCCTTACAGATTGAAACGAATTGGTGTGATGATTGGCCTGTATGAGAAACCCCCAGAACTGAATTTTTTTGTAGTTTGTTAGATTCTGAGATACGGGTCAACAAACTTTTGACTAATTAGCATGACCTCCGAACTTTCAATACTTTTATCTCCAAAACTATAGCAAATACAAAGCCAAATTGTACATCATATTAAAGCTCTTTGAATGGCCTCCATTTCATAAATTAAAACCAAAATCATACCATGAAGCACAGAGAAAATGCGCTACGAAATGACCTTTGACCTTAAATTACAACAAAACCCAATATGCTTCAAGTTTCTTTTTTTTTTTTTGTTAGTTTATAATGTAAGCACCAATCTTGGAACATTTTGTGAAAGGTGTCTGAAAGTTTGCAAGAACTAAATTGTCATTATACAGTTTGTTATTATACAATTATTTGATGACTAAAAATGGGGTTTATGTTGATCAATTAAGGCTTCATTTGAAAATTGAACAACCTTATGATTGCTAAAAAAAAATTAGCAATACGGGTAAATATAAGACTAATCTATTTTGATGTTTGAACAATGACAATAGCACAGAGAGTGCATCAACTTTATAAAAGACTTTGCAAAACTGTATCTCTAAGACGTTGCAGTTATTCACAATTATACATTTATGGTGGTTGAAGACTGCACAATTTTCATGTAGGCCTATTAATTCTACATGAACAGGCTTTAAGGCACACCATGTATTCATTATTATAGATCGGTTATCATACGTATTTATATTTCATGGGGACTCAGAATAGTGACAGTGCATTTATATACTGTGCATATGTTACATTTGATTTCTTCTTTACCCACAGATCCACTGGCAGTTGCAGCCATCCACAATCCTGAGCAACGCTTACATGTGTTGGAAGCTGGAAGCAAGTATGTCAAGGTGTTCAACATGAAGGACAACACTCTTGTAAAGCAGTTCCCAACAGTACCCAAGCATCAGGTAAACAAGACAGAAATGGACCTACAGAGTCTAGCCGTAAAAAATAGTACATGTACAATCGTAGTGGGTGATATCAAGAGAATGGTGTGGACTGAACACAAACCCACTGATGGTGAGATCCTACACACAATACCAGTGCAGACTCCACCTTACTACCTGGCTGTTGATGACGACACCGATAGAGTTGTGGTAAGTGGATGGGACACAAAGAAAGTGGACATAGCAGATAGCAAAGGTAGAACAAATGCCACCATCCAGCCAACCATTAATGGTAAGCCAGTGGAGTACTGCCTTGGTGTATGCTGTGACAGCTCAGGCATCTACCTTGCAGTGCGCCAAGTTGTGCCTGGCACTGGTCATATTCACCACTATGACCTAGATGGCAGGTTTCTTGATTGCCTGGCTCAGGGTCTGTATGCCCCACGTGGAATCACATTCACATCAAATGGGCAGCTGGCAGTGACTGACTGGAATTCAATCAAGATGTATCACAAGGTGTGATGTCATCCAACATGACATTGACTAGCAATCATCATCATCCCAATAGCAAATGTTGAGGATGAAATTGTCCAGTCATTACAGCACCAATCAACATTCATGTCCCACTCATATCACATCTCTCCTCAAAAATCCAAACTGCCAGATCCCTCTGATGTGAACCATTTTACCATACAAATTCTTAAATAAACTGTGCATCAATTACATTTTGTTACTATACAAAGTCTCAATAAACAGTGTATTGACTACAGTTACACTTGACTTGATTGGGATAATTTGTTTTAATCGTACATGTACAATGGCTCGAACCTGAATTAAATGGTAAATTTGAAAGGAGAGGGGAGTTTAGTGGGTGTTGAGGTGTTTGAATGTAATGACCCCCGCCTCCTCAACCCAACACCCCTCCCTCACCCAGTACATGGATTGCCATAAATCTATCCAACACTTACCAACTTTATGTGGTGTTTATGAAACCCCGGCTTCATTGTGGCTTCCGCTTCATATCTGGCACAAGATTCCTAAGAATCCTACCACTTTCAAACTCAGTGAAAATACACCAACCATCCATTGGCCTTGTGTGACAGGATTTGGTGTCTCTAAAGAAGCAAATCGACCAATATTGTACTGGAGTTACATCAGGGGACAAAAATCATGAAGCATGAAGCCAAAACTAGGGACAAAGCCAAGATTTCATAAACACAATTAAGACTGTTAAAGTGTTCCAGGTGGAAGTTGCTGTATATATTCTGCTATCTTTTATAACAAAGATTTGAGAAATGTTGAGGATCATTTCGTTTCATTTTGAGTACCGGTAGTTACAACATTACAAATGCATTACTCAGTTCAATTTAGTGAGGATTAGTGTAAAAAATAAGACTTTATTCACTCAGTTAATTTTTGTTACTTGTTTCTGCTGTTGGCATCTGCCTATTTAATTAAAAAAAACTACTCTTCCAAGTAAATTGAGTTGCCTAAATACATGTTGTTTAAATTCATTTTAAGCATGTACGCTCACCACGATAGTTAGTTTTCATATTACTGTTCAATAAGCCTTTATTTACTCAGTTTGTATATTACTTTTTGCAGAATGAAGACTGATGTTTATAAGAATGTTTTTTTCTTGATTTGAAATCAATGAGGAATCAATTCGACTGAATTACAGCTGAATTTCAGAAAACTATATATGGCCTCAGTTGCCTTGATTTTGGCCTGACTGCCACCTTGAAAAGGCCCGACACAAATACAGTGTAGCAAATTTCTAATCCAAGGTTTTTTTCCTTACAAACTAAATAGATTTCCTCGTTTGTTCAAGAACTTCTGTTTCATCGTTTTGCATTTTGGTTGCCATTTCAGAAAACTTGAAAATGAAAAAAAAAAATCATCACTGGTTTTTAGTTTGGGTTTCAGCAAAAAAATATGCATTTGTCTGCAATGTATCAATTTCAATGTAAATATTAAATGTTCCAGTAGACTTTTAAGCATTTAACAATTCACCACGGTATAGATCTTTAGTAGTCACAACAAGACTTTGTAAACTCCGTTTATGTATATTCTTCAAAGTGTTCCTTCCTAGTAGAACATACATCTACTCATTGTATACTGTGCTACCTCTACATTACATTTTCTGATAATAGAAATTACAGCCTGTACAATTTTAATTATTCTGTATTTCTGTTAACTTTACTTTCTAAAGCCATGTAAGATCATTTGCAATCACCCAGATAAGTACCTACTGATTTAATGACAGAAACCTCAAAGTGAAGATAGGACTGGTAACAAATACCCTGTGAAATAATTCCACCTGAAATGGTATTGTCAGAAAACAAATATTGAATGTGGTTTCAAAATGGGGTGCCTACAGAATCCAGTTACGAGATCCAAAGACTTGTGCATTATGTTTTCTCTGTTTTCTCCAAAATGTATAGTAGCCACTCAGCTAAGACTTGAACACAATGCTTGTTATGCACCCTACTTGAAATATTGAGCACTTTTGTTGCTTCGGAAAAAAAACCCTGCAAAAAATTTAATGATAAAATACACATCACTATGAAAGTTAATCAAGATTACTTTAAAAATTAGTCTTTTAATATTCACTCAGTTTCTTTAAAAAAAAAGAAGGTTTTTTGGTTTTTTCCTTTATTTGTGTAGTTTTTCATAGAAATCATGTTTATTGTTATTGTTTAAGAGCTTTGTACATTTGCATTTATATCAATGAAACACTAATGTGGATGATCATAAAATGATCAAAATGTCTGCTAAAGATGAGCAAAAATACTTATAAATCCTAATTAATTTGGTTTCCTGTCTGAATTCACAGAATAAAGACTTTTAAAAGTATATTTTACTCCCTAGGGATTATTTTGATGGAATTTTAAAATGATTTTCTTTGAAGGTTAAAAATTCTATGAGAGGTTGCTAACTATTTTAACAAAAGTTCACATCAATAGTCCGTATTGAATTTCAGGAAGCCATGGCCTCCGTTGCCTTGATTTTGGCCTGACTGCCTCCTTGAAATGTCCTTGCCTTTTCAAGAATTAAATTCCAGACATCTGTTTTCATTGTTGTACCTATTTGGTTGCAATTTCAACTTGAAATTAATGAAAACAATTATCCTCGTCACTGCAGTTTTGAGTTTCAACAAAGAATAATTAATTTTCATGAGACTTTTCAAACTCTACTGTAATAAATTCTATTCAAATTTACTTGTAAAATCTGAAGTTTTGAAATGAGCAGAAATAAATGCATTCATTCATTTTAGTCCCTGGGATAAGGCCATTTATTAGCACAATTGTATGATTTATCTTTTAAATATTATTTTGTTGAACTAAACCTTAGGACATTCCAGACCTCTGTTTTCATTGTTTTACCTATTTGGTTGCCATTTCAACTTGAAATTAATAAAAACAATTATTCCTGTCACTGCACTTTTAGTTTTAACAAAGAATTATTAATTTTCATGAAACTTTTCAGAGTCTACTGTTATTAATTCTATTCAAATTTACTCGTAAAATCTGAGGTTTTAAAATGAGTAGAAATATATGCATTCATCCTTTTTGGTCCCTGGGATAAAGGCCATTTATTAGCAAAATGTTATGACTTATCTTTTAAATTTTACTTCGTTGAACTAAACCTTAGGACATCTGAAACTCTGACTTGCACAGCTGGTATTTGTGCCTTCCAGCTCAAACAACTGTAATTCTCAATGCTAAATTTGTGGAAAACAGATAAAACAATGTTTTGGGCCACTGCTCTCACCAAAAATGGCTGCATCGTGACCTGTTTTCTCTTTTTACCATCTTGATAGGATGGATAAACAAGGACAAACAAATTGTATCCGCATTCATGGTTTCTGAAGGCATAGTTTAAGGACACCCACAAAACTCTGTGGCTTTACCCTATTTGGGGACACTTGTAATGAGTTCAAAACACATGTAGTTATTCTTTATTCTAAACATGCCAGCTAGCTTGGTGAACAAAGTGGATTTTCATCAGTCTTGTAGGAAAGGGGTCCAGAAGTAGGCTTGCAACTATGGTTTCTCTCTATTAAAGTGAAGCCCTTTTCACACCAGACAAATCTCGGGGTTGAACCAGGGTTGAAAACATACATCATTTCAAACTTAAAGAATTTCAACCATGCGTCAACCCCGAGATTGATTTCGCCCCAGTTTGAACTCAACCATACTCCTGACCAGGGTTGAGATTTTCAACCCGGGTTGAAATTCTGGCCAGGCCGGGTTCAAATAGTAGTAACTGAGAATGATAAGCTTGATTTGCCTGAAACAAGTGTAAAACGATGCGGGGATGAACGTGGGGTTGAAATTAAAAAAAACTCAACCTAGGGCGGCACTGGGTTCGCCCAGGGTTGATTTCAACCCAGGTTGAGAGGCTCTAGTGTGAAAAGGGCTTAAGATTTGGTTCTAGTTGCCCTATCTCCCCTCCCTCCAAAAAAAGTCTACCCTAGCTCCCCTCCCCTCCCCATGAATGGGGCAACTTAATAAAAGATCACGTTGGGCTTACCAAGAAGTGACTGCTTGTAGTGACGGCCATCCCACACGGTTGCATCCTTTCCACACGACCGCCATATACAGGACTGCTTTGGCTGATTCCCAATTTACAGGGGTCAAATAATATCATTCAAGTCTGTTGGTTAAAAAAAATCAGAGTCTGAATATTTCTTTGAGTGTTCCAACACAGCATGAAGTGGTTTGAGTATTTTTCAATGAAATAAATGATTTGGATTACCCATGAAATAAAAAACACAAATGAAAACAAGGCTAGAAAGGACGTCCGCACACAAAGTTAAAAAAGAGAGGCCAAAGCATGTGTGTGCGCCGCTGCGATATAGCGGGTTGTTCCACTCAGATATAGGGGTGTTTCTACTGCGCCAAATACACAATATACGTGCTAGTCTATATAATAGACCATGGCAATCTAAGCCATGCTCTATAATTTTTGAACAGATTCGCTGATTAGTTATGCAAGACAACCACATCTTGACCTCTAGATTTTTACCAGTCAGTGGGTGCTTTCTATATATCGGGTCTTCGGTCATTCATCCATTGTCGCATCTAGACATTGATGAAATAAACTCAGCTATAGACACAGCAACAAAAGCCTTGGTCACAGGCCCCTATTATGTTATGCGACACGAGTTCTAACTGACTGTTTCATTTGTTAGACTGTGAGTGCCTTCTGCGTGAACGCGTAACGCATGAAACAGTCGTCTTGCTTTCCACGACAATGCACCAGATGAAAATTTAACTGGTTTTACCTGGAAGCGGTATGGTACCCACATACATGGTGCATGCACACAGATTTTTGAAAAGAATGTTGCAACCTGATGCTACTTTTTTCTCTCTATATATATCATCTCAATGAAGGTCATTTGTTGCAAAAATGATGATAAGTGTTAAAGACATGAATCTGGGACTGAGAAATATTTCCAATTTTGTTAGGAAATACTTGGAAAATGTCCTTAGTCTCCATAGACATTGTACACAAGCGTGGAATTGGAAGTGGCTTCAGCCTCAGGTTGCAACATTTTTTCCAGATTTTTCAATTGTCATCACGAGATAAATTACAATTTATTTGCGCAATTAACTACACACAGTCAGTCTATGGAGAGTTCAGTTTCTCATCCAGATTCATGTTTTTCAACCTTTAACTGACCTTATCTGATGACATCGTCAGACCCCCTTAGACGACGCAATCATATTTCTATGCACCCGCATTTGATTTGGGTTCACCATGCCATGTGGCGGCGTTATTAGCTGCGTCGATTATGGTGGGTCGAGCTCGAGGATACACGTCATGAATTCAGGATGCAATTGACATTCTTTCGAAGGTTTTTAGTGCTAAACTAGTTATCCTGTAAATGCTAATCAAAACTTAATGAGTCTGTATGTAAAACCATAGAGGAAAACCACGGCCAAACAATAGCTCCACGGGCAAAACAATTTTAGTCTGACACCACGACGATCGACGTGCCGCATCCGCGACCGATGGTGCATCGAGGGATGTATCAAATACTGAACAACAGGTGGCGCAAGCTACATACTTTGGGCAACCAAATCGGAAAATACGTTCGCCGGGGGGTGGGGGGGGGGGGGGGGGGGGGGGGTTGTGAAGATAAATCTGATTTTCCCATTTTCGTTTTCCGTGCCTTTTTTTCTACAAAAGATACTGTAAAAAAATCATCGAATTTATAATGAAATAATTATTAAACCGAATTTTTCCAAGCAAGTCAAATCCGTGGCAAGCATCTCTACAAAGAGCTCTGATAATAAATTCACGGTCTTGACGAAAGCATAAATTTCACAAAATGTTTGGCAATGATATTCTGATATGGACGGTCAAAAAACATCAGCAAATATCTGTAAAAGAACAATGACCAAACCTTTTGTGTGCCTCCAATGAGACACATAGACCCTCCCCTCTCCGGCCTCATGGGACCCCAGTTAATCTACTGTTGGCTGTTGAGATGTCCGCCTCTTTCCTAATTACAATATACCAGCACGATCGATTGCATGCAATCACAGCACTGCAGTCATGCAACTGTCGTCGAGTGACCGGTATGACGCCACAATACAAAGCATTGACCTCTGACTCGGGCTTTTCCCGAAGAATTATGCAAATAGCTATTGTCATCCAAATTCCACACCTGGCACGCGACATGCCGTATGCAAATTGTGTGTCTTGGCCAATCCCAGCCAACCCAATAGCCTGTTGACTTTCGACCAATCAGAACCGCTCTTACACTTTTTTCAGCAAACATTGAGACTAGCGCGTGTTAGTCCGCGGATAAAGAAAAATAGAGCCCCATTTTCTGATAAAATGGTTTGATATGGTTTGATAGTTTCCTATTCAGCAGCATGATCCATTATATCGTTGTGATTAATAAAAACAAGTCATAACCCGAGACACAAGTAAAACATAAATAGTAAAACAAATTCATTTTGTGATGTGCGGAGAGATAAACAAGTGATAGGGTTTTTGAACCGCATTACGCCTTGAGCCCAACCGTCTGACTTTCGCCCGCTCATCTGCTGCTTGCATTTCAAGATGGATGCCGGACATTTACACCTTGTGAGTATTTTTGTTTTAAACTTCCTTTCTTTTTTTCTGCGATAAAATATTTCCAAAATTGATGCTAATCGAGAACAGTGATGATGTAAACTAATTCTAGGTAACCCAGAAGACTTTTAAGCTGTCGCCGTGTTCGTTTTGCTCCGTAATTCACGGCAACATTCGAGGTGAAATGAACTGAAGCGCAAACGATTATACGAAATGAAACAGTCGGTAATTTCCTTACCGGACTGTCGCTTGGCCTACCGTGTTCTAATGTAAAGAATTCAACCTCCACTATAATTTCCGTGCACTAGGCAAACCTTACAATTACAGGAGACAGAATTTCATAAGTTTATCGCGAGGAGCGCTAGGCCTGTATTCGTAAACAACCATAAAGACGTGGACATTATGAGGGAAAAGGTAGGCTAATCCTAATTCTTAAACTCACTATTTATACTTCATCAGTAACGGAAAGGGGATTTTACATGTAGGCCTACAGGACAAGAGAACCTAACATTTGACCAGCCATGGGAAGTTGAAAAGGGGGAGGTTGCAAAGTGAGATTGAAACAATACCATACGTCAAAGAATATCCAAAGAGTAATTGATTAAGACGTATATAATTAGGCACTTCAAAAAATCAAAAAAATAATAAGGATATTTCCCAAGAAATTATGGAAATTAGAGTCAGGGGATGATGGACTGCATGGAGACAGATGTGATACAATACCCTTGCCAATTAGGGCAATTATATCTTGGAAGAGAAATATAATAAATTATTCCCTAAAACTGTGACGACGACTGAAATAGGTATATGAGGAGCCATGATTAGATCAGGGATATCTAAAATCTAAGGTCAAGGGTCAGAGATCTGAGTATCCTGAATGCGATCTAAGATAAGAATCCCACAAGATCAATGATCATGAACTTGTAGACTACAAGCCTACAAGCAAACAAAAAAGAAAAAGAAAAATGTGACGTATGTAATCATGACGTTAGAGAACACAATCACAATGTAACTACATCAGGTATGCATGTGTTTATTGCTCGTTAATGTAGGCATGTAAATTAAGTAGCCATTTCTTATTGAATGACGTACATGACGTAGCAGTGACGTCGACTGATGTCATGATGAAGATCAAGGTCAAGATCACGATCCTCTGATCAGCGCACACAACAAGACCGTTACATGCTGCACACTGATGTATTTCGCGACTGAGGTCAACATCATGACAGACTTAGGGTGAAATTGATGAAATTATGACACCAATTAACGAAAACAAAACAACTTATAGGCCAACTACCTGGAAGAATTGTGTCATCATGTAGGCCTAATAGTAATATCAATAATTATTACTGCCTCATTATTCCACATTTACTTTGCAACTGAGTTATCAAATTGTATGACCTGTTTTCAGAATTGTATGCCACAGAATCAATGTTTTCTTTTCTTTTTGTTGCAGTGTTGATACAGGCAGTGCCAGCTCCATGGTGCTAGTGATGACTTCAGATGATACATTTGAAGAGTGCCATCTTGCAGTGAAACATTGCCGAAGATGCAGTCGCTTAGAATTTAAGAAATGGGAAAAAATGAGAGTTTGACACTGACGGTTTGGAAATAAATGGTCGCGTTGCTGTTGGGATAAGATTTTTGGTTTATGGTGTCCATAACCGGGATGGAATATGGACTTTTTTGTAATGGCTTTTGTTGTCGCTCTAATACAGGGAGATAAGTTTGTTTCAGTTGAATATTCAAGAAATGGAAAGATTAAGGAATTAATCGTGAAATTTCGCCTATTTAGTCATTACTAGTAAAACAAGCCTACGAAGTAAGACAAACAATTGTTGTTGCCAAAAATTACCAATTAAACTGAATAATATTTTCCCTGCCCACTCTATTGCTTTAAGTTTAAGTCACTGGGGCACTCAGGATTTGGCTTGGGGGAGGGGGGGGGGGGAGTTCACACTTGTTTTTGCATTTATGTTATAGAAGTTTGGATATTTTACACATTTTTGCCCTAAATTTATGGGTGCAGAAAAATATTTGTATCGGTGGGAAAACTTTGACTTTCATGGCTGTCAATGTCTTTAACATTTAAAATGTAGGCCTTTAGTCTTATTTCAAAGCCTAAAATTGGCATTGTCGAGACAATGTCACATGACATTTTTAGAACTCATACTCAAAAATGCCACACATTCATATTTTATAGTATAGTACCTGTAAACATGACTTTTCTCATTTCTAAGCAAAAAAAATTACTAAGCGTTTTATCCCAACCGAATTCATTATAGACTCACGTACGGCAAATATAACAACAAAAATTCAATTACGGATTTTGTGAAATTCGCTGTTGATCTTTGCATGGCTGGTAATACTGATGACAGTTGCAGATAATTTGCAATTTACACCACAGTAAAATTCAATTAATTATTCATACATATTATTAATACACGTATATTACTCATACCTTTAATGTATTTTGAGAATCCCGATATGTTTAGAAATTAAACTCCCACTGCGTTGAAAGTTCCAGTCAGATTGGGTTGAATCTTAAAACAGGGAGGTGTTACAGACATTGGGTGAAGTCACGATGACGTCATCATGGGTCCTGATGTCATCTGTTAAGAGCTTGCAGTTCTCTGGAGAAGTAGAACAGCTAAATAAATCATGACACCATGTTTTAAAAAAAATGTGATGTGAAAAGCCCCATGTTCTGTTCCGGGAACAGACATAGATGTACATATAGTTGCTTTCTTTTACACCATATTGATGTAGTGTATATATATGTTGTAATTTATGACGGATTTTCTCGACATTCAAAGCCTTTGTGTTTATGTTACATCCAATCAACATACAATGGGGGCACAAATTTCCTGTGAGAACTGTTGGGGGAACACGATATCCTGACAAACCCATAAAATCCACCCAGGGGTCGGAATATCCTGGGGTACAGAATCTCCTGCCACACCAGAACGACAGCATGTCCCAATATAACCAGGGGCGGATCCTGAATTTTTTGCAGGGGGGGGGGGGGGGGGGGTTACATCAGCAAAAAAATCTGAAAATGTACACAGGTATTTTTCTCCGGACACTTGCCCTCCGTTAAATCAAAAACTTGGAGGGGGGGGGGGGGGGGGGGCACTGGTACCATATTTCAATAGGGGCGCTGTTTTCGAAAATTCAAAGATTATTAACACTAGATTACAGAATGGTGTACCGTATTTTGACCAGGCAGACATAACAGTTTATTTTTTGGGGGTGTCACAGCAGGGAAAGGGGGGGGGGGGGGTTGACTTATTTTTTAGGAATTTGTATGATTTTTTTTTTTTTTTGACAGAGCTGGGGGGGGGGGGGGTTGACCCCCAAACCCCCCTCCCCTCTGCATCCGCACCTGATAACACAGAAAAAACATTTAGTTGTCTTTTTTTCAAAGGATAAACATCATCTACGTGCAGAAAAGAATACACAATCTACATGTAGAATTCGTCATCATTCCTGTGCACATACACTGTACACTTTTTTTATATCAATACAAAATATTACATAGCCTGGACGTCCAGAGGGCTTCTGTACAAAATATACAATGTAGAATAACAATTGGATATTAAAATTCACTTTTACAGGCTATCGAACAGTTAAAAACAGGCATCGTTCTAAGTCTACATACATACATACATACATGTACTATCCATAATGCACATAAAGTAATTACAAGATTTTAATACACAACATGCATAACGCATGATACATTTGAATATGAAATGAGTTTTGAATGTTAAGGTCATGCATACATGTACACATGTATGTATGATGTATGCATGACCAGACACACACACATTCTTTGTGTGTAAAATGAATACGGATTTTGTAGGGCAATTAACAGCTCTTCATAGTGACAAAATGAGATTTGAAAAGTGATTTTTCTTCCCGACTGATCAGAACAAATTGAATTTTTGAATTTCTGTCAATACTTCAGTCTCCTCAAAACCTTTTGACGTACATTTCAAATACATTAATGTCAATTCTAATTGGATAATGCATCTTTGGTGGAAACGGCCCCCCTAGGCAAGCAATTGCCTGCCACCCCCCCCCCCCACAAAGCAATTTTCGTTTTAGGGTAGTGGGCCCCATTTATAGTTGGTAAACCATGGCCTCCCCTGATGCTCAGGGCTAGCAACGGACATGGTTGCATTCTCGCAAGACATCACTAATACTGTTCCATTATTCACTTACTGAGAATTTTGCAAGTGTCATCAACAGAGAGCTATGTGCACATACATGTACATGCAGGGTAGGGACCACAGAGCTATATTAAATTACTAGAGCGCTAACTCCGTGTACAAAGAGATGCCTGCTGGGCGCATCCATGTTTGTGCACAAACCTATGGAGACCTTTGTACGGCTTTTGTACGGCTATTTGCATATCTGCGTTTGTATTCCATACCAGTGCGTCATCGAAGTCGATACGCCCAAAACCGAAACGCACGATCAGCAAATGAGCGTGTCATTTTGCTCCACGCAAATAGTGCAACGCGTGTGCTTATTCGCTGCAGATGCTTCTTGCCATCACATTTTTTTTTAACCGTCAATGACGCGCTTAAGTTATTTGCGTGTTCTACTTACGCGTTGCATGTTGTAGAGTACACTTTCAAAATTCCATCCATCTAATTTCTTTATGTTCTACAAACAGGCACATGAATTCAAAATGTCTGCAACCAGGACGGCTTCAAAGCGTCTCCGCGCGCAGAATGATGAGTTAGCGCTCTAGTAATTTAATATAGCTCTAGGGTAGGGACCAATTTATGGTACATGTGGAAGCCAACAGACCTTATCCCTGAGCAAACGAGGGCACTGTTACAACCCCATTGATGAGATATGAACACGCAGATATGAAATGAAGGTTGATGTTAATAGTTATACCTTAGTCACCTCTTTCATTGTAAGATTTAGAGTCGAATCCTGTTAATGCGAACTCAGTTGGACTTGGCTAAAAAGTTTGTTCTATAAATCATTGTGTGCCCGGCAGAAGGGAATATGTGCACATGCCCTTATGAAATAGCACGTAATGACCAAAATGTTCCCAGCAAAAGGGCATATGCAATATGCATCCATTAAATGAAATTTAAACATTTGATTCGAAATGCGCGCAGGGGAAAAATGGAACCTTTCAATGCAATTTTCTTGAAAATGATTTCTATGTCAGAATGCTCGTATGCCCTTCTGCCGGGCACCCGAAGAAATCTAGTAGACATTAACATTAAGCGGAGCACCAGTCCCATTCACTGTGCACATGAGTTCAATTCCTTGTTTAATTTATCCAGAATTTGAATTAACAGAATGTGCATGAACGAGAGTTGACTGCATGTACTTTTGTAGAATCACTGAATGCTTCAATATTCAGGATTCTTAAATGGTTGGTACCCAGATAGTGGGTACTAACAAATATTATTACCCCTGGTAATTGGGCTCATGAAACATTCTAAATACCACCTCAGCTCCCTGGGGAGTATGCAGCTCGATGCAGCCTGTTAGGCGCAAGGAAGCTAATTCAATCGCAATAACCATCTCTGCCCTCACAGGTACCCATTTACTCCTGGGTGGAGAGAAGCAATGAGTGACAAAGTGCCTTGCCCAAGGGCACATGCACCATGACCCCAGGCTGGACTCCAACCCACAACCTGCAGCTTTACCCGCAGATCATATTTGCTATTCTAGGAGGGCAAGTGGAACACAGAATAATGTAGTGCATCAGCATCTAATATTAAACACAGTTAGAGTACATTTTCCGTGTTCCATGAGTGAGAGTGGGATAACAACTTTATCTTCAAGGAAACCTGAAACACAGTAAAGACAGATCACGAACATGTACACAAACTTTTCAGCAGTTATGCGTGCAGCACAAACAGCACACGCATCTTAGAAAAGCGCAATTCCGCGTAGTGTGATATGGACCGTGGATAAGTCTGCTTGAAGATAAAATTATTTGAATGTAGTTTGTGTACCAGTGCATTCTTAACTGGAATGGGCTGGTCTTGTTATAAGTATACATGTACACATTTTAGGTTGGCTAATAGGGCTGTCCATTTTCGAATAATTAAATGTTTTATTACTCGCAACTGCATTGGACCGGATATTCAAAACTGCCAGCTCCATTTGCATGCTGCACCGGTAAACAGTTGCACAAAGAGCGTGCAGGGTAAAATTTGGCTATCGATGTGGGGTGATGGAGTGTTATGCAGTAAGAATTTTACAACTAAAGGGGCTTTAAACTACATGTACATTTGTCCTTATTGGCAAATGCAGAAGCATACCGGCTCCCAATTAAGAACAGGTTAGATTTCCTATTCAATGTTCCAATTGTTCTATCTTTTGTGACCGTATTCTGCAAACAGGCTCAAGTTTGGTTTTACTGTGGCAAGCTCAGCTAAAAGACAATGCAAAATCTTTCGTTGAGTATAAATCCAAACTAAAGAAACTTTGGCTCAAAACGGCATCATGGACAGAAACTAACCTACAAACTCCGCATTCTTTCGTTCATTCATTCGTTCATTCATTCAATTCCTACATGTATAAATTATGTCCAAATATTTACAATTTTCTTGCGGATAAATTTAAGACATTCCCTTTGTCGCATATTCAATATTTAACAATACTGCTTCATAAAAAAACCCCTAAAGAATCAACGTAGAACAAAAACACGAGAGACAAACGATTGTCTTAGAATATGGTTAGCTCGCTGTACACTTGAAAAGTGAAAATACTGAAAATAAGTCCTTCAACTTACTGTAACCTCTGTTAGGCAGCTTACTAGCCTACTAACAGATAGTTTTAAAAATAATTTAAAAAGCAGGGCAGTTTTTGGTGACAAAGTATACTGATAATCACATTATTAAAAAACAAAAATTCAACTTTAAGAAGACGTTCAAAATACAATGATATGAGATTACAGAAAAGCACACGTTGTTTAAAAAATAAAATTCACATTAATTTTCTTTCAATTCGCAATTATCATTAATTACACGATTCACAAAATATGATTTACAAAAATCGTTTTTGATTCGTCCGATAAAAAATTTAACGGCTTTGATATTCTTGATTGATCGGATTTTAATTAAAACTTTGGGCTCGTTTCTAAAATGATATTTTGGCCAAAGCACAATTTCAGTAGTTATAATTTGGGCGGTGTTCTCAAGGCTGAAGTTTACAAACTAGATGCTACACCTACAGGTTCTTTTACAAAGTACAATGAATTTGAACCAGAGTTGTAATAAGTCAGTCACAAGTCACCAAAAGTCATCAAACGTTAATTACAAGTCATCCATTCCCTAGTCAATGCACAAGCTGTTTGACTGAATTGCAACAAAGGCATTCCTCTGTCATTGTTCATATATTGTCACTTCTAATCCGAGTTGCGATTGACTCGCGATTGACTTGATTACAACTCCGATTGAACTGAACGGCAAAAGAAGCAAAACTCATTAGTGAGAAACATTGAGCGTGTTCGATTACTTCCCTCGTGCTTACCCGTACTTTCGTCTTGGGCATAGATGCATATGTGCAATCTGTGGCAATAAACAAACCATCTTGGGATACTAGAGGCCAAGCCATAGCAACTGGACCAGGTCAAGAGGTCATGTGGTGATTAAATTCCCATTGCAAATGGATTTGAGCTGTCAAAAGCTAGCTATGTTGGCTACTCTATGAGCTCTTCCAACGCGAACCAGAAATCCTTGATATGTTTAAAGTTAAATTAACTTTCCTCCAGTCGTCTAGTGAAGTGAAGCTGAAACACTTTTGAGTCCCCTGCTGCCGCAGCATGGGACTTTAGCCGCCATGTTTTTGCACTGTATTGTGGGATACTTACATTAGTAACCGGCTCAGTGGGTCAGTTACTTGGGCCAGGCTCCAGTAATTGTGAGATGTCTCGCATGAGTAAGCACACAGGGAAGTAATCAAACGCAAGGAAAGTATGAAAAGAAGGGGCTGAAAATTGACAGATGATAAAATTTCGAATATTGGTTTCAAAAAAATATCTGAAAGTAAAATACCAAGAGTATTAACAACAACAGATAGATGTTGTTACTCGGAGCACATGATTTTGTTGGACAGTTGTGACTAACTTTTTGGAGGAGGCACCGATTGTCTGTTTCAGTCAGTCTTCACTGTTACTTCAATTCACATTTTTGTTTTTCTTGAGCAAGTGTTTCATATGACATTCATTCTTACTAAGGTCTTGGAACTTGAAAAATGCTTTAATGGATGGAAAAGCAATATCCCTTATTGTTAGCTGTACAAAAAATTGTTGGAAGCTTTTGAGAGGAGCAAGATGGGATTAGAGGTTGTTCTTTTGCCGTTCAGGGTGTTTACTAAAAGGGGCCAAACGTTGAGTGAAAGTGGGGACCCATGGGCATACCAACCTTAAACGGCCGACCGTCAGGAGTAGCACCCTGTGACAACAGACCCATGTTATTACCAAATGATTGTGGATGCCTGGATCCCACATTACCTCGTAACGATGCCATCCCATCATCCATCGGGAGGGCCGGGTTGCTGTGGAGATGCATCGTGGGAAGGCCAAGAGGTGGATCGTTTACGTGGCTCGGCTGCGAGTGCTGGTCATTGAAGAGATTGAAGTTGAAGGGTGGAGGAGGGACACTTACTCCCCCGCTGATTTGAGCTGTCTTGCTGACATTGAAGCTGTGGGGAGCCTGGTGCTCTGTGAAAACTGGAAAATTCGGTCCAACGTTCATGGGTATGCTTCCCGGCCTACCAGGCCCAAACATTGCATTATATGGAGCACTGATATCAGAGTCATTGCGGTTTTGATGTGGTTTGTTGGACTGGGACGGGCTGGGCAGGATTGGCCCTGGTAAGTGAGGAAGGTAGGTTGGTAGCTCATTCCCGCGTAACCGACGTGAGGGCGATAAACTGGCCACGATGGAGGAGCTGGTGGTGGTCGATGCAGGGGTGTTCTGGCTCTGCGTCATGCTGCTCGAGGAGAATAATGGCAGGAATGGTTCAGAGGAATCACTGGAGCGCTGCGTGGAAAACCCAGGCCAGTTCTGATCCTGACTACTGCTGTCTCTATGTCTTAACGAATTGTCTATACCCTGCCCCTGGCCTAGCCCGTGGAAGAACTGTTCTGAGTTTTGAGCACGTTTCCTTCCCTTAGACACTTCAGGGAACCGGGAGGTGCTTTGTGAGGTCTCGTACGTTTGGCGCTGTGACTGGACAGCACTGGTTAACGTTCTTTCATTCTGCGAAGTCCTCCGCATTGTGTTGGCATGCGAGGAAACCATTGGTTGATGCATCTGATGGGCCGAGGTTCGGGTGTCTGCGGCACTGACCACATGATGTGGATCCAACGACACGTTAGGTTGGCGTTGGTCTTGGCCCTGCATGTGCGATAGTCCGTGGTGATTGTGATGAATGTTGGCACGCTTGGCTGGATTGCTTGGCTGAGTTGGTGTATTGGACATTCTCTTCAATGCCTGTCCATGCTGTTGGACATGCATGGTCTGGGATTGAGATACACCAAAACGTGCGGAATGGTCCATATTTGATTGGGTGTAGACTGCACTTTTGTTGTGTATATCATGGGACGGATCAGACACCTGAGCCATTTCACTCTGACTGATATAGACAGGTTGTGAATGCACCTGTCTACCAGGTAAAATTCTGCTGTCTGGCCGGGATTCACTGGAGCTGTTCATCACAGTGGGATCCGATGACCCTGACTTCTGATTGTCAAACATGTTCAAGTTGAAGTCCATGGGGTCGGGCGGATCCGTGGCCTGGCCCAGAAAGTCTGACCCTCGGGCAGGTTGTAGGAAATTCTGGAAGGAGTTAGATGGCTGGCCGGATGTCGAGCGAGACTCCTCATTGTGGAGGAACATCTGGCCTTGATTTTGCTGGAAGGCATAGCGCTTAGCATCATGCATGTTGCTGCCCTGCTGCTGCTGTTGCTGCTGCTGATGGGCAAGGTTCATGACAGGTGACTGTGAAGGGTTTCTCAGGTTGCTGGTCTGTAATGTCTGTGTCTGTTGCGGATCTGATGGCATATTGTGACTTTGAAGGTCATGAAATCCAGAGGGTGACGAGTGTTCACTGATACAAGATTGCATTGGTGAGCAGTCAGGCTCTGAACTACTGCGTATTGAGTGGCTGGAGCTGTTGGACCCCCGACGACTGGGCTTCTTAGCCTTGGATTTTTCAACAACAGCTGGGTTGGGATCCCTGTTGATAGGCACAGAGAAGGGAGACATGTCTGTGGACTGACTGTCCACCTGGGGGCTGTGCTGGACCGGCAGCGAGGAACTCAAGTTAGCTGTTGACCGGTTTGAAGCTATGGTGTCACTGTGGCGTGAAGAATACACAGAGGGCATGTTACAGCTCTCAGGCTTCGAGATACTTGGGCGATTGTAACCATCATTGTTTGAGGGATTCCATAAGGAGTGTACCTGTGCAATAGATGGTGAAGACGCGACAGTGGTAGAAGGCGCACTGTCAACATTCGTCTTTGGCTTTTCTTTTGCACTTTGCTTGTTGTCTTTCCGTTGGAATGTCATCACAAGACCAGAGTCCTTACGACCACTGCGCTGGGAGCTCTGAGAGATGTTCTGGACGCTAAAGGAATGCTTCTCCCTTGACTGATTGAAGTCCCCTGCTGAGGCTTGGTTGCTGTCATCTTCCTCCCCCTCTGCTAACCAGGGATACTTATCAATCAAATTGGGGTTTAGTTCCCTTTTGCCTATTTGATCCATGTCTGAGGTGCTTGGCACTTTAGCCACTTTGCCAGTTTCACTTTTGTCTGGCTGTTGTTCAGACTGCTCCTTCTGGCAACTGGACCGTCGCTTGCCCTTGGGGATTTTTATCTTCAGAGGTGGGATCGTTTTCTCTGCTGTCTTGACTTTTGATGGTGGTTCAACAGCAGGAGTGGGACTTGAAGGTTTCTTGGGCGACTCAGTGATCTCAGAGGTAAGTGTGCGATGCAAAGTCTTAATGGAAAAAGTCTTTCCAGTTTGGTTCTTTTTCCCCGCTGAGTTATCAATAGGTCTTCCAGAAGATGAGGTTACAGGTGTTGACATTAGATTTGAGGACTCAACAGAGGTTCTGGCGGTGCTTTCCGCCAGTGACATGAGATTTTGGAGTCCAATATTCTCTATAGAGCCTTCTCTGCTCTGACTGCTGCTTATTTCAGATCTCATGTTAGACCCATGCCTAATATTGCCCTGGTCTAGAGTGTCTTGGAGAAGATTCTGCTCAGGCGTCATTCGGCTCTCAATCTGCAAGGGGTTTTGGAACTCAGGAGTCCTGGTACAGATTCCTACTGGACTATCTACCTTGTGTCGCCTGTCAATGCTTGTATGATGCCAGGCTATAGTTCCAGAAGAATGTGGCGACTCCAAATTACCTAATCCACTTGTTGCAGGTGTTACATCCAATATGGATGGACGCTGAGGACTCTGGCTCTCGCTGGTGGATGAAGCTTGCAGGCCACGCAGGCCATCATGTCTTGGCAAAACGGTTTTGTTCAAATCCATTAGCGGAGGTTGATCGTGTGGCAAGTTGGAGGTGGCTTCTGTGATATTCTGCATTGCTTCATTGGTTGGAAAAGAAGCAACGTCCGACATATCTCGACCGAAGTGAAGAGGTGGGGATTCCTGGCTTGGTGTTTGAGGTGTGGAGGTAGTTTTGCTGCCCATATTAGATGAGGGGCTCAGCCACATTGGTGAAAATAATCCCGAACTTCCGGGTTGGTTGATTGAAGTATCTGAAGTCTGGGATGTGACAGGTAGTTGAATTGCCCCAGTGCCAGAGGTGGAGGGAGGTTGATTCTGAGACCTGGCTGGCTGCAAACCTCTGGCAAGCTCTGAAGCCTTTGAATGATGGGATATCCATCCTGATTGGTGTGCTACCTGAGTTGATATGGGATCCTGTTCATTCTCGTTAATGACGGGAGTTGATGTGCCCGATTCTGGCTTTTGGATGCCACTCTCTGGGATGGACGAGTTGAGGGAGAATATACTTGGGATAGGAGATATGAAACCTGGACCGCTGCCATCTGATGTTGTGACAGATGCCTGGCTGACTGTTGGTGAATCTAGCATGAAACCTGACGCTGATGATGCAACAGGGACATCGCTGACAATACCTGGCTGGTTGCTGGTAGAGGTTGCCATTGTCTGCTCAGGAACTAGACTTGAGACAGAGTCTACCCCTTCCTGAGAAGTTGCAACTGGTTGTCCTGTGCTGAGGGAATCCCGGAGACTAGTCAGCGCCTTAAGAGAGTTCACCTCATTGTCATTCTTTGAGTAGTCAGCCTCCTCCTCCTCAATGTAGGTTGGGAGCCCACTCACGCTCATTGAGCTGCTCAATATGTCGCTGCCAAAACTAAAGGATGGAAAGGATGTGAAGGCATTGTTCGAATTTGTTGGGGTGGATTCTGAGGAGCCGCAGACAGCGACGCTGCTGGCATTCGACACAGTCGGGAGGTTGCTTGTGCTACCAGCAATGAGAGCCTCGGTTGAGAAGTTCGAGGAGAGAGCTGCTGAGGCTTGGGCTTCAGTTTCCTTTTCATCAGTGCCATCTGTTTTCTCCATCCAACTCTGCAGCAATGACTCTGCAATCATATTAGCTCTTTCGATAGGAGACCCTTCCATGGAGACATCTGATTTGGCTGGTGTGGCATCATCTGTAGAGATGGTAGTTTTGGAGTGGCTGTGATGATGATGGTGGTGTTTCTTCTTCTCTTTGTCTTTATCTTTGTCCTTCTCCTTGTTTTTCTTTTTCTTTTTCTTCTTGGATTTGTGTTTCTCATGTCGATGGGATGTCTCCATGGCTTCTTCGGTTGGAGGGGCTACCTCTTGAAGTGGTGTAGCAAAGGTGTTAGGTAAATCTCGACCCAGCTGAATGCCGGACTGCAGGGTCACAATGCCCCCAGCACTGATGGTTTGTTGGGGAGCAATGTTTGGTTTGATGTCAGGCCCCTGTCCGGGCATGTCGCCAAAATTCATCATAGGTGAGTTCTCGCTCAAGGAATTTGGAGAGAAGATGGACTCAGCAGCTTTGGCCAGGATGTCGTTGTCTCGGTCATTGCTGTAGTCTCCCATGTCCTCTTGGCCGCGGTCTGAAGACTCCTGGCCTGAGGTGAGGATATTGAGAGGTGCAAGCATGCTGGAATCTTCACCTAATCCATTCCCTTCTTGGATAGGCATCGGCTCTTGTTTTGGGACAAGAAGACCCTGACTGGCAAGAACAGCACCCTGTTGAGATGTGTCTTCCCCCTGGCCTGCTTGGAGGTTGCTTGGAGTTGCCTGATGCTGGGTCAAACTGACTCCAGACTGATTACTGGCTGTTCCCTGTTGTGCGTTGATTGGCAAGGCGTTCTGGAAGCCAGGCCCAGACATGATTATCTGCCCTCCGGCGTTGGTCTGCAATACTCTGTTGCCTTGACTCAGAGGCATGGTCACAAAGTTCTGATTGACTCCTTGAGGTTGCTGTTGTGGCTGCAGTGGCTGCATCATGGTCTGGGCACCAGAAGGCACTGCTGCCGGATTGCTCTGCTGCTGGAGAATGACCGGAATCAGTTGGCCGTTCTGTTGGATGTAGACCAAGTTTTGCGTCATCACTGGTCTGCTGATCTGCATGGGCATGATGACATTCTGAGCAGACCCTTGGCCTGGCTTCTGTACCATAATATGCTGGCCCTGTTGGTTTACAATAACATTCCCTGGGTCAGCGCCTCCTCCAGCCACTGGCAGCCGAACAGTAACCCCACCTGGGGGTGGAGTGGCTATGTTAACCTGCTGGCCACCTGTTTGGCTAACAGATGGCGAGCCAGTCCTGGATGACTCCGTTTCTGTCTCAGAAATATTCTTCACCTTTGATGAGGATTTCTTCTTGGATTTTGGGGTGCTATCAACTCCCTGCATGATCTGGGCATTGACGCTGCTGCCGCCTGAGGCTGGCTGGGGCAAGATCATCGGTTGGGAGGAGCGAGTGGCAGGTGCAGCTGATGACGGGGCTATGCGAACAGGTAGATTCTGGCCTTGTCGCACAGGAAGGGTTAGCATGATTGCCTGGTTGGCTGTTTGGGAGGTGCTGGCCTGACCAGCACCCGGGACAAGAGGTACAATGTACCTGACAGTCTGAACTTGACCAGGGGCTTGAACGTTACCTCCCTGTAGTACGACTGTGCTCTGGTTTCCTGGTGTGGTGATGGGAGTATTGACTGCTTGAGTGACTACTGTGGACTGAGCTGTAGGGGTATCCGAAATGCTTGTGCTGAGTTGGGTACTGGATATGTTTGCTTGCTGCTGCTGCCCTGTAGTAGTCTGCGCCTGAGATACTGTGGCACTTGCATCAACAGCAATTTGACTGCCTGCCATTGACTGTGGAGGTTGGTTTGCAAGTACCATCCCGGATGGAGTGGCTTGCTGGTTCCCAGACATGGTCACCACAACTGACGACTGATTGGTGACTGTGGTGCTTTGATATTTGCTGACGGCAGGAACCAAGATGTAACCAGCCCCGTTGGGGTTAGGTTGAAGTATAGCCATGCCTCCTTGTGTTCCTTGGACGTTGCCGACTAGTGTCGTGGGTCCACCTCCTACCACATGACTCTGCATCTGGTTGCCTCCCTGCACGGCTACCGTAACCTGGTTAGGACCTCCTGGTAGGTAAGTGAGGTGAGGTTTGCTCTGCATGGCGGCCATCTTGCTGCTGGCTGACGATGAGCTGCTGTCAGATTTACGGGATCTGGAGCGGGACTTTGGCTGCTCTACTGCCCCATTAGGATGGGTTTCCATGTCTTGGATGATCTCTTGGTAGCGCTTGTTCTCTGAGCGCAGTTTCTCATTCTCCTTCCGAAGTTTCTTGATCTCCTCAGCAGCTAATATAAATAAAAACAAAATAAAAAATTCACTATGTTAATAACTTCTTATCTTCTCATCATCACATCACTTTATCATCATTGTCCACTTCAATTCAGTCTGATCTTTTAAACCGTCAATGTCAATATTGTTATTATCATCATTAGCAATATCAGCATCAATTTAACCTTAAAGACTAAGCTTTGGATATTTCACGAAAAACGCAATCCTGCTTATAGACACTAGCCGGCTTTTATCATTTTTGAAAATGTTGACTGTATGTTTTAACTTTGATCTTTTGTTTTGAATAAAATTAATATTCTTTGCAAGCATTCTCAATGTATTTATTAAATGTTGTGCTGCACACACAAAAAATTCAATGAGACAAAATACATGTACAGGCTAAATTCTTTGGGAAGTTGACAATGAAGTTGAAAATTTCCCTTTTAGTGATAAAACTTTGAAGTCCGAATCCCAAAATTGTCCATTATCCATCAATATTTTCAATCAATTTCTGGAATATTTTCCACTAAGTTTCTTTATTACACCTGGCAAATATAATGCTGTGTTAGGAAATATTTTTGTACACGAAATGAAATGTGCATCACACATCCAAACACTTATGTTACATGTAAACTAATTTGTTGAGTTTTACGATAACAAACTACCCCGTACATGTACTTGCCCACATGCCCCCTTTTTGAGTCACCTTTGAGTAATGTTTGGTACACTCGATTGTTCTTTGAGAAAAATGTGGGTAGGGACTGCAGGATATCATCAGCACCAGTACACAACTCACATTGAGCCCTTTGCATAGTTGGGTACTTTGAGCCTCCAACATCGTACATCGTCCAATATACATGTGGTCTTTTTTTTTCATTTTTGTAAACAAAGTATAGTTTAAATGTTTGAAGGACCCTAATAGAAACTAGTTTTAACTTTTTGAGCGTCTCAAAAATCGGAACGCTCCCGTTCTGTATGGAACATTCCTTTTAGGAACATAAGGTGTTGCCATCAGGAACACGTTATGTTCGCAACTGGAACAGACCTTTCCTGGTTAAGCGTGCACGCGCATAGACCGATGTTCCCAAGCTGGATCAGTGGGGTGCTGTGGTCCAGTGGTTACGGTGATCGACTCGTGTGCAGTGGTACATGGGTTCGAATCCTGACAGGGAACATCGTGTTTGTGCACTTGGGCAAGGCACTTTACTACGATTGCCTCTCTCTACCAAGGTGTAGTTAACGGGTACCTGGAAGGAGGAAATTCCTTCAATGCTTGAGCGCTGTAATGGCAGCCGTGCCAAAGCCAGGGTAATAATAGAGCGCCAGGAGCGTGACAGACATGAGCGCTGTACAAGACGCCATTATTTTAAATAACAATGTATGTTCCTAATTGGAACAGGCGATGTTCCCTGATGGAACGTTCGACTTTTTGAGACATTCCCTTATCCTAGGTAGAGAAATATAATAATTATAAATGAATTGAGACTGATCCCTGGGCTGACCTTCAGGGTCTGAAGTGTTCGCCAACAGGAGTTTCTCGCTCTTTTCCCGGAGTTCGTCGATGTACAGGCACGCCTGCTCCAGGATTTGATTCTTGCTCTGCGAAAGAAAAAAGAAAAGAGAGACGTAAAGTTACAAAGTGTGCATCGCGAGAAAGGATCATCGGCGCTAATTTTAACACCTTGGCAGTGTCGCTAGGAACTGTCCTAAGTCCACCCAAATCAATCACTCTGGGTTTTTTTTCTTCATTTGAAGCAACAAAATTGCACAAAATTTTAAGAAGGGTGCACAACAACTAACTTGTTGAAGTTTCAGCTCAGTGGATACTAAACATTTTGAGAAACCAGAGAAAATGTAGGCACAATATTTGGGGTCCCGTAACTAAAATTCCATTGATAACGCACATAAAACTCTACAAGTGCCCGCGGGCACATTGTCTTAAACCACCTTCATGTTAGTTTTCTTCTGATTGATACCATTTAAGAGGGAACAATTTTCCAGGGTATTTGATACATGTCAGTTCTATCTTCCCTCTGAGCAAGGATTTTCTTGTTAAATCGGTAGGTACATTTGTACATTTTTGGGTAATTTAAAATGTTGCTACGTGCCTTTTACTTCTAAGGGCCATCCAGCCCCATGTAAAGTAATATTATTTTGGGCTCTACCTTCCTTAATCCTCAAAAATCTTTAAAACTGTGCAGGAACGAAATGGCACGCTCTTTGTACAGGTACCAAGTTTCAAGAGGCATAAAGGCTCCCTTATTAAGTAATAGTTTCTGACCTCTACCTTCCTCAATCCTACAAAATCCTTCAAAACCTCCTGGTGGATTTGGAAGGCTATGGGACGGTGAGTGTTTTAAAATCTACAAGTACATGTACATGTACATGTATGCTCTGTTCAATCATACTGGCAACTCAAAAAAATTGAATTGAAAAGACTGTCTACTGAGCCCGGCTTCATGGTGTTTTGGTCAATTAGCCTATCGTGGTAGAATCCCCTCAACGCAGCTTGTGAAATATTGTCCAATTATCTGTGGAGGCAGAACGCGCAAAATCTGAGACAAACAAAACGTAATGTACAACATTCCACAGGGTTGTCCATTAAAGGGGCGTGGCTAACTTGTAAACGGCAATAGGTCAAATGTGTGGAATGTGCAGTGTCGCATTGGGGCTGCGCACGTGATGTTAACCACGTGCCTAGGGTTTAAAGGATCAGTCCATTGTTTCAGAACTCTTAATTGAAATCATGACTCCAATTTTCTTTAAACAGAATTGACTCTCTGTAGCTGCTGATTCCAGTTCCGTCAAGATCCCTTTCCCGACACTTAATAAAAAAAAAAAAAAATTAAATGATACACATTCATGTTGTAGAGGGATAACACCTCTTCTTAACTTTACATTATTGATACTAATGGTAAAGTGCCTTGCTCAAGAGCACAAGCACCATGTTCCCACGATTAGGATTCGAACCCATGTACCATGGCACACGGGTCGAACACCATAACCATTGGACCACCGCACCCTACAAGTATTTTTATTTACACTGTTAACTCAGTGTTGACGGGAGTGTTGGTGAGAAATAATCACTCGGTTGGGACTCAAACCCACAACTTCCTGCTTACTAGCGCAAACTAATTAAAAAAAATAATAAAAAACGTCTTTGAAGGGCAAACCCAGTATTGAAATTACATTTTATGAATACTTTGGTTGCGACACCTTCTGCTATATCAGATTCGAACCAGCCAGCCAACCCCGCCAGGCTCGGTGGTTAAAGAGGTTGTGGAATGCTTGAAGACATTTCCGTCATTTTTCGGGTATATGCTACTACCTAAGGTGTGATGAAATAAAAACGACTATTGTGTCTGTCATGAAATGAGTTTTTCAAGTCCTGTCATGCCTGTTTCGACCCGAACGTGCAATTTGTGTAAAAGTCGTCGTTGCGGGCAGCAAACAAAACACAGTAAATCGTGACGTAATAAACAGGACTCCCGATGCAGAGTAGCATAAACGAGTCCTGTTTATTACGTCACGATTTACTGTGTTTTGTTTGCTGCCCGCAACGACGACTTTTACACAAATTGCATGTTCGGGTCGAAACAGGACCTGAAAAATAGCTCTCAAAAGTAACCTTAGTACTCATTTCATGACAGAAACAATAGTCGTTTTTATTTCATCACACATTAGGCTACATAAACCCCAAAAATGACGGAAATGTCTTCGAGCATTCCACAACCTCTTTAAATGGTAAGACATCTGCACTAGTAAGCAAAAGGTCGTGGGTTTGAGTCTAACCCGAGTGATTATTTTCTCACAATCAACCAGTACAACACTGAGTATACATGTACAGTGTTATAAAAAATACGTCGGTGAATGGCAAAACCCAGTAATGAACTGCGATTTTCCGAACACAAGTTACAATAGATAACATGCACCACTTACCATTTTGGTGGTCTGGCATATCGGGATGATGTCCCCTAGTTTGATGATGCCGATGTTGATTTTACACTTCCGTCGGCGTTCAATCTCGTTGTGAGAATCTCGCTTCTTCCTGTCTTGCCTGTAAACACACAAACCCATGCACACGGGTCATTCTATAAATATGGAGTCCACTTATTTTTCCCTGTCCCTATTACATCTAACCTCTGTGGTTTTATTATACTGAAGCACTCCTTTATTATCCCTATCGTACCTGAATCCATCAAAATCCACACCCCTGTTTTGGGGGATTTTGGCGGATTCAGGATACCTCCATCTTGAAAAAGTAGGGGGATTTTGATGGATTCAAGACATGAAACCAAGCGGTACTGCAGGATTTTGATGGATTCAGGATAACTCCATCTTGAGCAGTTGGGCGACTTTGATGGATTTAGGATCTCAACAGATTAAATCTCCCGGCTAACTGGTACATGTAGATTCTAATGGACTCACTGGCCACCAAAATTTGTGTGCTTGGCAAAATTGATGGCTTTTGGCAGATTCAGGATCCTTTCTACTAAATACACCCAAGGGGCCAGGGTTAAAAGCGCAATCATCCTCCAAGAGTAATTATGAATAGCAAACTACCTACCCAACAAATACAAAATAATTTGAAGCAGATTATTGATACTTGAATGTAGCAAGGTAGCAGGGACAGGACATGATTACAGTTATGCAAATAATGGAGAGGAAAGTGGTGAAGCGTGTAGTAATATGAAACTTTTATTTACTACATTTAAAACTACAAAACTGTAGACAATTCCATCACCATGATCACCAGTCCCATGTGAAGTAGTCTTGGGTCAAAACATTGTTGTACATGGATACACGATCACCTACCACAAGAGGGCGCTATCACAAGGATTCACTATCACCCACGAACAGCTATCACAATGACGACTGGGGAATCTTGTACGTTGTAGTGGTCTTGTCATGTGCTTGCACCTGTTTCACCAATTTGTATGCAGTGCACTTTCAAAACCTTGCATGAAAGCTCCAAATTTTCAGCCAGTAACATGCAAGAGATGCTATTAGACATGCGGGACTGCTGTGAATCTTCACGGTAACTCTTTTGTCGTACGTACATGCAGTACACATGCGACCAAAATGGACCGTGTTTGCCAACAAAAGTAGCGCATACATGTGCACTAGTTACCCCATTTTTTTAGGGGGAAATTTTTTACAAGATTCACGAGATGTTGTTGTGATAGCTATTGAGTGATAGCGATTCATCGTGATAACGCTCTCTTGCAGCAGGTGACCGAGTACCCAACACACAACTTCTCGACCCATGACTACATGTGAATCTGCGAGCTATTTATGACAAAAGCATCCGTCTTGTTCATCCCCTATTACTGACTTGTGACTGATGTAGCATTTGACCAGTGTTGTAGTTAAGATACGTGTGTTGACCACAAGTACATGTACATCAAAAGTCCAGTCACAAGTAAATCACAAGTCAGCTGGGATGTAATCGAGTCCATCACAAGTCCATCACAAGTCCATCACAAGTCCTCCAGTCCCACTTCCAATCACAAGCTATTCAAATGAGCTTTGACAAAGGCATTCCCTTGTCATTGTTCATCCACTGTTACTTGTGACTGGACTTGTGATTTACTTCTTACAAGACTTGCGATGGATTTATGATGGACTGAACTTCATCCCTGCAAGTCAATACACTAGTTCAGTCACAAATAACAGCATGTAAACAATCAAACATGGATGCCTTTGTCTCAATTCATTTTGACAGCTTGCGAGTTGACTTGGGACTTGAAGACTTGCGATGGATACTGATGGACTTGTGATGGACTTGTGATGGACTTGTGATGGACTTGTGATGGACTTGTGATGGACTTGTTGTGGACTTGTGATGGACTAGTGTTGACTTGTGATGGATTTGTGATAGACTTGTGATGGACTTGTGATAGTCTTGTGATGGACTAGTGATAACTTGTGATGGACTTGTGATGACTTGTGATAACTTGTGATGGACTAGTGATAACTTGTGATGGACTAGTGATAACTTGTGATGGACTAGTGATAACATGTGATGGACTAGTGATAACTTGTGATGGACTAGTAATCACTTGTGATTGACTGTGATGACTTGAGAGAGACTAGTGATAACTTGCGATGGACTAGTGATCACTTGTGATTGACTTGAGAGAGACTTGTGGTGACTTGTGATGACTTGTGATGAACTTGTGATGAACCTTTGATGGACTTGTGATGGACATGTGATCTTTACAAGTACGGTACCCTGACTACAACTCATCAATTCTGTCTGTGTTTAGTACAGGGCCCAGTTTCAAGTAGAAAATCTTGCTTAGCAGATTTGTGTGCAATTGGCCGGGAATCAGTCAGAACCAACAGGCACTAGATGACAGTTTGGCTGGTAACCTGATTTTGCTGAGCAAATAACGTCTTTGCTTCCCAAATTTCCGTGTACTTACGCGACGCCTGGGTTAATGTTGTGCATCTGAAGACCCATCTCAAGTGGAGTGGTGGTAAGCAGTTGCTGCGTCATAACTGCACACAAAAACAAAACAAAAGAAAGTAGACAATGTGCGTCTGTCAATAACCATTAGCAAGTGTATTACATTGTATTTATTCACTGAAGAATCAATCAAACCATTGAGTGCTTGGGCTGTTTTTGGTGCTACAGTGGGTAATAGGCAGGCGGTTTCGGGCTCTACGGTGACTAAAGGGTTAACACAGTAACTGTTGTAATGCAAGTCTGATAGACCTCCATCATCTGTCAATCGTAACTCTTTACATGTACATATGATTTTTCGTTGGCATTCTTCCTGAATCCTCCAAATTCCACTAATGTCATGAATGTGCAGGAAACTGATACATGTATACATTGTGCCATAATTGAACCCTGACTGCCCTGAATCCTTCAAAATCCTCTTTGCTAAAGTGCATGGAGGAATTTGAAGGATTGAGGTTACATGGCAAAAGTGCGGTAATGATTTCTTAGGATGCACTTTGTCAAGGTCTTGGGCTGGACCTTGTGTTGTTTTGGCTCAGCAATGCATAAATATAGGCCTGGATTATGCTTGAAATCCTACGTACTGCTCCAGGATGTCACTGGCCAAGCCTCAACATGTTGACAGTCACTGCTGCTGGATTTTGCAGGATCAAGGCAGTGGTCACCCTCCATGGACCATATTCAAGAAATAATGGAGGAATTTGCACGATTCAGGCTGTATGTTTTTTTTCCATGAGGCCAATTGGAGGATTTTGCAGGACTGAAGTTACAGTTCATCCTAGCAAAAGGGCCTAGGGAGTACCTTTTGGCTAGGAACCATCCTCAATCCTGCAAGATCCTCCAAACGCCATCATGTAAAAATTGGATTGAGCCTCAATCATCCAAAATTGGAAGGGTGACCACTGCCTCAATCCTTAAAACTGGTAACCCACTATTGTGCGTGCAAACAAAGCCCCTTTGTCTACCTGGGTAAACTGGTAAACGAAAATGGCTTTGTTTACATGCACAAAGGTGGGTTACCAGTTTTGTAGCAGTAGCAGCTGCAATCGTCGCATCAAGCGTGCATGCAAGTTGAAAAACAGATGGTCGTGTGCAAAACTCTGATGTCTCTAACATATCGTTGGTCTGAGGTCCTAAAAACCATAGTTAACAAATTTTTAAGAGTTATTGATCAATCAGGGAAGCTTTTTGGACAAATATTTGTTGAGAAAGTGAAATTCTAGGTGTAAGTAATTCACCTATCACGGGGCTCAACCAAATTTATGAAGACCCAAGTAATGATACTTGTGCCTTCTAGTTCTAGAAGTACATACTATGTATACACCGGCATGTCTGTGTACATTTATACTGTAATGGTGTTAAATACATTGTAGCAACGGTACAAGACATGTTGAGTCGTTCATGAGGAGACTAATTTAAACGCGAGAGGCAGTCGGGTTAGTTCCATGCTTACATGAACATACATGTAGCCATTGTGATTTTGCATTCTGGAGACAGGAATCAGACCTACAGTAATTTTATAAAAGTCCTAGAGAGCCATAGGCCTAAATCAGAAAGAAAAGATGAACTACTCTGCATTTAAATGTAGGATTCAATTCAATTTAAAACAAATAAGGAAGCAAACATGCATAGGTGTTTTGCGTACATGTACGTGTAGCGGATTCATTTCATTTCAAGCAGTGTGTACTGTGATGGTGAAAACGTATAGTGAAAAATGCAGGACCGGTTCCCGGTATTTAGGCTATAGGCTCTGTGCACAAGAACCCTTTCAACGGCTAGAAAAGGAGAGTTGCGGGAGACCAAGACTGGTTACATCCACTGCGTATTTTGAATGATCCAAAGTTATTAGGGGCAGGAATTAGTCTGGGAGGCCATCACAAGTTAAATTTGAATGTATTCGCGTGCCGACGACGCATAACGCTAATGGAAGATGCTGTGGTTAATAGCTATGGCACATTTAGGAAGTCGTGCGTACTTCGCGCGTGAACCAGTCCAGTACATTGCAGCACGATCGACACATCGACCGATTGCGCCCAACATATTACTTTTTTTATTAGGCCTAGGCCTATAATAAACGTATGGAAAGTCAAATGCATTTTCAAATTGAGTGAGTATTTACCATTCACTAAAAATTAAAATAAGTAAAAATTTTGAAGTTTTTCTCAGAGAATGAGAGACAGTCCCAGATTCATGTTTTTTTTTCAACATTTTGCAACGACTGAACTTTATTGAGATAATATATGATGAAAAAGTGGCGTCAGGATGCAAAATTCCTTCCGAAAACCCTACTTTTAGCCGAAAATGGTTAACCTAAGCGACTGACATGACAGATCAGAATTTGCACATTCAATTGTACACAAAAATCACGCGTTACTTACCCGTGTCGACTGTTGTAGCGTTGTCCGATTCAGTAACTTCGCCATTCAAATACTTTTCAGCCGCGTTCGTTATCAATTCTGTCCGTCGATTGACTTCATTTTCGTCGATATGGTGACCTTGAATATCGTCTGCATCCATGTTGATAATTTATGACCACATCTAAGAATCCATAAGTGATATTTTGGGCGATTTTTTAATTGTTTATGTCAAAGAAAATATTTCGCGACAGACTTGTCGCCATTTTGACTGACTCGTGTCTATAACCCGCCTCGTCGCGTCACACATTTACGTTTGTGCATAAAATTCAATTGCGGAACCAGTCTTAAAATGAGCAGCCTCGCTTCGAAAATTGCCAGACACAGTTTCGACCAAGAGAGGGCGCTGTTCAGACTGATTGGTTATCAACGTGCGAACAAAATAACTAAAAAAGGCGCAAAATACACCCCAAAGAAAAAACCCAGCTAGAGAGACACTTTCGAGAACAAAAAGTCCTTTCCTTTTATAACGAATACTGAAACAATGGAGTGTTTTTATTCGTCCCATGCTATCTTGGTACGTGCATGGAGGAATAAGAACACAGGTACGTGCGATTGTGTAAGTACATTTTGGAAAATTCGACTTAGTTTCTTGCTTGCCTCTTCGGTGAAAGATTTCTTGAGCTGATGAATTATTTTCGTGGCTAGATCATCTAAAAGCATTTGGAATACAAATTAAATGAAAATAGCCTACACTTCTGCATCCTAAAATGGCAATTATTTCCACAAATTAGTTATACCATGGAGCTATGGTTATACCCCCCCCCCAAATTGCTTGAAGCCAAACTCAAAAACGAAACCGAGTTTTGCAGAACACCAATAAAGTTGCCGGACGCAATAAACAGCGCCCTCTATTGAAATTCGTGAAATTGCGCCGGGCGGCGACAGCCAGCAGGCGAGCTCGAATGCTCGAGCGCGCGCTCCCCTGGCCTCTCGCAAAAGCAAAATAGAAACAAGCAAAAAAGGAAAAAGTTTTGTTTTCTAATTTATAAAGCTTGGGTACATAATTATACTTACTTCACCTTGGGCACTTAAGACTGACACAATCAGAAATTAGAAAATTAGAACACACTTTTAAAACATGAATTACTCAAGTGGTCAAGAACTTTTTTCAACTTTCACTGGGGAGGTTACTCCGTGAGCAAGTGTTTATGTAAGTGCAAGGGCGGATTCAGAACACAATTTTTTTGGGGGGGGGGCCAAAAAAAAATTTGTGTCTCCCAAAAAGTGGGTCAAAAAATTACGGCGTGGGGTTTGGGGCCCGCTTAAGGGCCCCGAAATTGTTTGGATTCTCGATGCTCTGTGCATGGTGTGATCTGAGGCAATTTCTGACCACTTTAGCCAATGTTTTTTGAGGAAAAGATGGTGGTGTACTCATTGCATGCCTTTTATTACGACGCGTCACATAAAAAAAAAACCAATTGGTTTCGTTTTTTTTGTGCGTGTAAGTGAAGGGCAAAAACTAATATTGATTTACATCATCCCAATGCAAATTCCATCTTATGAACAGTTTAATTGTGGTACCCCCTGCTGGTTCGAATAGCCAACCGATCTAGCAAGCTCGGTGGTCGAGCGGTAGGACGCGTCTGCACTAGGAAGCAGGACATCGTAGGTTTAAGTTCCACCCGAATGATTTTTTTCCCAAGTTTCACTCGAGAGGTTACACACTGAGTATACAGTGTTTATGCGTCTGTGATGGGCAAAACCGTACATGATTAATTAATTTGCAAGTTCGATAACAACAGAAATGGACCAACTTTAATTTTTTTCAGGATATATGCTGCTAGCATTTATTTGAGACACACCCGCAAAACTTGATTGCACTTACAAAATCAACAAGTTTTCAATGCATTTTTATTAATCTATGCAAAGCTAAGTAAACCATGATACAAGTTGGAAATTGGTCACAATTCGGAAAGTGAAAGTGTACAACAGCTTATAAAACTGATAATGAATTACTTAATGCAAACTCCATTTGTTGGGAGCATATACCCCAGCTGCAATGCTCATCAAGAATTCGACATTTAATGTCAAATTCTTGATAAGCATTTGTCAGCAGGATTACTCAAGCTAGAGAGATCCTCACAAAGTCATTTCTACCTTTTTTACCTTTTTTACCGTAAAAAAACCAACCCGTCATCTTTGACCCAAGGAATCCTAGTAGAGGTGTCCATAAAATGATCAACCCACATACCAAGTTTGAAGTTCATACTCCCATTCTACCTTAATTGAGTTCACACACCACTGCCTACAGTATGATGTACTACAAAATTTCATTACAAAAAATGACCTTAATTTATAAACAATCATGCACGCTCTTCTGATAATTATGACAGGGTCTGTGGCTAGACTAGTCAGAGTCCGCAGTACCTAAAACAATAATGAGTGTAAAATAGTGAGATTTGACCAAATTTTCGGTAGCAATTTTGCTGGTCTAGAATTGCACACATTCTGCACATACACTATTGCAGCTGAAACTTGCAGTGGGTAATAATATTTCAAGTACATATTTTTATGATTCCTGTGCTTTTCTCTAAAAACGAAGCCGCGTAGCCTTGTACTCTAATGAACAGTTTGTGCTTATTGGGCCAAGTAAAAAATAAGTTTCTTGTACGAGTTTTTTTTTTCACATTGGCCACAGATTTTCGAGGCTCCAGATAGCAATTTCATGTCATCAAAGTCAATTTGAGCAGTGAAGAAATACAAGCATTTTCTTAGAAAACACTTAGAATTTTTCAGTCCAATCTCATAGGGTTTGTACACAGGGTGTTGAGTGAACTTCGTATTTGGAAATCTTCCCATACTTTTTTATCAAAAGGAGCCTGTCGCCCTTTTGAACTTGCGTACAAAGCTACAATTTTGCTGGAAACAATATTTTAAAAACCCAGTAATGCCATGCAAAATTTCAAATTGGAGATTGCAAATGTTTGATAAAAAGAAAAAGACTAAAAAAAAAATGGAGGCAGGCGCTAAAAATGGAAGCGCTGGGGGCGAGAAACTTTTTTTTTTACTTGACCTTATGAGAATAGGCACTCGGAAAACTGTGCAATATTTGGCGCTTTTCATGTTGTCTTGTTTTGTTATGGTTTGGTAATATTTCATTCTATTTTAATTTATTTCCATACATGTATTCTCACTTTATCCATGACACAATTGAATAAGGAGTTTTTTTTATAAAATTAAATTTTAAATCACGTTTTTTGATTTGATAATGCTCAGGAAAGTGAAAAGTGATTTCTGCATTAACCAATATGATCCTAAATTTTTGCTAAACGTCCTTGCTACTTTTACTTTGGAAGCTTGCATGCATTTTTATGCAACGCTTGAATAAATCCTGTCATCTGATTTGGATGGAAATCAATCACATGACATTGACTTATTCGTCCTATTGGTGGCTCTGTCACACTATTGGTGGCTCTGACTAATCGGATGACAAAGATTTAATCAGGTGTTGTTTAAAACAATTAATGAATGTTTCACATTCGTGCAATGGAAAGAATAATCTAGTTCAATGAAAAATGGAATATTCGATGAACATTCCGTCCGACACCTCACGAAATGATTCTCACCATTACACTCATAAACATTCGTTATTTGTATAATATTGTCTAATCTATTAACATTTCAAAATCGTGGTCAAATTCTGAGTAAGTTTTTTGTGGTCGTAAGTTGGTCAAATTACCTTGATTTTAAGGTAACCTTTTGAAAGCCGTTTTGTTTCACAAGTTAATCCTCTTCGTTAACCATCAGTGGTTGATAGGCGTAAACGCGTTGCTTGCGTCTACGCATGACGACAACCAGTGTGCCGAGTACCAGCACACAGCCAACCAATAGGCAGACAGTAGTCAGAAGCACTGGCAGCTGAACAGACGACATCTCTGACTTGGTTTCTGAAGGAAAAAAAGGAAAAGCATGTTAAAATTCCATAAATTACCAAAAACTAAAAGGGACACAATGGGCAGGGGTGTAAATCCCGGGGGGGATATCACCATTCAACTTTTTGACCAGGGGGATGGGCTATTGAATCATCCCCCACCCACTTTATGTGATGAGATAAAAAATGCGGATTTGAGGTATTTTTCAAACATCTCGATCAACCACTAAAATGTATTCAATAGCACTGAAAAGTGGAGAAACAAAGTACAAAAGCTTAAAGAATGAGCCATTATGATGTAAGCACGAGTATACATATTGTTATAGATCTTTATCCTGAAGAGCCCCCCCCCCCTAGAGTTGAGGTGTCTCTCCCCCCCCCCCCCCCCCCCCCCACTTTTCGAATTTCCACGGCCGGGCAATTTTGGGGATTTTGGTCCTCCCCCGTCTTCTCCCATTCGCCAGCACAGATTTACGCCACTGACTATGAGCTCCATGCACCACCAAAAGAGAGTGTTTTTTTACCACTTTTGAGAGCCCCTGATTGAACAGGACACACAGCAGACGTGTGCATAATGTTCTGTACTGGTTTACATGCGAAGTACGTGCGATTTCCTGAATATGCCAAGGTTATTAGACACGGAGTCATCGTGTAGGCGTCAGGCATCGTCACTTTTTTTTTTAAAAATTGGAACCAAATTAAAAATAGTCAGGTTCCTTGTACATCCATCCTTTCCTTACCTTTCCCTCCTTCCTGCTTCACCACTGATATGGGTCCCTGGGTAATGGCATAAGCACGGGAACCAGACGCGGATCTGGCGTGGCGTCTGCGCATACTGAGCAGAGAATTGATGTTACCGGTCGGACAGCCGAGGGCGCACCGGGAAGACGCATCACTGGAGTTGCACAGTATCATGTCGCAATGAACATAAACCTATACATAAAAGGACAGATGTATAATCACCAATAATGGATTAACATTGTATTTGTTTTGATATTCAAATTCAAAATTCAATAATTCTCATGACTCCAAGTATCAGGTCTAAACCAAACAATCTATTTTCAGAAGGAAACATGCTTGAAAAGGTTGTATTTTCAAAGAATTTCATTTTTTAAAAGGTAGAGTATATCATTTGCAGCTATCCAAAAAGTTACTGGCGAAATTATTGATGAAAAGCTTCCTTGGGTTGAAGATAGTAATGGCACCAAACTCCCTGTGATATTATTCTCTCTCACACACTGTCATTTTTGAAGAAAACAATGAAAGAAGGTCATTTCTGTTTTAATAACAACTGCCATGTAGGAGTTTTGCCAAAGTTGGATGTACATGTACAAGTGTGTTGTTCTAAAACAACATTGGGCGAATGAATTTGGTGTTTTAAATTAACAACATTTGTAACGTGACTAATAATAAGATAACATTTCGTCATCATGGCGTCATGATTCCGCCTGAATCTTCAGATGGTGGTCTAAGTATGTGTCAGGTTTGAAGTTGATTGAATTTAAAAAAAGTCCTGAAGTGGTGCTCAGAACGAAAACATGTGTTATCCTACGGAAACGTAATGAAAAAAAGAAGGAAAAAAAAACAAAAACAAACACAGAAAATAAGAAACAAAAACAATAGCTGTTTTGGTGTGTACACTGAAACAGCTAAAAAGAGACAGAAAAAAAATAGTAAAGGTGTATGTCCATCAGCATTATGTGTCCTCCATCATTCACCTATGTTGCTATGTAACAGGGCCCTCTAAAGTCCTTGCATAGAGTAGTTTTGAAACCCCCGATTTATGGCCAGCTTTGGCTACAGTTGTTTGTAGAACACATGGACCTATACTGTGTGTTTAGCAAGAGTTAAATAAGGGGATTAAGAATGTCCCTAAGCCGAAGCCGGCGACGACTTCTACATTTCGAAAACACTCAAATAACTCAAGAAACTTTCACATTACCAGCGGCTGGGGCAGGGTATCTATGAATGCGAAGACGTCGATCTCAAAGCGCTCCACATCTGGGTCGTAAGAAGGACGGAACACCACTGTGTTATCTTCAATGCAACTGAGAAGGAAAGAAAAAAAGAAAATTAACATCGTCTCGATTGAACAGGACCTCAAGATCTGAAGCACCCTCGCATGGAGAGCGCTGCAGGGAATGAAGGTGTGGAAGTCCAAGATGAGTGATGACCTCAAGCAACCCTCTTTGTTGCGACGGATGAGTCAATGGCCAAGTTCGGGCAAGGACCATTAGTCGACTAGTGGTTGATTTGTGACGTACATTAAGCCTGCGCACTGGTAGCAACGTGTGAACGTCTCTAATCAAACGCTGGTCAAAATGTCATCGCAAAACTTCTGGATCCTGGCTCTCTGCTAGCGTTATGAATGCGCGCGGCTATTGGTTACCAGCGAAGCAACCAACCCCAGTAGGCTGGTTCCAAATAGTCGACTAGTGTAGTCAACCATCGTCGACTAGACAGAGTTCGGGCAAACGTTAGTTAACCATTGGTCAACTATAGTCCTTGCGCGAACTTGGCCTGTGTTGCTGTATGGAGCAGAGACGTGGATGTTCACGGTGCAGCAAGAGAAGGTGCTGAACAGGGTGCAGTCGGCCACGTCGTCCTGTATGCCGGCCAGCCGAGAGTGTCTGCCAAAATCAGGGAGAGGAGAAGAGGGCTGGCAGGTCAATGCGTCTGCTCCCAAAGCTCACCTCAAGCCAATGATCCTGTGGGAGCCAAACCAAGGCACCACTAGAATAGGAAGAGGACGTCACACCTACATCGATGTGTTCCGGCAAAAAAGAGGACTCAAATGCGTGGATATCTTAGGACGGTTACGCTATTTACAAGGAGTAGCGGCGTCATTTTCGAGGAGCCCAATTGGCGTTGGCTGAGGCCAACACGCCCTCGCATCGTCACCCCAAACCGACCTGCCTGTTACTCCCTGAACTTAACAGTGTGCTAATCTGACTTCAAAAACTATTTGGGTTGACCCTTGCCGAATTTGGGAATGCAATTTTCCAACAATTTTAGGCTTACCCATCTTGGATGAAAGTGTAACGGTGGAAGTCGTCTGGGTTGGAGGTTGGCGTGGCGCGACACGTCTGCACAAACAGCTCCAGATTAGGCTCACTCCACGTACGAGCCTCGAAGTACAACTTCTCACCCATGGTGACGTCAATGGGATAGTCGGCCGGCTGGTAGGGCGTGGCGTAATCGTTGGTGGGGTAAAGGCGGAGAGAGAAGTTGAAGGAGCCAAATCCGTCTTCGCCGAACGTGATCTTAGAGGTGTCAGGACGGAAACTGAAAAAGTAAAGACAGTGACGAAATCAATGTTATCGGGAAATTTCTTCAGTAACCAAGGTTCTAACATATGGTGCAGTAACTTGGACACTAACATCAAAGCTGAAAAAGGCCCTAGATGGTTGCTATACCAGCCTACTACGGAAAGCACTCAATGTTCCATGGCAAGCACATACCACCAATAAGGACTTGTATGGGAATTTAGGGCAAATTTCTGAGAGACTGAGAACAAGAGAATGAGATTTGCAGGACGCTGTGCAAGGAGAAAGGATGAAGCTGCCCCAAGGTTCTACTATGGCAACCCATAAATGGAAAGAGATCAAGAGGACAGCCACCTAAGGACTACATCAAACTCCTAGCACAGGATACCGGCTTAAGTGGGCAAGACGTCAAGACCTGTATGATGGATAGTGTGGTTTGGAGAACTATCACTGGAGTCCGACCTTCAGAGTCGCCATAAGCAAGTAAGCAACCAAGGTTGCTGTTAACAAAGTAACCCACCGAAGTTCAGCGATCATTTCTAAGTCCATGAATCACTGGAATCTCGATAACCTGGTTTCAGGTTATAACCCTGCTCAGCCTCCCAGACCCACCTGATTTCACCGATCCCTTCCAAGTCCATGATGCACTGGACGGGAATCTCAATGTCTAGGTCTCGGGTTATAACTTCGCCTGGTGTAATTGGAACAGCCTCGTCTTGGACAACGTTGAAGAAGATCACGTTCTCTCCACGAACCTATCAGGAAACAAAAACCCAAACTGATCATGGCACAAGGCATAAGCAAACACTTGAATAGTTTCTTTGAAATTTTCCAGAGGATTTGGGTAATGTGTGCCACGGCTTTTGCTGCAGAATATTTGTACAAGTACTGTACAGCTATACTATATGAGCTGTAGGATTCTGAACAACTCTGCAATCTGCCCGCACTGAAGTATCAGTATTGGTGAGTCAAGCAGTGGCTGTTGAAAATTTCCCCGGAACATGTCCGGGATAAATGCAGAGCTTTGTCTGGACAAAGTGAATGATTCTACCCGCAGCTTGTCTGGAACTCAACCCGGATATGAATTGAGATGGGCCCTTTGCAGATTGGACCCTGATTGACTCTTCTAGAGAAAGATATCGCAACTTTTACCTCCATAAAGGTACCGCATCGGTTGTAGGTCGTCGCGATTTTGACATGGGAGGCGTTGTGGTGACTTCCCACGCACGCCGGGTCCAGGAAATGCAAATGAGATGCCAAGGCGTCACCAATCACAGAGCGCGGAATGAAGACCGTCATGCCAGAGTCGGAGCAGTCCATTGTGGGCGAGGGGGGTGGTTGGGTGTTCCCATGATGGGGTGGGGTCAGTTGGATAGTGGCCGCTTCAATCACCGCTGTAGTTTCCTCATTTTCTGCTGGCATTGTAATCCAATCTGGAAAATAAATTGTAAAAAAAATGTGTGTATTCTTATTGTCCATCGTATCAACAATCTCAAAGCACTTTACAAAACAAAAAAATTATTCCCCCATTCATCCGGCCACAAGACCACGCGGCAGCCGATATCAGCGCACATTCGGTCCTCTATCCATTCATACTCCTGGGTGGAGAGAGGCAATGGTAGTAAAGTGTCTTGCCCAAGGGCACAAACACCATGTTCCTAGCAGGGTTTGAACCCACACACCATCTTACATGAGTCAAACACCATAACCACAGCATTCTAAATACAAAATGCTAATCAGACTCAGTTTCATACAATAAATCACAAGTTTTGAACAGTTTTTAAAGTAATTATTGCACAACTATTTCTCAGTGTCTCATTCCAAAAATGAATACTTTTGTATTACCACAAAAGTAGCAATTATAGAACTATACGTCTAGTCCGATGAACAGAACATCGGGCTTTTCTACATTATGAGTTTACGTTTTTTGTCCATATGCAGTTAGGTAAACTAAATGCAAGAACATAGTTTCAAGACCAAGTTCTCCAGATATAGGACTTTAAAATATGTAGCTTAAAAATGTTGTCACACGACCCATGATGACATCATGATGTCACTCTTTGGCATACAACTTTGCTACAAGGACTATACCTTTGCTTTCTTTGAATGATTATTGCAAAAGCTGAATGCCAAAGTTTATGGATTTTGTGAGAGAAAACGAGGAACAATCGGTCAAGCGACTGCTTCACAGACGAGTGCCCGCTGCACGGTGGAGCAACTTGTTAACAACTTGTGAAAAACTCAATGATGCAATCTGGATGTTTAAACCCGTCAGCCGTGCCTGTGTATAAAAACAGCCAGTGTGTGTTATCATGTCCTCCGTAAACGTAAACTGGTTAACAGTCCTGAAGAGAAGTGATACACAAGCTCACATACTTATTTTACAGAATCTTGTAACACTTAATTATACCTCCAGGTGTTGTTGGAAATCTTGGAACCATTTCTTCTCTGACCTCTGTGGTCATGATCATGCCCTCCATTGGTGTTGTGGCTACCTCTGTGCCGAATCCCTCTGTGGCTATAGTGAAAGAGTTGGAAAAAAATCCGGTTATTAGTTCATTTAACCCTTACCCTACTAGACCCTCCAACGCATGCCAATATGTGCCTCAAGAAAATCTCCTATGTTTTTTGCATGGCCCTCCAATATCTGCCATGTCATTTCAAGGGTAACTGGACAGGCACTCCAATACATGCCACAGAGAACAATGAGAGTCCTCTGATAACAAAGTGAGTGCCCCCAGCTGGTCAGTATCAGGCACCCTCCAGGGCCTCCAACTCCTGCCAATTGGAGCCTTCACTGTTAAATAAAACTATCTGCCAATAAACTGCAGCTGGAGGGCATTGGCATAACCAACTGACATGCAGTAAACTACCCTCAGAGAGTAAGGGTTAAAGTGTAATTCATGGACGCAATGTTACTTTTGTTTACTAAGGGTGTAAGTTGAAATGTTATTCACAATTTTTCAGTAGGTGTTTTGGTGAACACAGTGCCTTCTCAAATTGTCTAAACAGATGGAAAAACTATTTGAAAAACTACTGACAAAGTCAGTAGATGTATGGCACCCCAGGGTCAATTGCAGACTGACACCTGAGCGTCTGCACACCAGCTTGAAAATCTCCTATGCAAACAAACATTCTGTGCCAAGTAGTCCTTTCATCAAACAAGTGACTGTTCTCAATAGTTCAGAATTTCCAGCCTACATAAAGCAGGATTGACTAGCTGGGACTGCTAAGTAACTTACAGCTATGCTTTGACTGGTGAACTAAGAATACTGTACCGTGGTGCGTCTGCCTCCCACAGGTCAGCTTTTGGCCTCGTGGCACGTGGGACAAATATGGAGAACATAATTCCGTGTTCGGCGAACTAACAAAACTCCCAAAGTGGAATCATTTTGCCCTCACCCGTTTCATAAATTAAAGACCCAACCACATAAAGCACACTGTACACCGATTTTACCGATTCACTGGATCATCTCGGACGGAGATGGGCCCTGAAAAATCAGAGCAATCTGACCGTACAACTGGTGACCGAATGAAATCAAACATGTTTGATTTTTCTTCGCAACCGAATTCATCAAAAATGTGATGTCATTGGAAAGGTGTGCGGGGAGCACTCCGATTTCACAGGACGCAATATTTATGTCAACCAATCAGACTTAAGAAGGAAGTCACATGATTCAAAACCGACGGCACTCATTTTGTCATGTGACTGAGCATCATGTGACTGATCACCATGTGACCGACTACAGAACGGAATTTGGCATGTGTACTGTGTTGGTTAACATTGCGGTGAATACACCTGTACCGGTGATCAGTTGATCCGGTGATCAGTTAATCCGGTGAACGAGTAAAATCGGAAAAGTGTGCGCCGGGCTTTTAAAGCTATAGTCCATCATTTTTAATTAGTGCATTTTGTTCGTTTGAAGCAACAAAAGTGTTCAAAATCTAATGAAGGATACTGAACAACTTACTTGATAAAGTTTCAGCTCAGCTTCAGCTTCATATTCAGAGAAAAACAGCATTCTAGGATCTCAATTTCAAATCAAAAGTTGCTAAATCATGTTTCGAATTGTTTTGAATTGCAGCTTTACGCGATGTTGCGCACTGATCCAACGAATTATAGCAACCGCGCGCGCCTGTGCGTCGTTCCAATGCTTGTGAGCGCTGCGCCGGAAAACAAAACGAACAACTAATTTAAATTTTCCTACGGTGCTTCTTAAGAAGCACCGTTGGAAATGCCGTCTTTCGTTGATTTCATCAAAATGAGAGCTTGCCAGAAAGGATAATTTCACAGGGAGTTTAGTCCCCTTACTATCTTTCAACCAGTATGTTTTTCAACAATATTACGCCGGTTACTTTTTTTGAAAGCTGCAAATGATGGACTCAGGCTTTAAGACTGGCATATTCACTTACCACTGGTGGTCCACCATGCATATGTTGTGTATACCCTCATGTCATATCCCTCCGACGACACGGGGCACGAATCGCCACTCTTGACGACACCCTCGCTCAGTGATACAGAATACCAATAGTTGGCACTAAGCCATCCTTGAAGACTGACTTGAATGGTGTCTGGCGCGCCTTGCGTGACACTGCCGCTGAACATATACATATTATTGTACTGATTCCTAAACAGCATGTTTGTGGTTGCCGTCTCTATGGTAACCTGTATGTCACAAAACAGTAAACGAAATACCATAACAGGTGTAGTTGGAATCTGCTCACACAGCACCACGCACAACATTAACATTCATCTTGATAATCTGCAATCGTGATTGATCAATTAATCCACGGCAACAGTAGTAAAATGCAAGTCACATTTTCTTTAGGAAATAATAGACAACTTTTTACTGTACGCTGAATAAACACATTGAACAGTCAGCATGTTATACAAATATTGAGTGGCTCAGCGTGGAATGGGAGGAATATTATCGCAAGGTAAAATCTGGACTTTTCCATTTCACGAGGCGAAACCGAGTGAACTGGAAAAGTCCAGATTTTACCAAGCGATAATATTCCTCCCATTTCACAATTTGAAGCCACTCAATATTTATTTATATAACTGACAGATCCTTGTCATTTGATATATTTAAACTTTTTTGCAAATAAAAAACTGGCGGAAAATGTATTTCTCTCTTCCAAACCACCCCTTCACTTAAATGTTTGAACCCAATGCTGTAGCGCTGGCTCTTTGGAACAATACGCGCTACGCGCAATGCTGAACGCGCACACCAGCATGCATTTGCACACAAATACCGCGTCATGATCTTAACTGTTGAATAGTATTTCCCATTCCCCATGGGCAGATAGTACTTTTTGAGCCGTGGCGTAAATGGGAGCAATAACGAATGTCACGTGATGTGAGTTCCACCTATCAAATGACTAGGATCTGTATGTCAGTTATATGATGTGCTATATATATACACCTATATGTACGGCGCGTCACACTTACGACGCGTTTTGTGAAATGAATGCGTCATACATTTTGGTATTAACATATGCTTGGTCGTTGTATATCTTATACTTTGGAAGTGCAAGTGTAATGAAAAATGTATATATAAATTTCAAAATACCGGAAATTAGTTCAATTCAAATTTGCGGTTTTACTCACACTCTGGTTAAACTTGAAGGTCCACACTCCCAAATTCGAAGGAACTACTGAGCCATCAGCTGGCCAACTCTGGATCACAGAGAGAGGGGCTGCACGGAAACAAACACAAAGATATCATGGGGCGAGACAAAATTGAACATGGCTGGCTGTGAACCATACCTTTAAAACACAGTACCAGAAGTCTAAGTGGGGAGTGTGTGGCCTAGTGGTTAGGGTTCGTGACTCATGATCAGAGGGTCCGGGGTTCGAATCCAGCCGCTGGCCATATATTTTGTCCTTGGGCAAGGCACTTCACCCCCACTTGCCCCTCTCCACCCAGGAGTATAAATGGGTACCGGCATTAGCTGGGGAGTAACCTGCGATGGACTGGCATCCCATTCAGGGGGAGTAGAAATATTCTCAGTCGTTTCATGCCAAGGAAATCGGAGGTAAACACCGGCCCGATGAGCCACATTGGCTCGCGACAGACTTTACTACTACTTACTACCAGAGTTCTACTGACTTGTAATTCCAGAACTCTACATGAAAAGATGCACGTCTCTCAAAAATCGGTTCAATGGCTCAGTTGGTTGAACACTGGTGCAGCAATCATTGGGCTAAGGTTCAAATCCAATGCATCCTTCACTGACTCATATTGAGTAGGCCACACATGCATGCACACACATACTGAAATTTGTATTCTTGTGGAGACATTTTTTTGTTCTCGTGTAGTAATGTTTTCGAGTTTGAAAGTGAAGTTTCAAAATGCTCTTATTTTAACCAGAATGAATTTCCTTGGCTGAAATTCAGACTTTATCCCTTTTCTAAAACTCTTCCATTTGGGACGGATCAACCCAACTTGGAAATTCCTAGTTTTTGAGTCAAATCCATATATCTATTTCGTTAAAATCTTGTGAAGATTCATCTATAGCAATTGCCCTGTGGAGACGTATACAATCTTTTGTTCCCTATCGTGTGCACGTCTCCAGAGGGCACAGTGTATCAGTTGTACAGTTGTAGAAAACATACCTTGCGCATGCGCACTATAATCATTCATGCCCTGATTTGATACTGACCAAACCCCCAGGCTGATGGCCTATGATGTGGCCAGATATGTGCAAATCATAAAATAATCAGGGGTGTGACGACCACTGATAAAAAAACCAGGTAGCTAAAAACAGCTGAAAAAGGTGTAAAAAAAAGCTGAATTTTTGAAATCTCCTATACATTTGTACACAGCAAGTGTGGGAAAAAGCTGAAATCCAACACAAAAAAAGCTGAAATCGGCTTTTCAAGCTGAGATTTCACACCCCTGAATATTATCGTTATTCTAACAAAACAAATCTGACATACCTTTAACAGTCAGATACACACACCGCACTTCACTTGTATACCTGCCAAAAAAAATTACATATTTTTTTTTACAAAACTATGTGGCTTTGTAGATTGTGAGTTTAAAAGTATATAGTAGATCACTTGCAGCTATTCAAACAGTAGTCTTTTGGAGGAATTCTTGCAAAAAAGGTCAATAAATTCTGATCTTACCCATCTGAGTCCAACGCGTTGAAACAAAAGATGTGAGTTTCCATTTGGTTGTCAGTTGGTGTCCACGTGGCCACGATGTAGTACTCATCCATCTTACCGGGCACCAGTGAAACGGCTGTTGTTGTCATGCCGACGGGGGAGGTTGTTTCCATTTCCGTTATTCTGCGAATGTGATCAGATCCAGCAAAATCAGTCTTTAAAATGACATTTTTGGCTATACTTTTCAAAATGAAACAGACAGATCATACGCTGTGCATAAATGCGACTATTAACCCTAACTGAACTCAACCCATCAAAGTTCAACAGCAGGTTTTGTTTAAATCTGTTGGGATAGGTACAGCACCCCTAAACTGATGGTCTTTTACATTGGGTTTGGCATACCTCCGGAAACTAAGTCCAACAGTGTGTGTGTACAATTTCCCATGTGGGTGTTATTAACTTGCATGTTTTATAGTCGGGTCCATCACAATTCCATTAAAAGTCCTCTACTCTCAATTCAACTCACAAGCTATTAACGCGACTTGTAATTACAAAGGCGTTGCTGAGTTATATATTCACTCCCTGTTTCTTGTGATGGACTTGTGATAGACTTGACAACAATGCCCGATTGGACTTGTGATTGACATGTGTTTGAGATCTGGTTTGCATGTGACTAGACATGTGATTAACATGTGATTGACTTGTGATTGGCTTATTTGCATGCATGTTTTGACCAGTGTTTTGCAGTTTAGTTATTTTCATGATTCACTCCCCGTTTCTTGTTGTAAGGACTTTCAATCCATTTACTAATGACAGGACTTGTGATGGACTCATGGTGGACTCCACAACACTGGATTTGACATGTGATTGACATGTGATTGATAATTGATTGACATGTGATTGATAAATGATTGACATGTGATTGACATGTGATTGACATGTGATAATGTTGTCTTTGACATGTGATTGTGTACTCACTGCGAATAGGCAGCCCTTGCGCGGATCTGTGCACTGAACGTCTTCCCCGGTGCAAGTCCGTAACAGTTCCCCTGAGCCGGCGAAGGATCTATCAGCACCGGTTTGTCATCGCAAGGGTCGTAGCTTAGGTACACGTTGACCAGAAACTGCAGCGGGACCTTGCTCATCGCTGTGACAGAGCTTGGCGTCGCAAAATCTTCAACAATGAGAGCAACTGCATACCATCCTGATAGTGATGCTGCGTCGATGGTCACAACACATGTGTTCTGAATTAGAATAACAAAATAACAATACCGGAATTTATTATAGCACATATATCTATACCAGCAATTAGGTACTCACGGCACTAGTAATTATGTCTATTTTTAAAGACAGGTAAATGAAGTTTATGAGATATGTGAGACCCATTATGTAGCACCTTATAAGGGTTTACGAGGTGCTGCGGCGCATATTGCAGCCACTGCCAGAAACACCAGGGCAAACCCCTTCTCTTGCCAATAAGTGTTACTAGATTCCTTAAAATTTAACGTGCATTACAAAACACACAGGACTTAGGCTTTACGTCCCATCCGAAGGACGAAACCATAATGGTAAAGTGCCTTGCTGAAGAGCAAAAGGACCATGTTCCAACATGAGTCTAACACCGTAACCACTGGACCACTGCACCCAGCTTCAAAATCGAGTATTGAAATACTTGCGAACAATGGGTTCAGCACTAACAGTAACATCCTACAATTGTAGATTTCAAGTGAATATCTTTCTCCGATTTTGTAAAAGCCAGCATGTTTTGCCACAGTTTTAAAAGTTCCCAAAAAGTCTTTGGAGAAAAGCAATTGTAGTATAGTGTCTTGCCCAAGGACACAAACAAAGTCAGTGTTTGAAACCACTTAACATCGTCCATGTGTTGGACACAGTAACCATTGGACCATGGTGCTCCATATTACACTTAACCTGTTCTACTCCCCTGCCCCCCACCTCTGGGGCCTTTTTGCTATAACCATCCTCAATCCTCCAAAATCCTCCAAAATGTCGCACTTATGTTCAAATGAAGGATACCAAGCGCCTCAATTAATCCTTCAAACTCGTCAGACAGTCTTGCCTCAGAAATGCATTCATCTTTAATCTTCCAAAATCCTCCTCTTCTTCAGACACCATTAATCCTCAATCCCCCAATTTCCTCATGTGCTAAAACACCACTAATCCTCCATCCTCCAAAATCCTCATGAGCTAAAACACCATTCATTCTCAATCCTCCAAAATCCTCATGTTTCTCAAACATCATTAATCCTCCAAAATCCTCATGTTTCTCAAACACCATTCATCCGCAATCCTCTAAAATCCTCCAAAACTGCCATGAGGATTTTGGAGGATTTTAATGCACACAAATTTGTACAGTCTTTCTGTGGCACTCATGCGTCCTTAAAAAATCCCATGCATGTTTCATTTTTATCACCGAGGGCGTACATGTAGTTATGCCTAGAGTCTGTACTCACTTGATCCAGGGTAGCATTCTGAACTGGCGTCACATTTCCTCCTTCAGCGCTGCTCGATGCCCAACGACATTTGACTTCATCTCCGTCTGGATCGGTTTCTGAAGAAATGCAAATCATTAAGTGCCTAATAAGTCAGAGCTGTTTTCAAATTGATCTCGAGTAAATTTCAATCACAAGTCCAATCACAACCAGGGATGAACAATAACAAAGAGATGCCTTTTCCCAATTCGCATGAACTGCAGTAATAAGCCATTTGCGAGTAACCTATACCCTTTGGGATTTACATTTCAATAACATCTGGTACACTGACTTGCTCAGAACGCTTGGCACATTTTAACCTTGAATACTCCAGACCAAAGACACTGTTGCTAATCACATGATTCGGGGCAAGCTCTTGCATAGTTACGTAAGAGACGCTCAGCATCAATAGACCGCTTGCAGATGCATTCGATAATCGACGCGCGAAGGCGCGCGACGCCATGTTGTGGGACAGGCGTATATCTATCCATGCACATTTTGTCCCATAACATGGCGTCGTGCACCTTCGCGCGTCAATTATCGATCGTGTCTGCAAGCGGTCTATACATCGCTCACAATGGGTGCATGAGAATGGCACAAAGACACCAGACCATGCCGGAGCATAAGGCTTGCCCCGAATCACGTGATGTAGTAACACTAACAGTCTCTTTGGTCGGGAGAATGCAAAGTTAAAATGTGCAAAGCATTGAATTAAGTCAGCGTTCCAGATTGTATTCAAATTTAACTCGCAAATGGCTTTTTGACTTGGTTTTTGACTGCATGAGTTGTGACTTGTGATGACATGTGATGACTTGTGATGGTCTTAGGATGACATAATATCAAGAATTGTGAAGAAGTTGTGAAGGACATTTGATGACTTGTGATGGACTTGTAAAGATGGACTTGGCGATCATGTAGTGTAGGGCCCCTGTATTGTTTCGATCAAATTAGGATCAAGAATTTTTGTTACTTCTAAAAAAATGACATTGTCAACCTAGAGCAGACTTCTCTTAATGCAATGACACCTTTTTGGAAATTTTTGAAGTTTCTTGGGGTAGAAATCACGATTTTCCTACGCAGTTTACGGGCGGTTGGTGCCATGCAGCGCCTCTTGCGTGCTCACTGTTGGGAACTAGCTTGAACGGGTTTCCGTCCATAAAAGCTGCCGTAGTTCCCGACTTCCTATCATCGTTCAAAATGCACTTGTGTTTACAAACATGATCCAGTCTACTCATTATCATAATCAATGCATCGTGCGCACTCGGTAACGGAATCACATTCAGGATACAGGGACCATCAAAAGAACACTTTGGCATGAGGACCACATCGCATCATACAAACATTAACACGAGTCGGAAATTTAACGTGTTCACAATCGCGAGGGGAGCTCTCGAAATTGAACGGAAAATTTCACTTTTCTTCCGGATCTTAAGTAAACTTCAGTACAACCATCTTAATCATCGATGTCTACTTGTACCTCAGGTGGCGCATCTAGTAATTTGGAGGCCGTTTTGATGGTGAAATCTGATGTTTTGGTTGGAAAGTGTTGGTTTTTGGGCCAGTGACAGAATTGTGTTGCTTGGCATATAACCATTAGCTTGGACCCTACTATTGCCAGACCATGTCCAAATGTTAAAAAGGCGATAAGTTGGGTCCCAGTTACTCGGACTAGGACAGTGTAGGAAAAACCCCAAATTGAAATGTACTGCCCTTCGTAACAGTTAGCATGTATATTTACTTGGTATGTTGAGTGTCGCCTGGCATCCTCGTTGTATGCGGGTGACAGGCATCCATGACGTGATAGGGGACGAGTTGATAACGCCGTTACGTGGATTCAAATCAACGTGTGCCTGAGCGCTGTAGGACGATGGGGAATTGCCGAGAGGAATCCAACAGCATTCAGTATATCTGAACAAAACAATAATAAAGAGAATACAATTTTAAGCTTTGACAGGAGCTTGTAGTTGTAGTTGTAGTAGTTGTAGTTGTAGTTGTAGTAGTAGTAGTTGTAGTTGTACCATGGTTGTACATATTATGGTTGGTCTGTTGGTCGGTCAGTTGATCAGCTGTTTTGGCTAGTTTTGTAATAACAAAGAAATGGGGTCGTACAAATGCCAACTGGCAAAGTAACTAATGTTACATGATTCAGAACTACCACTTATAATATTAATAATAAAAACCCGGACTCAGAATGCTCTTTGTGGCAATGTGAATTAGTTAAAGGGACACTAGGTCCTGGAACAGCCCAATTGGGCTACAAAACGTGCTTTGAATGAGATGATGATAATCGGAAAGAACATTTAAAAGTAGGATATAAACATCCACACAACTATCCCCTAAAAACATGCGAGAAACGAATTTCGGGGTCCACTTTTGCGACCCCATAAATTCGAGCTGTTTGGATGCTAGTTGTGATTTCATTCGTACGCGTAAAGTGCTCGCCTTTTGCGGACGTTGAAGGAACCATATTTTTTTGCATTGGTGATTGTCAATGCGCGCTTCCCAAGCTCAACGTGCATAGCATACACTGATGAGAACGACACGAAAAACGTATTCGTACTCCGTCATGGCATGCATGTCCAATGTAAACAAGCGTTTTTTTTTTCATCTTTCCTCGGGAACGGTAAGACATTAGGTTGGTTTCCTTTCAACCAGATGTTTGAAATAGGCTAAGTAAACAATCCAAAACATAACATTTTCGGGGATTTCAGGACCTAGTGCCCCTTTATTCCATGGAGGAAGGAATCTCAAACAACACATCTCCAGTTTAAATATTTTGGAGGACCACTAACCAAGGAAGCATGTAATAATAATATTTTACCAGTGCCAATGGCAATGCTAGTATTCTGTATACACCAGCAACGCCTTCCCCCCCCCCCCCAACAGCATCATGCGTAGCCATAGGCATGATCACTGATGAAAATTGATAGGCCTACATACATGGTATATATTCCCATAATGTGGCCAATTTACTGTGACTGGCATGTCCTAGCCCCATAAATGTGGCCTATTTACTGGACTGCCTCCGTAAACATAGGCCACACATCCACATGTACAAAAAACGTGTCGACTTTGCCAAATTTTGATTTTCACATTTAGGCTTACTTTTTACGTTTTTTTTGCTTTAAAAGCATACTCACCCTCTATATAGGCTAATCAGAAAGTGCTGCCTTTTTCAGATGTCCATTTTTTGTGAAATTTCCAGATACATTTGCACACGTTTGCGTATCAAAATTTCAACATGAAATTTCACAAAAATTAAACATCTGAAAAAGGCAGCACTTTCTGATTAGCCTATATAGAGGGTGAGAATGCTTCTAAAGCAAAAAAAATCTACAAAGTAAGCCTAAATGTGAAAATCAAAATTTGGCAAAGTCGACACGTTTTTTGTACATGTGGATGTGTGGCCTATGTTTACGGAGGCAGTCCAGTAAATAGGCCACATATTGTTGATGTACCCTAACGTGGCGCGGCCCCTAACGTGGCGCACTTTTATTTTTCGCCTGTAGCGCCTAGCTAGAGCAAAAGTTTTAACTGAAATTTCACAGAAAGTGAAATTTCATCAAGTTCTAAACACTCCCGTTCATAAATCGCGAGTTTATTTACCTGCTACAAAGTTAAAAGAAAAACATATTTTGGCGTGATTTTCCGATTTTATTTTCAAGTGCAAAGTGAACCCTTTGAAAATGCCCCGAAAAATAAGAAAATAATTTTCTGACAAACATCTGGCTGGGTTTGTAAGTAAAGATAATAATGATTTATCAGAATTTATCAAGTTTACAGAAATTCTTAAATGTTAATTTGGAATTTTCTGAGATTTATTCAAGTGCGCCACGTTAGGGAACACTCCGCCAATTTGTGCCCAATTTCCGGACGCGACCGTTTTTGCATTTCGGATTAAATTTTATGAAACCGAAATTGTTCACAGAGGTTAAATAACAAGCGTTAATAAGGTAAAAGTACCAGTATTTCACTGCATGAATTTGAAGTTTATCAACAAAGAGGTTTGGCAACACTACACGAGGAAAGCTGGGTAAGCTTCGAAGTGCGCCACGTTAGGGAACACGACTATATATGGGGCTAGGCATGTCCATGACTACGTCCGTGAATAAAGCCCACACTTACCATGTACCCGAACATGTGTAGGACTTTTTCAAGTTCTCATTTTCACATTTAGACTTTATTTGTGGTTCATTTACGCTTTAGAAGCACACTCAACCTCTTATCTTCTTACTCTTCTTACTCTTAGAACAAACCCTTTCCCCCCCAGAAACTACGGCTCTTCCAAAAGAGGGCGCGCTACACAAATACTGGTCACCATGTACTGATCGATCGATCTCTAGTCACCACTGTAAAGACTTCTGTCAACACTTTTGTTGTTGTTGTATTATTTTTTTTATTCAACGGTCTCTGTCGATTTTCAAACGGTTTGTGTCCTACATCCCGAACAATTATTGGACGAAGTTTCAATTCAATGCAATGTGTTTTTCTTGAGTTATCGTCTCCACAAAGAGTGCTTTATTTTTGTTCAATTAAAAGTGACTTGAATTTGGATTGATTTTTTTCCCAGATTTTTACACTGTATTTCTTTAAATCATATTAAATTTATTCTTCAAGGGTTCTCATTGATTTTTAAACGGTTTGTGTCCTATATCCCGAACAATTATTGGACGAAATTTCAATTCCATGCAATGTGTTTTTCTTGAGTTATCATCTCCACAAAGAGTGCCTTATTTTTGTTCAATTAAAAGTGACTTGAATTTGGATTGATTTTTTTTCCAGATTTGTACACTGTATTTCTTCAAATCGTATTAAATTTATTCTTCAAGGGTTCTCATTGATTTTCAATCAGTTTGTGTCCTATATCCCGAACAATTATTGGACGAAGTTTCAATTCAATGCAATGTGTTTTTCTTGAGTTATCGTCTCCACAAAGAGTGCTTTATTTTTTCAATTAAAAGTGACTTGAATTTGGATTGATTTTTTTTCTCCAGATTTGTAAACTGTATTTCTTAAACCCTGCGCAGCGTTTACAAGAAATGTGTATTCGAAGGAGCCACCTGCGTACACTTTGGACGCAGGTACTTCCCCCACTACGCGAGACCCTATCCATGTCCAAACAACACAAAAACATGTGCCAGACCCTCTGCAGGCAGTTGCCAGACAGGGCACTTTTATGGGCAGATTGTGATATCCGCATTGACAGAAGTCTTTACATACAGTGCTGAGCAGTGGTTGTCTAGGGCGCCCTCTTTAGAAAAACCCATAGAGGGTAGCAAAATGTACGCAGCGTCCATAAATATGGCACATGCACTGTTGGCAGTTGGTTATTGCCGTTGTGTGTGTTTTTTCTTCCACGGTTCCAGTCGATTTCCACTTTTTTTGTCATTACATCGCGACGTATATTATCAAACAAAGTTTCATTTCAGTACAATTTGTTTTCTGGAGTTACTGTCTCCAAAAGAGTGCTTCATTTTTTTTCAATTAAAATAGACTCGAAATGAAGTTTTCGTAATTCTAAGCACTTCATTCCTTTAATCATATAAAATGTATTCTTGCACGGTTTACGCCAATTTTTAAACGGGTTATGTCAAATGTTAATAATAACTGTTCAAAATTCTAAACCGATCCAATATGTTGTTCTTGAGTTATCTCTCAACAAAGTGTGTCATATGTCAAAAGAGACTCAAATTCGGTTTTTGTGATTAATTAAACGCTTAGACCTATATTTTGTTTAAATCATATTAAATGTATTCTTTCTTGGTTCACGTCAATTTTCAAACGGGTTGTTTCACATTTTATAGTTAATATCGAATTATCGAAGTCAACGAAGTTTCGTTCCGGATCAAATTGATTTTCTGGAGTTACTGTCTCCAAAAGAGTGCTTCATTTTTTTTTTAAAAATTAGAATAGACGTAGATTCAGATTCGAAATGAATTTTTCGTAATTCTAAGCACTGATTTCCTTTACATCATATTAAATGTATTCTTCAAGGGTTCTCGTTGATTTTCAAACGGTTTGTGTCCTATATCCCGAACAATTATTTAGACGAAATTTCAATTCAATGCAATGTGTTTTTTTTTTGAGTTATCGTCTCCACAAAGAGTGCTTTATTTTGTTCAATTAAAAGTGACTTGAATTTGGATTGAATTTTTTTTTCCAGATTTGTAAACTGTTTTTCTTTAAATCATATTAAATTTATTCTTCAAGGGTTCTCGTTGATTTTCGAATGGTTTGCGTCCGGGAGTACAATTTTTGGTCGAAATTTTAATTCAGTGAAAAAATAAAGCACTCTTTGTGGGGACGATAACTCAAGAAAAACGCATTGCATTGAATTGAAATTGCGTCCAATATTCGGTCGTGATATACGACACAATAAATTTGAAATATTATTTCAAATTTATCGTGTCGTATATCACGACCAAATATTGGACGCAATTTCAATTCAATGCAATGCGTTTTTCTTGAGTTATCGTCCCCACAAAGAGTGCTTTATTTTTTGTTCAGTTTAAGTTTGGATTGAATTTTTCGCGATATGTGGAGGGTTTTTTTGGGGGAGAGGGGTGGGTCCCCATTTTTGTTTCAAATTATTTCGTGCCCAAATTTTATGGCGCCGCGGAATGAAATCGTTTTTTTTTTTAAATACAAGATTTTTAACGTCTCGATAATTATCCACCTCTAAACTCGTTTTTTTTTTTTTTTTTGGGGGGGGGGGCAATAACTCCTGAAATGCAAGATGTTTTAAATTGAATTTTCGACTAATGATTTGTCATTATTTTTAACATTACGAGATTTAATTTCACAAGAAACCGTTAAATAATGAAGCAATATTGACCGTAACGACGCAGTGTTTGAAGCGCAACAAATGCGATTCGAATGAAAATCAATGTGTATTTTTCGCGTGTAAAACACTACATTGTTACGATCATACTATTTTTATCGTTGGACTGTTTCTCATGATATTCAATACCCCTCTGGTACACATCGTAGAAATTAATTGCAAGAATTTTCAGTTGAATACATTTTGTATTTCTTGAGTTATTGATCGGAAACTGAGTTGTTATTTTTGTTCGATAGTGCAGCATCCGCACCAACATTTCTTTATTTAATAGAGGGCGCGCCACATAAATAGTGGTCTCGATAATTATCCACCACCAAACTCGTTTGGGGGGCAACAACTCCAGAAACACAAGGTGTTTTAGATTGAATTTTCGTCTAGTGATTGGTCATTATGTTTAACATTACAAGATTTAATTTCATAAGAAACCGTCAAACAATGAAGCAATTTTGACTGTAACAATACAGCGTTTTAAGCGCGACAACTGCAATTCGAATGAAAATCAATGTGTATTTTTCGCATGTAAAACACTACATTGTTACGATCATATTATTTTTATTATCAGACTGTTTCTAATGATATTCAATACTCCTCCGTGGAAATACTTGCACAAAATTTCAGTTTAATACGTCTTGCATTTCTTGAGTTATTGATCGGAAACTGAGTTGTTATTTTTGTTCAATAGAGCAGCATCTGTACCAATATTCTTTTATTTAATAGAGGGCGCGCCACATAAATAGTGGTCTGTCGATAATTACCCACTACCAAACTCGTTTTCGGGCAACAAATCCAGAAATACAAGATGTTTTAAATTTTAAATATAATTTTGGTCTAGTGATTTGTCATCATGTTTAAAAATTACACGATATAATTTCATTAGAAACCGGTCAAACAATGGAGCAATATTGACCGTAATAATAGATTGTTTTAAACGCGATTACTAACACATTGTCGTAAAAGTTGGTATCTCGGAAAATGTTTATGCAAAACCCCTTGTGTAGAAAATATCAGACTGTTACTTATTACTCCCCATCATGTTGGGGTAGCAAAAATTGAGATTATAAAGAAAAACATAACACATTCTTGACAAGTTGGAAAAGGCCCTCGTGGCCTCGCCACTCGTAAGTGTGGTCTCCCGCTCCAGTCGCCTCGCTTTTTCGCCGCTTTGTCTACTGCCGGCAAGTTAAGCCACAATTGCCTTGGCGACAGGCTACATAGACCCTTGTGGTTTTTTCAGCTGTAGCAAAGTATTCGGAAGCGGCGCGCCTAGTAATCACTTGAGCAACACAGCTTATTCTGTATCGTCTGCCAATCCATTGATCTTTCAGTTGCAGGAACCCGTGCGCGTATTATTTTTTTTGTAGCGTACATCGTATTTCAACCAATCATATCACACACCCTAACATGAATATTTATCACGCTGTGTGGATAGAAGCCACTTAGGTTCCTGTAGTGTTTTCCAACCAAAAAAGGTATTAGATGAAATTAGAATGGACATGGGTTCGAACCACAGATCTTGCGACCTGTAGTTCATTCAACTTTCCAATAGGCCACTGTGGCAGCTCGACAAACGCCGTTCTTTGAAATGGTTTAATGTAGGCCAACATGTATGACTGAGTTATAGCAATGGTGTGACGTCATTGTTATTTTCTAATGAATAACCATCGATCTAACCTGAATAATCATGATCCACTGACCACGCCCCTTTTCATAAAACCCACCTTATGTCGAATGTTGTTAACCCCGGGTCGATGGTAAACCTGGTGTTTCCCACGCCCGTTTGCCAATCTTCGGCCAGACTGTAGTCCGTACATTCGTACGTGATGCGCGTTATCTGTGGATAGCTGCACTGGTCGCACTTGAGGTACTCCCCCGTGTCTATCTGAGTAGCGTTGGCGATGTGCGTCTGGTCGCAGTATCGATAGGAACCCGATCGACGGAACCAAAACCTCCAGTCGATATCAACCTGAGTTAAAGTTAACGAAGCAAGCCGTGTGAAACTGATCACAGAATGCACACAATTCTGTTCAGTTGATTCAACTGCATGTTCACTGAAAGTCTTCCAAAAAACTAGAATGGCCTGATATTTCATCCCTAGCAAGGACTTCATCAGAGGCAAATGACAGAACCAGAAACAAGCATGCAGGGGACACAAACGGTGTTATTCATACCAGTACAAAAGTGAGCAGTTTGCGGTGGGAGAATGCCTTCGTGGTGATCCTCCTTCCTGATTTGTAAGTGTGTTGTTTTATTCTTGTGTTTCAGTGTTTAATAACCATTTTCTCCCTTTCTACAGATATGAATAACACTGTTTGTGTCCCCTACATGTTTTTTTTTGCTCCTTTGTCATTTGTGCCTGAAGAAGTTCTCGCTACGGATGAAATATCGGGCCACTCTAATTTGTTTGGAATATCTCAGGTCAATCCATGCCGTCATAGTGCCAGTGAGCGGTTTGCAGCAGTTCAACTCACTTGCAAGAAAATCTTTTCCTGCATATGCTCTAAACACGTGGGCCAGATGTAGCACATTCATTGTCGGTTGGTAGTATTCCTATACAATAGCACCGCGCGGTTCTCAAGTGGCAGTTAGTGAGTGACTGAGTCAGTGAGTCAGTGAGATAGGTAAACGACCGTAGGCTGGCCTCTGAGATTAGCAAAATCCATCCTCTACAAATCTCACAAGGGTGCCAAAATGTGTGCAAACTAATCGACGTGACCTACTTAAATAATTTGTGACGTAAGAAAAACTGGTAGCTTATTTACCACAGGCAACAAATCAAAATATACAAACTCTCAAACTGCTCGATTTGAATTGATTAGTCAATATAATGTTCGCTGTGAATCACTGAGATCTGATACACCGTGCCCTCTGGAGACATGCACACAATAGGGAACAAAAGATTGTATACGTCTCCACAGGACAATTTCTACGTCTCCACAAGGTTTTCACAAATTAGATATATGGATTTCATTCAAAAAACTATAGGAATGTTCAAGGTCAGTTGAACTGTCGCAAATGGAAGAGTTTTAGAAAAGGGATATTCAGTCCGAATTTCAGCCAAGGATATTAATTCTGGTTAAACTAAGATCATTTTGAAAACTACACTTTCAAACTCGAAAACTTTACAACACGAGAACAAAGAAATATCTTCACAAGGAAATAAATTTCAGTGTGTCTGTTCTATAGATAAAATCTCATGTTCGTGATTTGATTTTAGCCCAATTATTAAAATACCCGATCGACCTACTCTTAAATACCAACATTTGGACAGTATATATTTCCTCGTGATATCTGCACGTACGCCTGTTTAATTAGATCAAAATTGCGTGACGTATCCGGGTTAGTGGGACACTATCAGCAAAGTTGTCTGTGACGAAGATCTGTAGACAACAGAAAACTTCCAAACCAGATCTGCATACAACGGAAAACCTCCAAACCAGATCTGTAGACAACGGAAAACCTCCAAACCAGATATGTAGACAATGGAAAACCTAAACCCTAAGAGTGCGTGTCTCAATCAAATTCTAACACACAATGTGGCCTTACACTCAGCATTCTGAGCAATTCAGAGTTGCATAGAAACAGTCCTCGACTCGAGAAGACAAATTTGCGTTATCAGTGTGAACTATGTTCAGCAAAAATCAGTGGAAACCGTTTTTTTTGCACTTAAAGGGAACAAATTCTAACACACAATGGGCCCTTACACTCAGCATTCTGAGCAATTCAGAGTTGCATAGAAACAGTCGTCGACTCGAGAAGACAAATTTGCGTTATCAGTGTGAACTGTGTTCAGCAAAAATCAGTGCAAACCGTTTTTTTTTTGCACTTAAAGGGCTCACGTACGTAACCCTTGCCTTACTAAGGACGACTTTTGTCGACAAGGAAACTAACCCCTGCTGCTTACCATAGACGATATGTCACGATTATGTTTCTTTAAGAGAATCTTCAAAATACAGGGTGAACCCTAAAATAAACCCTTAAAGCACCCTCTTTTTCACTTCTTTGAAAAAAATAAATCGCAAATATTGATACATATTGGACATGTTTATTTCAGTAGGTTTTTAACAAAAAAAATCTTTCCTATCGGAAAAATAGTTATTGAGTTATGGCCAATTCAACAAAGTGTTGCTGCTTTTTTTTACCTTGTCCATGGTCTTAATTGTCATTTTTATGTTGTGTATTTGGTTGAGGGAACTATCGCTTTCTTGACTTTTTAAGTTATTTTTATTTGTTTCTTTTTTATTTTGTTATTTTTAATTTTGCAACAATGGTCATTTTGTTTTTGGAAGAAAAATTAGTGGTGTTCCCGAATTCGAAAAGGACTTTTGTGTTAAACTTCCTAGATGTTTACTGTGCCGCTCTTCCCTCTACTTGGTTGACTCTTTCGCGAATGCAGATTTCGGCCCTTGTTCTCATTGCAGCAGTCTTAAATTTAATTGTAACAAGTCTTAAACCGATTGAAATCATGTTTTATATTAAAATGTTTAGGCCCATGGAAGAATCAAAATAAATTTGACAATTTATAAAGCTGTGAAAAAAACGGGCGCATTGAGGGTTTCTGAACAACGTTGAATTCCATATTGTAATGCAAATGTGTTCCAGTGCTTTTTATTTTCATGCTAATGCAAATGTCCATATTCATGAACAAAGTAGTGATGTCATCGCATGCTGTGTTTTCCGCATGGAGTTAAACGATTTATTCGAGGTTTTTTTTGGTGTCCTTTGTGTTTTTGATGACGAAGTAAAATGACATCAACTTTCTCAATGAGCAAATTTAATCATAATTTTTTTAATGAGCCACATTGTATATTCATAGGTTCACAAATTCCTAGGCTGATTACAACATGCCTAAACAGAGTACCGAGCACCTATAGAGCAAAACGGTGAATAAAGAAGCAGTAAAACCGTTAAAATAAAAGTTGTTTGCTAATCTCAGGGGGCCGGCGCGTAGCTAATTGACCGACTGAGTGTCTGCCTGGCTGACTGACTGACCTGATAAGTACATACACCATGTTCAATACAGGCGAGTAAAAAAAAATCCAAACCCAAATGTCGGGACTAATTTTTTATTAAAGTTCTGCATGTAGCACTTTCAAAATCTAGGATATGAAAGCCCAATTCATAAGCTCTATTTTAGTACAAGAATAATTCAAATCACTCATGCACTTTTCAAGTTGCGGAATTTTAAACACAACAACCGTTTTAAGGTTCTGTCCACGGATCACACAAAAGGTGAGCGTTCTTTCAGCAAAACAAAAACAATTCACACACATTCCTATGTGATTACTTTAAAACAATGGTCCCAAGATTTGGGTTTCGTTTTTTTTGTACTCACCCTGTATTACAGTTTATTATAGGCTACGCCGTGATTCGTTACCAGGGTCACAAACCAAACCCTATATTCGCCGAGCACAATGTAATGAGTTTTGGATAAAGGTCTTTCGAGCAATGTTATTTGCACGACCTTTGTATTATATTTTTGGTAACATTGGGTAACATTGACCAACTATATAGTAGGAACAATTTTGCCCAAGAGTGCGGACGTGAGAATGCAACATTGGGCAAAGTTATACTAACTCATTTGCAAAACGGTTTTTAAGAGCACATACATAACACGATTAATTTATCAAGGAACGAATTAACTGATTGATGCCCCTACCTCATTGGGATCATCAGTCGCCCTCCAGGAGAGAGACACGCCCCTGAAGTGGGAAGACTCCACCGTTCCTGCAAGAAACGCTTGCAGCCCCAAGAACAGAAAAGCTAACTTGAATTTGCTCTCCATCGCAATGTGCAACGCTAACAGCAAGCCCACGCCAAATGTTCCCGCAGTTCAGTGGGGTGCCTTTTTAAGTCCAAACCCTGGCCTTTAATTAGAATCGGTAAAATCTAGGGACTTTTGGATTGCGATGAAATCCGGTTTCTACGAAAGAAGACACTGTTAAAAAAAATCCATAAAAAAACTCAAAAAAACTTCAGACGCTACCATTATACAAAAAGGGGCGTATGGCAAGCAATGTTCATTTCATTAATAAATGCCAAACTTCTCTCATTTTTTTTCATGTGTGTAAAACTAACACATAACGTGATACAGCCTACACATTAAACTTTCCATACACGGAGCGTAAGAATTCTAGGCACCCTCAGCCAAAATCGATTCGTCCATTTATAATAGCCAATAGAAAATCCTTACACGACTTAAAAAAAAAAAACCTGTCTAAACTGTCAGAAGCATTTGTAATAGATTAGGATTGAACTTCTTGACCGTTGACAATGATAAATCCCGTCCTTCGATTGTCCTTAATTCAGTACAATCTAACATCCGGGATGGCACTTGAAACTCTTCAAAGCTATCCTATAGTCACGCAGACAAACACAGATTACTGAAGTGTCATATGTGAGGCTATTTATAACAAAGGATAATGTTATCAATATTTGTCAGTAAACACGATCAGTAAATAGTCGTCTGTCACTGTCTGCAGTCCAGTGACGTAAGTGTACGTGCATGGCGTTGTCATCCGGACCACCATCGGACAATTTGGTAGAGGGTTATTCAGCAACCCCGTCCCCAGTGCTTACTTTATTTCCAACCGCGTTTCCAATAGTAAACCCTGGATAGGAAACTTTCTTCCTGTATCCTGATTGGATACCGCAATTGGCTAGTAATGGATTTGTATCGTGTACTTGGTGCTATTATTCACAACGTGCAGTACGTGTTTTCGCGATCATTTGTCCACGCCTTCTCGAAAATACTTATTTCCTTTCCAATTTGCTCATATTAATATGAAATATGATACTGCATGTTGTCTCGATAAGATCGTAACAGTTTGATTTCAAAAATCGTGTTTTCGTAACTCACGCCGTGCTCGCGCTGCTACGAATTGACTCTGTATTTACCCCAGACACCGCATACAAAAACAAACGCTAATGTGTAACGCATATCCAGGCACCAGACTGTTCCTCATTTGCATACGTGTTCAAAAATCTTGCACATGCAAATGATCCAATACCAGGGTGAGAGAGCAGGTAGTGGTGGGCGCGTACTGCTTGACACCCTGGGGACGAGGTTGGTTATTCAGGCGTTCTGTGAACAGGCGCGGTTCTAGAACCAATATTATTGGGGGGCTAGCACGGTGGATCCAGAATTTTTTCAGGAAGGCGTGCTGAAATGTTGACCGGTTATTTTTTCCAGACACTTAGGCCTCCGAAAATCAATAGGTGGCGGGGGGATGGGGGGGGGGGGGGGGGGGGGGGGGGGGGGGGGGGGGGGGGGGGGGGGGGGCTCATGCCATATTTTCAATGGGGAGCGCCAATAAAATCCTAAAATCATTTACACTATATTAACTAATGCACCCTTGTCACGACTATTTCTTTAGGGGGAGACCGTTCGCTAGTACATCACAATCCTTCATTTTGCTAATGCATTTTTTTTTTAACGGAATATATTTTGGGGGGGCTAAACAAAATTGGGGGGGGGGGGGGCTACCGCCCCCCTAGGCCCCCCGTAGAACCGCGCCTATCTGTGAAGTTTGGACTGTAAAGACTGTATTCATAAGTCGGCCATATTGAATTGAAAGCGAGGTAAACTCATTATTTTTGAAACTTGCGAGTAAATGAAAATAATAAAATAAAAATTTATTACAAATTTATACCAGTCTGCTCTGAGTAAAATACAATTTGTGATTAAACAAACCTAATGTTGTAAGCCACATTAAAAATAAAATGAAAGCGAGGCTATGAACGCATCCAATCATAACATAGTCTGGCACCATTACATTCAACAGTTTACAATTTTATAAAACTGATTCAGGGAATAAGCTTCCCGTAAATAAGGTATATGGCTGAGCTCGAGTAACTTCCCCGTGTATACATGGGGCTATTCAGGCTAATCGAACGCTCTCGTGTAAGTTTTTACTTACATGCTGTGTGATTTAATCGAACGCACCCATACCAAGTTCATGAAAAAAAATAATATGCTGGGTCTATAACATGAGTTGTGACACGGACGCACGACTTCTGAATGCAAGCAGAGTATAATGTTTAATGACTAAATAATTGACAACAAAATTAATGTAAGTTTTAAACAATCATTCATGCTGCTACAGTAAATATGATAGGGTCCGTGGCTACGCTAGTCATAGTCTTGTACCGCATAGGCGTAGCCAGCGAGGGGGGGGGGGGGGGGGTAAGGGGGTATTTACCCCCCCCCCCCCAATATTTTGTAAAGACTGCCTTTTTCCATTCAAATGCCCTTTTTTTCAACGGGCTTACTCCCCCAATAATTTGTAAAGAGTGCCCTTTTTTGTACAAAGTGCCCTTTTTTTCTGAACAAGTGCCCTTTTCAAAAAAGAAGTGGTGCTCTTTTTTGTGGCTTCTGCTGTTTTGGGTGTCTTTTTCAGAATTTCGCACATGTATCGCCCTGAAAAGCACCATATATTGGCCCTTTGTGTACATAATTGTCGGTTTTGAACAGTGCCCCCATCGACAAATGGTACCAGTCCCCCTCCCGCTTTTTGATTTTACGGAGGCCAAGTGTCCGGAGAAAAAAACCTGTCTACATTTCACAACGAATGTACAAGTGAAATCCCCCCCCAATAAAAATGACCGTGCTACGCCCCTGTACCTAGACAATCACATAATAATATGAGTGTAAAACTGCAAGTCTTGCACAATTTTTTGGCAGCAATTTTGCTGTTCTAGAGTTTCGCACATTTGGCAGCTGAAAACTAGCCCATAGAAATTACATTTTATTCATAATTGTTAACACTTTTCTGAACCCTGTGCTTGCACTAATAATGACGTTGTGTCAGCCTCATATTCTAACGAGCTGTTTAAGGAAAACTAGTGAAAGCTTTGGCGCATTTTTTATAATCGATTCTTGCTTTGTAACGGTTTAAATTGCCTTATTCTATTAATTAGCTCCGCCAAGGAGATTATGTTTTCAACGGCATTGGTTGGTTTGTCTGTTAACAAGATAACTCCAGAAGTTATGGACGGATTTTCTTGAAACTTTTACAAATCAAGTTAGATTTTGGAAGTGATTTGCGTCCGAATGCAGGAATGTTTTTTTCCAGGATTTTTCACGCATCGTATGGAAAACTTTCACCCTGTGTAACCAGCTTCGTGTGCCCTGTATGCCTTACCACCCACCTAATATAACCACATAGGTCAATGGACTAGACCATTTTATACAGTGGGAATGGAAAGGTAGACCAACACAGGCATATACATGTAAACTACAAAATGTTTGAGCATATTTTATGACATTTTAAAACTTTGACCAATTAACTTGATATCTTGCAAACCAAAATAGACCACATCAAATCCATAATTGTTAAGCTGGATAGGAAATAGACATACGCATAAAAATTGAAATTTTGGGAAGTTAAATCAATAGCCTATACAGTATTACGTCACGATGGCGTCAACAACTTTTTCCTGGAACTTTGAAAGATGCCACATTTTCTTTTATTGAAAAAAATATACATTTGCTCTTTTCAGATCAACCTGAAACTTAACACAAAGACAAACGAGACAAGAAGCATTTTCACCCAGCAGAAACAGCTGTTTTGCACGTGAGTTGCCTTTTCATATTCAGACTCATCCCCGTATGTTTTGTAAACATTTTTCTTCTACAATGGCACTGTGGCATTTTTTTGAATTCGATTAATTCTTCATCCTTGGCACGCAGATAGACCATCACCCGCAGATATGTGCAGAACATTGACGTCATCATGACGTAATCTGGTGCAAAATTACAGTACATTAAATGTGCAGTTTTGAAACCCTATCTACAGAACTACAGGTGCGATTGGGCTGATATATGGCATGTACATAGGGATGTAGATAGGGATGTGTCACAGATGAAAACTGAAATGACGTCATTGGCATGATTACATAAACGGAAATCACATTTCATCATATTAGGCCTAACGGTGCATAAAATTAAGCCTATATCTATTCAACAACAAGGCCGATTGGATTGAAAATGTGTATGTGCATAGGTAGAGACATCGGTTCCGATATAGAACATTAATGATGTTTTCTGAATCACTAAAATGAGCACTAAAATGACGATAGTGACGTCATGGGGTGTGAAATTACATTGCATTAAATGTGCACAATATGAAACCCTATATTTATCTAATGGGAGACCTTGAGACGTTGGTGGCAGCATACATACCGGTCATTTTTCCATTATGAGCATGCGCGCTTCGGCTCAATCATGACGAAAACAATTGAAAAAAGACTGGTATGTTTGCTGCTATAAACGTCTCAAAAGTCTTCCATTACAATACCACTGGGTTGAAAATTGTTAAAGATAGCGACGTGTTATAGATAGAAATTTACATGACGTCATCATTGAGTCATCAGGTGTTATGCCAAGTCACATAAAAGGTGCATTATGTTAATCCATATAGTTATTTAACTTTCTGTGAACATAGACAGGGATGAATATAGATGATGACAACTGACATGACGTCGATATGATGACGTCATTTGGGTTTCACGTTACACCACATTAACAGTGCATTGTATGAAGAACTATTATCTATTTAACTACAGGGCCGATTTGGTCGAATTTCACACATGACAAAATACCCAATTCTAAATGCTAAAAATACGTTGCATAATAACGTTCGCGAAACAGCCCCGTGACGTTGCATAACATTCACTTGTTCTCTAGTTTAAATATATTCTAATTGTAGGCCTATCACTGACATTATTCAATTACGACGTTTTCTTCTGATATTATAAATTACGTTTTAAATTCATAGTGTGCAGCAAAGCGTGATTTTTTTTTATTAATAAACACAATCCTAATTGTGGCTATAGCTCCTTGTATATGATTTTCGAAACCTGGCTGATAAAAATTATATAGTCTAATCATTTAATATTTCGAAATCGTGTTCAAACCAAATAAACTTTGTCTTGTCTCAAGTTGGTCAAGTTATCTCGCTTTTAAGGCAACCTTTGAAAGTCCTGTTTTCAAGCTAGTCCTCTTCGTTCACTAACAGTGGTTGGTACGCGTAAGGGCGTGGATTGCGTTTACGCATTGCAGCAACGAGTGCGCCGAGTACCAGCACACAGCCAACCAATAGGCAGACAGTAGTCAGAAGCACTGGCAGCTGAACAGATGACATCTTCGATTTGGCTTCTAGAAAAAGCAAAAGTAAAAGGAAAAAAAATCAGTGATTTAATTCAAATGATTTAAACCAAACAACCCTAGCGGGGAGAACGACAGGGATATTTGAAGGAAAATTAATATAGTCAGGTTCCTTGTACCTCCATCCTGTCCCTACCTTTCTCTTCTTCCTGCTTCAACACTGATATCGGTCCTTGGGTGATGGCATAAGCGCGGGAACCAGACGCGGATCTGGCATGGCGTCTGCGCATGCTAAGCAGCGAGTTGATGTTACCGGTCGGACAGCCGAGGGCGCACCGCGAAGACGCATCACTGGAGTTGCACAGTATCATGTCGCAATGAACATACACCTTTAAAAGAAGACAGATTATAAACTCTGGATACGCTTTGACGTTCAAAATTGAAAACGGAGATGAAAAACATGCGGCTTTCTCAAGATTCCCTGCAAATATCAGATCTGAACCATACAACGTTTTATTTTTAAGAATTCAACTTTTTAAAGACATACAGTGTATAGGATTACAATGTACTTGCTTTTCATGAATTTTGTTCATTTCTAATAATAACACCTCTCAAAATCCAAACAATGTTCAAAACGTGTAGCCTGTTGAAGTTTCAGCTCAGTGGATATTACACTTTTTTGAGAAAACACTAAAAACCATGCACACCCCATTGATTCCAAAGCACGTCATCCACATCACTATGTACATGTATTTCCAGAAATTAGTCAACCGAGTGATTGTTGGAAATCCCCTACATTTATTGATTTCTCCTAAATCACAGCCGGCCAGACGGAATAATTTTATAGGGTGTTTAGTACCAGAACGATATTTAATCCAAGCAAGCTTTTAAGTAGGTTATATTTGTGATAAATGCAAGTGAACCTTGCCTTTAAAGGCAATATACAACATCAGAAAAAAGTACCAACTTATTATGCAATTCCTTACTGGACTGTTATAATATTGCATCCTATGAAATGATAGCACCTGGTGTGGCTGCCATTTTAAGAAAATTGAAATGTTTGTATCAATTTCCAACGATGGTCGGCTGACCAATCGTTTGTTAATACTGCCACCAATTTACCAAATTTAGTTAGTCCACATTTTGTTTGCAAGCGGTTACACATGCATGAACTGGTGCAAGCCTGATTCCCTGACCTGACAATCTACAGACTGCTTCGTTTCGTCTGTAGTAGGGTCAGGGAAACAGACTTCAAAAACAGCATTTTTTTTCTTGGTTTCCCCAGCATTTAAACACAGAACTTTATCAACATCTGCTGTAAAATACTAATCCCCAATCCATCTATTTCTGGGAATTACAGCGAAAGCAAATGTTGTATAATCTATTAAGCAACTCAAGAACATGCTGCATTCTTTGATTGAGAATCATTAAAAATCCTTTAACATCCAAACCAATGGAAATACTCACAACTTTGGGCTGATATTATAGATTGATTTTCCGGTAGAACATGGAGATCAATTGAAAACACTCAAATAACTCAAGAAACTTTCTCACTTACCAGTGGCTGGGGCAGGGTATCTACGAATGAGAAGACTTCGATCTCAAAACGCTCCACATCTGGGTCGTAGGAAGGACGGAACACCATTGTGTTATCTTCAATGCAACTGGAGAAGGTAAGAAAGACCAAAATCAGAATTATTAAGATAGAATATGCGTCAGGGTATTGTAAATTCACTGATGTCACATCAATTTCATCTATAACACGTCCCTGACTATACACGTACAAAGTTTTAATCTGATGGGACTTGTAATTCTGAAGATATATATACCTTAAAAATGGCACCATTAAGAAGACGTCACACGACGTCATATATTCGTAGAACATCTTAACTAATGGTCTTCGGTTGTGTTAAGTTTGAACAAAATCTTAACATGTAAAATCTTAACATGTAAAATGTCCAAAGTGCCATCCAGAAAATTCATGTACAAAGTCTGCGGGATAGAAAAAGAAGACGAAACAAATCGGAGGAAAAAATAAAGGTTTTTTTTCTGCAAAAAAAGTTGCAGAGAAGGCCAAAAACAAAAAGACACAACTAGGAATAAACAAATGAAACAAATTAAGATAAAACTTGGCTTTAAAAGTGAATCCTAGTCTTGTATGCACGTATATCTTGGGCATCTGGATGCGATTTTTCGTAGTCTGCTGATTAAAACAACATAAATCCTTCTAAGCCAATTTTCCATTTTTACTAGTTGAATTCCGGAATGAGAGTTTTTAACAAGTGTAGGCATAATTACCCATCTTGGATGAAAGTGTAACGGTGGAAGTCGTCTGGGTTGGAGGTTGGCGTGGCGCGACACGTCTGCACAAACAACTCCAGACCAGGCTCGCTCCACGTACGAGCCTCGAAGTACATCTTGTCACCCATTGTGACGTCAACGGGATAGTCGGCCGGCTGGTAGGGTGTGGCGTAATCGTTGCCGCGGTACATGCGCAGAGAGAAGTTGAAGGAGCCAAAACCGTCCTCGCGGAACGTGATCTTAGAGGTGTCAGGACGGAAACTAAAGCAGAAAAAATGTCAAAGAAATTAGTGTGTCACAGAAAAGAAAAGACATTTAGAAAGACCACAAGAACGAAACATGTAATACTTTTAACCAGTTCCATTGGGATTATTTTGACAAGAACAGAACGAGGCCCGGGATTACTTTTCACTCGACCTCATGCCAGGCGGGTTGAAACCATCACCCTCGGGCAAAACAATAATATTTCTGGCCTCGCTCGCTGCGAGCGGGTTGAGGACAGGTGTTTCAAATCTCGCTCCCTGCGTGTTTATCCGTAATCCGTTCCGACTACCTTTGCATGTATACAAGTCATCCGGCGTGCGTAGTTAAAAAATGTTAATGTGCTTTATTTCACTATTACCTCTGCTCAATGGTCCATAAAGCATTCCTAATACAATCTCAGCACTCTGGGGAGTATACAGCTCCATCGATGCTGGCATTTTTATTTCAGACACAATTGGCCAATTCAAACACTGTAACCTTCCCTGCTCTCACATACAATGTATTTAAATCCTGGGTGGGGAGAAACAATTATTGTGACAAAGTGTCTTGCCCAAGGACACATGCTGTGCACACTGCCGGCTGGCAACAAACCAAAAGTCGCAGAACTACCATACAGATCTTAATTGTCTCAAACGTCGTGTTGGTTGCTCGTGTACAAAGAAAGAAATTTATTGTGCTAGGCTTACCAAATCTTGAGATACTAAAAAGCATTTCCAACAAGCAGAGCCTTCAATAAATTAACTCAAACATATACATCGGGTTATAACTCAGCCTGTTTTTTCCAACAACCTAGTTCAGCGATCCCTTCCAAGTCCACGGTGCACTTGAATTTCAACATCCCGGTTTCAGGTCATAACCCTACTGAGTTACCTCAAACCTACCGTACCTCAGCTATCCCTTCCGAATCAATGAAGCACTTGAATTTCAACATCCTGGTTTCAGGTCATAACCCTGCTGAGTTCCCTCAAACCCACCCTACCTCAGCAATCCCTTCCTAGTCAATGAAGCACTTGAATTTCAACATCCTGGTTTCAGGTCATAACCCTGCTGAGTTTTTCTCAAGCCCACCCTAGCTCAGCAAATCCCTTCCAAGTCCATAAAGCACTTGATTCTCAATATATCGGTTGTGGGTTACAACCCTGCTGATCTAGTTCTCCCAAACTCACTTTATTTCGGCGACCCCTTCCAAGTCCATGATGCACTGGACGGGAATCTCAATATCTCGGTCTCGGGTTATAACACCGCCTGGGGTAACTGGAACAGCCTCGTCATGGATAACGTTGAAGAAGATCACATTCTCTCCACGAACCTAACATGGAAAAAAACCCAGATCATAAGAAACTAATAATGGGATTTGTTTTGAAGACATGTGCTTATGTTGTTGGGTAAATCGTGGAACAGGTTTTACTGTAGAATCGTTGTACAAGCCTCATACAGCTTTATTATATTACTAGATAAACGCACTGTTTGCAATAATAACAGCATCCATGTCTGCAGTTACCAGCTAAAAAGTCATGCAATGTTTACGACTTTTAAGTGGTTCCCTGCTTATTCTTCTTAGAAGATTGGGCCCAGCTGAGTGAATTTGGTAGATACGATATCGTAGACTTTACCTCCATGAAAGTGCCACATCGGTTGTAGGTCGTCGCGATTTTGACATGGCTGGCGTTGTGGTGACTTCCGACGCACGCTGGGTCCAAGAAATGCAAATGAGATGCCAAGGCGTCACCAATAACAGAGCGCGGAATGAAGACCGTCATTCCAGAGTCGGAGCAGTCCATTGTGGGCGAGGGGGGTGGTTGGGTGTTCCCATGATGGGGTGGGGTCAGTTGGTTAGTGGTCACTTTATGCACCTTTGACGTGGTAGTTTCCCAAAAGACCGCTGGTGTGGTCCAATCTAGAAAATGCAAATTCAACACAGAGTAAGTCTTATAAAATATATCTTAAAATTTGGGAAGTCGTGAAGTAATTATTCCACACATGTTTTTTTCTCAGTCAATGTATCTCATTATCAAGTGAATGTTTTTATTTTGTTCCTAGAAAACAATTACAATTCCAAACAAATACAAAATCTATATGAAAACAGTGCTTTGAGTAATTAATACACTTTTTTTTATTTCGTTCTTCAATTTTGTGGCTTAGTAGAGTTCCAACAGAATGCTCTAACAGAATCACTGGGGCACTCTAAGGGATCCCCAGGCACGCTCTAAGAGAACCCCAGGATGTTCTAAGAGAACCCCAGGGATGCTCCAAGAGAATACCAGGTGCAGTGTGTGCTGGGATGCTGCATGGGGACCCTGGGATGCGCTAAAAGAGCCCCATATGCAATCAGTGCAATGTTGCTGGGGTGCTGTAAGAAAACCCCTATGCAATAAATGCAGTTTGGACTGGGATGTTGTAACTTGAAGAGAACCCTCCTGGGATGCTGTAAGAGAACCCCTATGCAATCAGTGCTGTGTGGGCTGGGATGTTGGAACTTGAAGAGAACCTTTTTGGGATGTTGCAAAAGAACCCCTATGCAATCAGTGCAGTGTGGGCTGGATGATGTTGTAACTTGAAGAGAACCTTTTTGGGATGTTGTAAAAGAACCCCTATGCAATCAGTGGAGTGTGGGCTGGGGTGATGTAACTGAATTGAACCCTTGGAATGCTGTAAGAGAACCCCTATGCAATTAGTGCAGTGTGGGCTGGGATGTTGTAACTTGAAAAGAACCCTTCTAGGATGTAAGAGAACCAGTGCACTGACTGGGATGGTCTCAGAGATCTCCCGGTTGCTCTAAGAGAACCCTTTGCAATCAGTGTAGTGTGGGCCGGAATGCTTTAACAGAACACGAAGTTCATTTTTGCTATCAGAAACACTTTTAACACTTACCTTTAGGTGCGGATGAATGTGGGTAGTTGGCAGTTGAGGCATCGGTCCAAATCGGTCCAGGTGTAGTCGCTACAGAGAAGGAAATGAACAAATGCTTCCGTTACACCTATTTCAACCTAAAGCATTAAAGCAATTTACAAACAATGTAGTTGTAGCAAATGTTAATCTGTCTTTTGAGCAAGTTCGAGCAAGGGCTATGATTATAAAGTATGGTTCAATAACTTGTTCGAGCGAAGGATGGTTGAACTACTTCAGTCGGCTTTTTGGAACCAGAGCTAGATAGGGGCACACACTAAAAAAATGCCTGGGTTAATTTTACCCAAGCAAGGGTGAAAACTTTACCCAAAATTGGGTTGTCCTTTACCCAATTGTTTCGGTTAGAATTCTGTTCAATTTAACCAAAACTTTTGGTCATACCAGACTAAATTTAACTTGGTCTGGTATGACCACGAATGTTGGTTGAATTTAACAGGAAGTCTAACCCAAAGAATTGGTTAAAGCACAACCTATTTCGGGTAGTTGCAGTTTTCACCCTTGCTTGGGTAAAATTAACTCAGGCAGTTTTTCAGTGTGGTTGCATGGCTTGTTACCAATAAAGAACAAGGGGCACCAGGACCAAGGCGTTTTGTGTTGACGTTTTGACCACTGTACCTAAGTGCGCAGGCGAAAGTTACGTCACGATTCAACCACTATAGTCGACTAATGGTCCTTGCCCGAAAATGCTCTTGGATGCAATGCCTTATGACCTTTGACCTTGGCATGTGATCAATGAATTTGCCTGCCGTAAATGGCACCGTTTCAACCCCCTCAATGTTCAAGAATAAGACCAATTGTTGATAGGCACATTCACTTACATCCGGTCCACCATGTTGTGTACACGTTCACATCATATCCCTCAGATAACACAGGGCACGAATCGGTAGACTTAACGACGCCTTCACTCAGTGATACGGAATACCCACTGTTGGTACTAAGCGTTCCTTGAGGACGAACTTGTATAGTGTCAGGCGAAACTTGTGTGACTCTGCCGCTGAACATCCACATATTATTGTACTGATTTCTAAAGATCATGCTTGTGGAAGCCGTCTCTATGGTAACCTGTATGCCACAAAACATCAAAACAATTAGATACCAGTAGACCTCTTGATGAAGTGTATCTAGTAGAGCAAACACCACTTCCGTTTTGCTGCAAATGTAATAGTGACAACATTAGAACATCCATCTTAGATCCTCCTCTTCGATCCTTGCACTTGTACTCATGGAACACAAACAATTGTGCTTGTACAGACGTAACGGTAGAGTATGACTTATATTTTTATTAATTGTATGACTTATACTTGTAATGGTACCATTAAGGTGACACGTTATCGTAATTTCTTCGCACAATGGGAGACATCGGTCATTAGGGAGACATGTTCATGTCTCCCTAATGTCACAGACCCCCTTTAGAGGCAAAGGTTTACAGGCGCAATTAGATTATATTTGTTGCTCGTGGTCTGATTAGTAAACTTACCGAAATTCGTGGAAAAAGGACAAGGGAATATTGGGTTAGGGCACATTTAAGTTTGAAAAATTTGTGCATAAGTCTATAGGGATGTCGCCCATATGCCCAATCCAGGGTAATTAGTATTATTATTATTATTTTTAATTTCTTTACTCAGGGTATGCCCAAACAGTCTAAAACTGGTTTCCATTGGGCCCCTGCAAAAATGACCACACACATGTACATGTATAAATACAATACATGTACATTGCAATACCTTACAATGAAAGCATAATTACAATGAAAGCATAAACATGTGTATGTGATTGTCCACAACGTAGAAGAGGCAGCAAAGCTGTCTCTGCCAAAGAAGCGGGAAAGGCAAAGGTACGTAACTTGTAAAGCAAGAACCGTAGCACTATGGCCCCACACGCGTTCCCATCATGCACTTGCATACACCACACAAGTACAATAGGCCTGAGACGTAATGACGTCACGCTTTGTTTACATGTGCGCTTTCCTATGTGGTAGACGGTCCCCACTTTATCTGGCGTCCCGACTTCGCTCCCATAGGAAAGCGCATATGTAAACAAAGCCATTACGTCATTACGTTTCGGTCTATTAGGTGTCATGAAAAGTATAAATACTCAATTTAAATTTAGGGTTTTACTCACGCTCTGGTTAAACTTAAACGTCCACACTCCCAAATTTGTAGGAGCTAGAGAACCCTCAGATGGCCAACTCTGGATCACAGAGAGAGGGGCTGCACGGAAACAAACACAAATAGTATACTGTGATAGGAGACTAAATTGACTGCAGCTAAATGTGAACCAAACACAGACAGGCCTTCAAAACACAGCACCAATGTTCTACTTATTTGAAACTGTAGAACTGTACTGGACAAGGGCGGATCCAGAACACAATTTGTTGGGGGGCCAAAAAAAAAATTTGGTGCCCCAAAAAATTGGGTCCAAAAAATTACGGCGTGGGGTTCGGGGCCCGCTTAAGGGCCCCGAAAATTTTTTGGATTCTAGATGCTCTGTGGTGAGATCTGAGGCAATTTCTGACCACTTTAACCAATGTTTTTTTGAGGAAAAGATGGTGGTGTACTCATTGCCTGCCTTTATTGCGATGTCACATAAAAAAAAAAAAATTGGTTTCGTTTTGGGGGGGGGGGGGCATGGCCCCCTTTGGCCCCCCCCCCTGGATCCGCCCTTGGTACTGGACCGTATTCCGTTTTGTCAATGATATGGCTAAAGCACATCTACAAATATAGGGCTTGATAGCTACACACATGCTCAGAGCTAAAATGCTATTTTAAAGATAATACATATCTAAAGGCTCACAGGATCCTTTGCATTTATCCCGAAGTATTATCAAAAAAAGCTTATGAATTACAGATTGTACCGGTACTAAACACCCCATGAAAATTAATCCGTCTGGCGTGCTGTCATTAAGAAGAAATCAAGAACAGTAGGTGATTCCCAACAGTCAATCAATTTCCTTTTTTTTGGAAAGAGAGTGCTATTGACGAAATCGTGTTTCGTGATCAATATAGGTCGTGCGTGGTTTGTCATTGTTTTCTCGAGAAGTTTAATTTCCTGAGCTGAAACTTCAACAGGTTAGGTTTTGATAACTCTTTGGATTCTGAGTTGTGTTATTATTCATGCTATTGGAAATGGAAACAAATAACGAAAATCACATGATCCTCTAATATAACGTGTGTCTTTCAGTTTGAGTATAAAATTAGAAATGGCAGAACTGTTTCCAATATGAAATAAAACCATGACAAAATTACCTTTGACTGTAAGATACACACAACGTACTTCACTTGTAAACCTGACAACAAAGAGCAAAAAGTACAAGAATGCTTTCAAAAATCCATCATTAGGCTTTGTAAACTGTGTACTTAACATAAAGTATATTTAAGTCAAGCATAAATAGTTGAGTAACACTGTGATATAAAGTTGGTCGTAGGGCACACAAAGGTCTATTTTATAATCGATTTAAATGGTTATTCACTTGGGTGTCTTTCCATGCATCTGGTGTATACAATGAGCCGAATTTGGCCGCGTTATGGGTGATCCTATATGACAGCACTGCCCGGTTATCTCCACCAGCCAAACACGGTAAGTCACAATAATGAAGTCAGGCAGTGAGTCAGTCAGTATTCTATAGGCCATGATTATCAGTCCAGACTTTTGTTCAGGTTCGTAACACATCGGTGCGTATCACATGGTGTTGGCCTCTTTCCTGAGATTATATGATAAAACGTTCAAACATCTTTGTTCCCATGTTTAAAAGCTCACACAAAAGGCTGAAACTTTGAATTGAAATTGCCGTATTGCGTGCTGAAATGTACGTGAAATACATGCGCGAATTAAAAAACAGAGGGCGTCCTTCGCCAACACTCTACACTGGTTCCCGCCCAGAAGTATTTAAAACTTGGAATGATACGGGAACCGGTCTAAGTTCACCTCTGTGTGCGCACTTTTGCAACTGCGAACAATCATATTCGGATTCAGCAGGTTTTATTGGTATGAATAGCCAAAGTTCCATAAGGACGCATTCATGTATCACGAAACTTTTGGTTGATCATGCCAAGGCAGGTAAAAAGAGAACGAACTACAGTGTACAGTCTGGCCCTCCATGCGACAAGCCAATACGAGATTCTGACACACGATTTGAATTTTTTTCATCAAATCTAATAAAATCCACAAAGTTTTTGTAGGACTTTGAAGGATTGAGAAAGGTAGCACCTGGACACTATTGCGGCACTTGAAAATTGAATCCCTCAAAAAATGGTATTTCTAAGAGTGGAGAATTTTGGAGGAATGACCATAAATTCTGATCTTACCCATCCGAGTCCAACGCATTGAAACAAAAGATGTGAGTTCCCATTTGGCTGTCGGTTGGTGTCCACGTGGCCATGATGTAGTACTCGTCGGTCTTACCGGGCACCAGTGAAACAGCTGTTGTTGTCATGCCGACGGGTGAGGTTGTTTCCATCTCGATTATCCTGAAAATGTGACCAAATTCCACGAAGCAAGTCTGAATTTTCATTCTTAAGTTGTACTTTGCTCTTGTGATTGACTTTTGATTGTGTACTCACTGTGCATGAGAAGCCCTTGCGCGGATCTGTGCGCTGAACGTCTCCCCCGGCGCAAGCCCGTAACAGCTCCCCTGAGCCGGCGAAGGAGCTATCAGCACCGGCCTGTCATCGCAAGCACTGTTGATATTGCTCATGTACACGTTGACCAGAAACTGCAGCGGGACCTTGCTCATTGCGGTGACGGAGGATGGCGTCGCGAAGTCTTCGACCATCAAGGCAATCGCGTACCATCCTGATGATAGTGACGCTGCGTCAATGGTCACAACACACGTGCTCTATATTAGAAAGAATGACAAACGTATTCTTTGGAATGAGACAAGGAATAGACCCATATAAAAGGGCTTTACATTATATCTATCCCTGCCCTCTACCAAACAAAACAATACTTCTTGTTTCAAGCACGTCAAGTGAACATCTTCGCGCGAACAAATGACCTCTATCTAAAGTTTCAACAGTTTCCATTTAACAACTGTTTTTAATTTTCATAATTATACACTGAGTGGAAAGAGGCAATGGTGGCCAATTCTCTCATCCCAAGACACAAATGTATTCATGAGCAAAAGCTTATTTATTTATTTAATTTTTTTTTTTGGGGGGGGGGGTTATTTGCTGATTCAAGATGGGAAGTTGCCTTTACCAAATGAACCAATGTTATTTGGAATTCTCTCATAGGCATAGCGACTTTCCCCGCCTTCTACCGCTGTGACCTGGGTTCAAATCCTGCCTGTGCAAATATGTGGATTGGGTTTTCAGTCACTAATTGATTCCATGGGTTTTCCTCTAAATTATCATTCTTTGGTTTTCCTCCCACCACTTGACAGTAATTTCCTTCCACATCTGCTTGCTACCAGGCGGCAGCCCTACTTGAAATATGCCTGGGCTATCCCGGCCATTTTTGCAAACAATAATAAATGAATTGGTTTTTTTTTATATATACATGGCTATATACGGGAGAATCAATTAAAGAGGTTGTGGAATGCTCGAAGACATTTCCGTCATTTTCGGGTATTATGTAGCCTAAGGTGTGATGAAATAAAATCGACTATTGTGTCTATCATGAAATGAGTACAAAAGGTACTTTTGAGAGCTGTTTTTCAGGTCCTGTTTCGCCAGCTCTCAAAAGTACCTTTTGTACTCATTTCATGACAGACACAATAGTCGTTTTTATTTCATCACACCTTAGGCTACATATACCCGAAAAATGACGGAAATGTCTTGGGGCATTCCACAACCTCTTTAAAGTTTCCCCTTGTACTCTGACGTGGATAACTGACAGTGTGTACAAAGTACAACTGGATATCTCGTCAAATGAGTCTCAGAAACAGAGGTATGGGCAAAAGCATTTTCAATTGATGGCTATTTTGAAAAATAGCAGCAACACAGCGCACATTGACTTTTTTTTACTGGTAAAAATATGATATGCCTCGCGGCAGGACGTAAAGGGTGCATATGTCATGGACTGGTACGGTCTTTGTGTAGCATTCAATCTTGATCCTTCAAAGAAATGGTTTCGTTTAATCACTGAGGTCATATCATTATAGTTGTGCCTTGAGTCCATACTCACTGGATTAAGTACAGCATTTTGGATTTGAGTCGTGCCTCCTCTTTCAGCGCTGCTCGATGGCCAACGACATTTAATCTCGTCTCCATCTGGATCGCTTACTACAAAGAACCAGAGGGGACATCGGAATAATGAAGATCTTTATTATAACGTACATGTACACTTTCATTTGAAGGGTCATAGTTTTGAATCTGATCGTCTTATGATAACGTCATTAATTTTATACATATGCAAAAGCCCAAGTTTGTAGGTCGGTTAAAGACACTGTAGTATACCAACATTTGCTTTTGCTGTAATTTTCAGAACTAGATAGACTTGGGGCTTTTAACTGGGTATAGCAAATATTGTTACACCGACCTGTTCACACTTTTCGTTCGCAGATGCAAACACAAATTCTCAAGAGACATAAATGCTATTTTTATAATCTGGTTCCCTGACCGTACTTCAGACCCTATTCAGACGAAATGGACCTTTTATAACGTTGGGTAATTGTCAGGTTAGGGAACCAGGTTAGCTCAGTACAGATGTAGCTGGCTTGCACTCGTTGAAGGATGGGTAATCGATTGCAAACAAAATGTGGACTATGGTAACTTGGGCAAAGTGGGAGCAGTATACCATCGTTGGAAAGTGACACGAAATTCCGCTTTTCTTGAAAATGACAGCACACCAGGTGCCATGATTTCACGGGATGCTTGAGACTATTATTCACTTACAGTCAAGTATGATATTTTATAATAATTTGGAAGTTTCCTTCTAGCTGTTTGCAAAATTTGTATATTATACCTACATAATTCCTTCCATTTCTGGAATGGAAGTGGTCTTGTGAATGCAACGTGAACGCCCAACCCTGTGGAATAAAATGTAATCCAAATTTACCTGGAATGTTCAGAGTTGCATTGCATCCTCGCTGTATGCGGTATATCGGCACCCATGACGTGACCGGGGATGAGTTGATGACGCCATTAGCGCGAGGTGACAAATCAACGTGAGCTTGTGCACCGTATGATGGTTGACCTCCATTGCCAATTGAAATCCAACAACAATTATCAAAACTGCATGAAAAACCACAGTTGAAAAGTTCTGTCAGCCTCAGCAGTCACATTTTTTTTCAGTGGGGAGGGAGGGGGGCCTTGCCCGGGAAGGGGGTAGCGGTAGCCAGGGTGGATTCAAACAAAATGGTCACACATTTGCAGGGGCAGATTGGCCAAGTTGAAAATTGTTCCAAATAAGAAAAGGGAGGGATTGGAGATTTGCTGCATTCAGACTGTTTGGTTTTCACCAGATTACATTCCAAAGTTTAAACTTCAGGAAACCAATTTTTCAAGAATATTAGCAAGAACCTATGTTACGATAAGCTGTAGAGAGGACGTCCAATAAAACTATTCGAGAACTATTTGGAAATGGGCCCAATTGGGCTATATAATGGGCCTAATTGGGCTATTTGATTTTTTTGTTTTTTGTTTTTTGTTTAAATAACATGACATTAAATGGAAAGACCATACAAGTAGAACATCAACGTCCACACAACCATCCTTTAAAAACTGGGCGTTTTGTTGGTGTTATTCTTGCGATAACCAAGCGAGAACGAATTTCGGACGTCACAATTTTGTCCCCAGAAAATCGAGTTGTAAGGGCTATAATTGTGAATCCAGCCTCAAAGTGTTTTGAATTCTGCGGACGTGTAAGACTAAACATTGTGCATTGGTAATGTGTGTATTTTTTTTTATGTACCACACCCCGTCTACGCTTTATTGAATAGAGACGACTTGAAATTCGTAAGGGTGTGCCACAAAATGATCGCAGAAACGCACATAAAGATGGCGCAGCAAAATCGTACCCATGGGGAACGAGGTTGCCTTCGAGTGAAGTTAGTCTAGCAAAAGCTAAAAAGGAAAGTAAAACGTCAATACTTTCAGGTTGTAGCAAATGCGTTCAAGTAATGGCGTTTGCCTCATTTATAGTCATACAGATGCGAAACGCTTAAAAACTGGTTGTATAATAGCAGATGCTAATTTTTATTCATACGACCCTATTCGCACCCACCTTATGTCGAATGAAGTCAATCCTGGATCGATGGTAAAATTGGTGTGCCCAACACCAGACTGCCAATCTTCAGCCACACTGTAGTCCGTACATTGGTAATCCAAGTTCGCTATATTTCGGCTGCTGCACTGATCACATTTTAGCACCTCGCCACGGCTGTCGACCAGGGTGTCATTACCGATGTGCGTCTCGTCGCATTCGTTTGAATAGATCGAACGACGCCACGCGATCCACCAGTTGATATCAATCTGATTAAAAAAAAATCATCTTAAATTCCCAAACTTGTGCTTGAGTTTAAGGTGTGCCTTAGGCCAAAAAAAAATGTCTCCGGTTTCTGGTATGCGCGCGCGTTGCCGTAGCCATGCGCGTCGGCAAAATGAAAACTTTTTTTTTTCAATGAAAGATGATGTCTGACTGGTTTGACTGGAATCCTGCTGCTGCACAATTTTAACGTGTTGTTAGATTGGATTATGGTCGAGAATAAGCTTTATGTGGCCTCTCTGGACTCCCATCTACTTGCACAAAGTTTAGTCGGGCACCATTTGCAGTCATCAGCCGACATTTCAATGATTTAAAGCAAAACAAATCAGGAAAAAAAAAAAAAAAAGCCGCGTCGCCGCACCACTTTTTGGGCAAGCTCCATACCAGAAACCGGAGACTTTTTTTTTTGGCCTTAACAACGTGTAACTACATTTTACTGTAAACATAATAGCACTGTAAAACTTTTATTGTAAAAATTACAGTAATTTACTGGCAGCTCAGTTGCCAGCCGTTTACTGTAAATTTTACAGTAACAAATGTCATACTGTATTTAAGAGAAAAGGTAAATTACTGTATTTTTTACAGTAAGAGTGGTACTGCTGTGAAATGCTCACCGTAAAGTACTGTATAATTTATACAGTAAAGTTGATCTTACTGTAAAGCTTTTTACAGTAACGTACAGCTAAATGTACAGTAATCTTTACAGTAAATAACATCATACTGTATTTGCATACAATAGTAAATTGCTGTTTTTTTTACAGTAAGAACAGTACTACTGTTTACATTACGGTACTGTACAGCAAAAACTTACAGTGCAGTACCGTATAATATACAGTAGTGGTGATCTTATTGTAAAGTAATTAACAGTAATTTACAGCTGGATTCTCAGTGACCTTCAAGTTTACAGTAATCCAATATTAATGTTCCAAGATACAAAGCTGCCTTTCCACGTTGAACTTTTGTTCTTTTATTGCGTCAATTGTAACAATGATAACTAATACAAATACAAAGAAGTTTCATTGCAATATGTACATGTATCTTCAAATATCCCACTTCAAATCAGGGAAACGTCTTTCATCATGGCACCATTTACTTCGTAATTAATTTCATGATCGTTAAGCACTCATGATGCCGTCTTCTAATCAGTGTGCACTATATACAACTTATATTGTGCATGTTAACATTATGAAAATGAGAGGGAAAAGCAATGCCTTTCTTGTATTATGTAGTAATATGAAAATGATTTAATATTACAAATAACCAATTTACACTGTACAGCAATTTAAATTTGACGTAACTTTAATGTTGGCACATAAACTCTCCCCCAACATACACGCATGTTCATGGGCACGGTGTAAATCGAGGATATTCTTTGTTACTCAGCATCATTTTTTATACTCTTAATTTTTTGACAACAAATTTTGGGCATGTTTCTAACCGAGGTCATCCTCAATTTGACCCCTGACCTATATATGATGCTACATGTTCGTGTCCTTAATTAACTCCACAAACAAACCCTACACACCTACTAAGCCAAATGCTCAATTTTCAGACTTAAAAACCTGACAGCCCTTCAGATACGCAGACCATTAAAAAAATACATATTTCCAATTACATTTCACAGTTAAAATTTGACTCTTCATTCTATTAATGCCATCAATTTAAATGTACAGCTAGGGTGAGTAAACAAAACCCCGAAACCCAAATGTTGGGACCAGTGTTTTAGTGAAGTTCTGCATGTACAGTGTAGCACTTTCAAAATCTAGGATATGAAAGCCCAATTCATATGCTTTCTTTTAGTACAAGAATCATTGAAATCACTCATGTACTTTTCAAGTTACAGAATTTAAACACAACCGCCGTTTTAAAGTTCTGTCCACGGATCACAAAAAAGTTCAGTGTTCTTTCAGCAAAACGAAAACAAATCACATAGTAATGTGTGAATTGTTTTAGTTTTGCTGAAAGAACGCACACCTTTTTTGTGATCCGTGGCAGAACTTTAAATATATTTTTGTGGGTTTTATAATATAGTCCGAAACAAAATTAAACAGCGCAGTCACCAAACCCGTTTTGAATTAGAAAAACACATTATTGTTTGAGGTATAGTTATTAAAAATGTTTTAAAAAAAACTTTAGTACTTACAGCTGTACAGTTGAAAAATAAATCAGAAATGATGAAATACCATGAGACTTTTTTAATTTAATGAACTTTTTAAAATCATGTTGTATTTCAAGAACAGTGGACAACAGCGCAAATATCTAAGGTTGCCGCCAACAATAATTTTATCACTTGCAATTTTCTAATTATATCCTTTTTCAAACCTTGCATTTTTGGAACTTCCAAATCAATTGTATTTCAACATGAGATATCGTTTGTGCAAACTGACCTTCGACATGTATGTTTGAACCTTGTTTTTTTTTTAGGAAGAAAACTATTTTTCACCATTTTGGCATTGGAAAAATAAATCAAATGACAAGACAACGGCGTATAAGAATAATAAAAGTTCTGCAAACTGCTCACTGACTGAAAATTGACCTGAAATATACCAGTCAAAAAATTGTAGTGACCTGATATATTTCGTCTTGGCTCCAAGACGAAATATTTTTAAGGTCACTATAATTTTTGATTAGTTATATACAACAAAGGACTTTTCCATTTCACGCAGCTTTGCCTGATGAAATGGAAAAGTCCGGATTTGACCTTGTGAGTATGTTCCCTTTACACGCTATTACTATTAGAGCTACCGGTATTGGATTTTCAACATGTCCACTCATGGTCGGCCAGTTTCCGCACAAAGGTTGCCACACGACAATTTATAAGTTCACGCTTTCGTTGGACTTCTTGGCCTGTGCGTTTGCTTTTACCCTTTGCTGTACATTTTGAGCCAGACTCCGGGTTGATTCGCATGAAGCATCTGTAAGTAAATACATAATATTGCTATAAGGTTAAAATATCAAAAATGCAATTAAATTAGTTTGGTGAATTACTTGTTGCATAGTATCTTGGTAAATATTTCTAAAATTTGTCAAACACCAAAAATTGAAAACAAGCTGCACTGTTTATGTTATCTCTTTGATTTGACTTCACTTCTCTACAATAAATCAATCATTTGACACCCCCTTCCAGTTTGACGCAATGATTTGCCTGAACCCCTGAAACCCAGAGGATGGAAAACCTTTCCATAGTACTCAAAACAGAGGCTCTTCAATTTGGGAAGGCATGCATTTAGAAGGAATGACTGCAAACGTTATTGCTGACACACCCTTATATTTTTTTCACGGATAACTCAACGGTTGACGTGAGAGGAATGTGCTCCATTTTACTCTGTATAATTGACAGATAAAACACTCTGATTGAGTATTAGAGCCGCCAAGAAAAGCATTCGATATAAGCTTAGCACATTACCTCTGTATGAACTCCAGTGTCGTGGCAGCTTCCGCCTGGTACTCCAAGTTTAGTATGTAGTATGAACCAAACAAGAAGGCCAGGCCCGTCATAAAGTCCGTTGAACTCGAAGCGCACACAACTTTTCCCTCAATGCATAGCATCCATTTGAGGGCTGTCAAAATGGAATTCCCTAGAAAGGATAAGATGAAAAAAATTAAAGGAATAGAGATATATAACACATGTATAAGCCAATGTGCGCAAGTGAGATGCTTGAATTTCTTGGGTAGCGCTGTCAATATTGCCCAGTATGAATTTCTTGTTGGTGGAGATTGATCTTCACTACTGGCGTATTAAACTAAACTGCACTTGTTAAGGGAAATTGACTGCAAAATATGGAAATAAATATCCAGCCTTTGGACAAGAGTTTGACCACTCAATAATGGATTACATGTAGCTTTTGTTATAGAATGTCCTCATGTCACATACACTTGTGTTGAACTATGGAGTTGAAATAGTGTGTCTTTTAACATTACATGATAAGCCTTGGAAGAGGACAGAAAGTAAAAAAAAAATATCAACTGCAAATGTCTCTGTCAGTCATGTGCACAAGAATGCACATTTCAGCTAGTTTCAGCTGGTTTAGTATAGGCCTTGATAACGCCTTATTCACAATGCAAAAACGGACTTCTTTTGCATGAGTTCTCTCCATCATCTCTTGAAACCACATGGTCACTCATGGTTTCCTTAACTCGGGTAAAACTTGGCAAATCTTTAAATGAATAAATTACCTTTCATTATCAACCTTGGTGTGTTAGGCAGGTCTGGCAGAGCTTCGATTTCCGCAGCTGTGGCTGTCACCTGCAATATAAAATGAAAAAGAAAAGATTTATCACGTTATGCATTGTACTGATCATGTTGTGTTAGGCTAAATGTGTCCTTGATATAAACCTTGTTTAGAAGGATCAACATCTCACTTGGTGCAATACTGAACCACAGTTTTTAAATGGCAAAATGCAATCTTATACTGTTTAAGTCTGTTGTCAGGGACCCTTTTTTGAAACAAAAAATCATAAGCAATACCTTTGTATAAAGTTTGGAATTGGGTAACATAAATTTTGTTATTTATAAGTCACACACGCACTTTCCTGCCCCTGCGGCCCTGCGTGTATCATTTCCGAGGCAGGGTCTATAACAATGATTTAAAAATAGGCTACCATTCAATTACGTTTGAATTGAAAACAAAATCGTAACTTACGTCAGCTAACATGAACAGGGAATCTTCGGGCTCTTCGAAGTAGGCCATCATCAACAGAATGACTCCAGGATAGAGTACCTGGTGTTCATCATCCACCTCAGGAAGCGCTGACTGTATATCGGCCAAGACGTTCTTGACCTGCTTTCGAACTTGCTCGTTTTGGTGTTCCATGTAGCCCTGGATCCTTTTCCCTTTGCTCTGGAAGGCCTCGTACAAGCGCGTCACTATTTCAATGCCAGTAAGACATTTAAAATGAGCGAAAAAGCATCTTGGCACAAAGAGGAATGGCCACTTTTGCTTCAGTTCACTGATGGATGGAACTGGATCTTTGTTGTTGATGTGCTGCCGTAGAAGAAAGTACGTTAGGGACATGGTGTCATCTATCTTCTTTTCTGAAGTTCCACTTGGGGCTGGGCCATGCTGATTGAACAGCTCTTCCAGTGCACTGCGTTTTGCCTCTAAACTTTCTTCATTTTCATCGTCCGGCATTTCTTCGGGTTGCCAGTTGACACATCCATATGTGTCTACTGGCACATTGCGGGCAGGTGCACCCTCTCCAGCTTGTTGGACACTTTTGCGTCGTTTTCTGATACGTGCCATTGTATTATCCCTGTTGACGTGTTCTACTCGTGTCTTGAGCTGCATCAGCAAAGAATAGTATCCGGAACCTAATTTTTCACCTTTGTCCGTCACATCTGCAAAACTGTTTGGGTGCTTTGAAACAATTCGTCTTGCTACTGTTGAACACTGTGACTTTGTCGGGTTCAGCTGGAAGTTTTGCATACACTCAACGGTTTTTCTAACCATTTTCCGTCGATCAGCGGGTGAAGGTCGTTTGGCATTTTTAACTGCTTGAGTTATGCCAACTGGCATTTTGCTCCAAGGTATGTCCATTGTCTCTGACCAGTTTGGGGGGACACACATCTGCACTGGTGGCGTAATTGACCATGAAGTTGAAGCACCTGCTGTACTCGTACTAGCTTGATGATAATCATGCTGTGGCAGCTCTGCACCTGCAGGAGGCGTGACAGGCACATCATTCTGAACAACGCTTACACCACTGGACTGATCATTACCTATTATAGAAAAAGAATATACATCAAACCAAATACTTTTTTCTTTGAGTTCACCATCTCAACATCCAGCAGTTTTGTAATCCAATATTGGAAGAAGCCAGCCATTGCATCGTCTTCAATTCATTCCTGGTCACTGGTGACAAACTGAGACACTAAAGAGTCAGCTTACTTCATTTTTAAAACCAAACGCTGACATCAGAGGCCAGTTGCATGAAGTGCAAAAATCATTATTTTAAATGTCAGACAGTATTTTAAAAATGCTCACCTTTTGCTTTCCATGCACGCATCAGTTTACGGCTCTGGACGGGCTTAAGGAGCTCTGCCAAGTCAGATTCTTCAATGAATTGTAAGTCTTGTACTCCTTCAACACCCGACTCGGTCACCTTGTCCACGACAGCCAATAGCAAGGGTTCTGGCAGTGTTGGCAACACTGACTGAATTTCAAGTTTTATGAAATCCATGTTCTGAAACCTGCAACCATCAATATATGGCATGATGTAGTGGAATGAGAGACAAACCATGACTTTTGTACAGAGGTAGAGCATAGTAATCTACTAATTTATCAGCATTGATGCATAAGTACCCTACGTGGTAATTGCCAAATAAGCAATGAACGCCTAAATCTATTAAATGTACTGACTGGCATTTCCGCGTAACAAAGTAGACTGTGGAGCTACGATGAACAAGTACCAATTCAATTCTACCGAACACAATACCATCATCATTGTGATCAAGAGGCACATACATTCCTTGTTTGTATGTTGTTCCTTTGAACGTTACGCTGTGAGTAGCTACCGTGTTTCCTTGTTGAAAATTGAAGTTCTGAACACAGTTCTTAATGTGATCACCGTATGAATCTTCATGGAGTTCTAATCCTTTCTCATAAATAACTGAAGGAGGAAACAGAGAACCCGCACCCAAATACGCTTGGAGAAGTTGGTGCCTATTAGCAAGAGTACTACAGAGGTTTTTGAAGTTATGTAACTTTCTTGCACACTCCTTAAAGTATGAGTGTTTACTCTCGAACCGTAGGGTCCATAGGCGAATTAGTGGTCCAAACTGATGGATGAGTTGAGGATAGTGAGCGAGGAAGTGGTGTTTGGGCTTCAATGACTTATCAGGAAAAGTTGCACTCCTACAACAAAGGTATTCTTCAATGAGAACTTTGAGATAAGCTATTTGATCAGAAGTAACTCTTGGTGCACAAACTATCTCCACGATTTTCCGAAGTTGTATACACAATTGCCACACTTCGTCATCCAGAGGGTCCTTGATTCTATTCCCTATCAGGAGAGGAAGCAATCTTAACAGACACCAGTTTTGACAGGCATGCCCACCTATTTTTTCGCCGTTGATATTCACTGTGCAAGGTTTGTTGTGAGAATCACTTCCCAGATATTTGAACTGCACTATTATTCTGTTTAACTGTTCATAGGTAAAATAGTTCTGGACATGCACGAAATGTTTGATGTACAAAGCGAGATCATATGAGACAACCCCTTCAAACAAATCATGACCGAGGCATGGCGGTAAGCCTGGCTGGCAAACATGAAAATAATTCAATTTATTGAAAATGGAGTCGGATTTGATGCCAAAATAAATGTTTTCTGTTGGATTGTCATTCAAGTACTGAACTGCAGCTTCATAGTTTTGAATAGTCCTCACAGGACCTAGTGATTCTGGTTTTTCATAGAACGTTTCTCTGTCTTGTGTGCAATATCGACAAAAGTACGTTGTTCTACTGAAATTCTCTGAAAATCCGCCTATACCATGGGAACCTAGGTTATCACCAGCTATTGCACATAGTGTCCCTCTTAGAAATCTGCATGTGCCTGTCTCTTTCTCTGTGATGATGCCTTCAGTCTCTATCTCTTGTAGATCTTTGACTAAGCGAGAGAAAACAGCCTCATCTCCGAATGTTTTGTAATCTTGTTCTCTGCACAAAAGTACCAACTGCATATGATCAACATTAGATCTATTATGTGGCAAGAGATCCGCAAGAGTTACATAAACTGCAAGTATCTTGTGCTTCTTCTTGCCAGATCCCAATGGATTCACGACTTCAAATGAATCCTGATAAAGAATCAGCGAAAGCGAAGACGGATGTTCCCTAAGCAGACGATTGCTTAAAAATGACCTGCCATCAAACACATCCTCAAAAGTGTCATTGTTAGAAATGCGTGCGTGGGTTTCCCTGTACTGATCATTTACAGATTTCTGTTTAAATAATGCCACTAATGTGTCCTGAATGGGAACGTACTGGTAAAACCTTCGTTTTCCAGATTCACTGTCTTGACCCAAATAAATATCGATGGGCTCTACGAAATTGAATTGGGTTTTGAAGAATCTTTTACGGGTTTTATCCGATCTCAAAATGCCATTATTACAAGTTCTTAAAAGATCTCCCTTAGCAAGATCATTTGTTAAGTCTGATATTTCAATTTCACCTAAATTCAATGTAAGCAGTTTCTCTTTTAATTTTGAAAACAAATGTGACTGACCAATGTCATGAATGTTTTGAAATTCTTCAATTATATTCTGAATTATCGAGGCGGGCAGTAAATTCTTTGCTTGTAACTTCAGATAAAACTGGGCCAAACTGTTCAAATACACGTCTGGATCAACAGTGGAATTGAGATCTAGTTCTTCGGCATCCTCATCAATAGAAATGTCGCTTTCTGTAAACTCTTCTGCACTGTCTGCAGGTTCAGAAGAGTCTGTATCTTGGATTTCACGCACAGAATCAGAAAGAAGATTGAATGTCTTTTTTTTGTGCTTTCGAGAAAGATGAGAAGAAAATGATGACTTGATCCTGAACTTCTTTGAACAATTTTTGAAAGGACATACAATTTCGACCCCGCTCTGAATGTGTTCTTTTAAATGAGCGCAATAAGTTTCTAAGCAATTACACTTACAAGTACAAACCGAACAAATTAGAGCAATGTGATTGTCCCGGTATACAACACGTGTTGTATTATTTGAGTGGTCCCTATAGATATGCGACTTAAAAGTTGCAAAATTTCTAAATTTGCGAGTGCATGAAGACACACAACACGGAAAATCAAAATTAGCAACGTTTCTGTGAAATTCAAAGTGTGTTGTAAACGCCCTTAAAGACTCACTAGAGTAATCACACAATTGACACTTGAACATGTCATTGTAATGGTCAACACAGTGCTATACTGATAGTGTCTACAATGTAAATCATAATTATGCTGTAGGCCTAATGTATATGTCCTATTTTGTTTCGCGTACCACTGTTCAGTGAGGTTTTTTGGCTCTATTGCCACTATACTTTATATACGAAACCGCTGACTCGCCAAACACTTTACCATCTCCCAAGATAAACACATTCACAGTTACAATGTCAATCCACAGTTGTAGTCCCTGCTACTGAGAAATGACAACCAGTACATGCATAAATCAAGATTCCAAGTGTAACCTGCTGTTTAGTTTCAGTTAACAGAAACCCATGACTTCTGAAGAAAGACGTTTACAAATTAATAAGAATCGCTTACATATGTTATGCAGGCAAAGCTTTGACTCTCAGATGACAAATAACAGTTGAGATCAGGAGTAAGAAAAGACAAAAATTATCTTTGTTTATCACTGAGCTCAGAGTGAACCTTGGTGACCGAGAAAAGGGGTTCCGGATGTACACTTTAGTTTGACCATGGAGTCCTTTTTTATAGCTCCATGATTTGACAAGGCTAATAACTCCAAAAATATCAGGCCACACAGTTTCGTGTGGCTAGACTGGAATGTGATGTATTAAAGTAGCAGACCAACACTCACTGGATGGCCGATCTATAGCCGCACTGTTGAAGGACGGTAGTAATCCGGTGGTTTGTCTACGAAAAAAGAAAAGAAAAAGGAACCACGCAATACTCAAAATCGATACCGAAATGCAGTGGACCTATGAATTATGACATTTAATTCAGGGAACTGCTTTCCTCCCAGATACAGCAGCAGTGATTGGAAAAAAGCAATCTGCCCTTGAAATTCACCAAGGAGTAATGAACGTTAAGTCCCAGTATAGGTACCACTGCACACTAATTCACAATCCTTTCTAAATTCTTTGAGTTCAGATTTTTCGGACATTTTAAGAAATAAAGAATAATTTGACCTTTTTTGTGACAAAGCCCCTTACAGAGAAAAAGACTGACTGCTGAAGATACACGGTCATACTGCGAATATGCACTGTTTTGACACTTATCTTAATAACATAACTTCCAATTACAAGAATACACAGTAGGTGATGATTGCTTGTTTCTTCTCATTGTAGTGTCTCAAAAAAATCAAAACGAAAGTCAGTGAATTTCAATCCAGTGGCTTGGATTTAATGGTACTACTGCTAAAGTTCAGTCAAAATTAAGCGAACTTTAAGTGCAGGTTTTCCCGGCAAATAAAAATAGGTCAGGCAACCAATTTGTGACAAAATCGCCAATGCTCCTCCCAAGTTTTAATGTACTTTCAGATTGTTCCACATGTGTTTGAGCTGAAAGTTTGGTCATAATGGTCAATCAAATCCGCAACATTTGCAAACATCATAAGACAAACTACAAAATTATTCTGAAATACCTCTCTGAACTTTCTTTGACCCTAAGTAAATTACAGTCTAAAGCCTCGTGTAAAATCGTGGCATCTTGTGTGCTGACAATTTCAAGAAAAGTGGAATGTCTGTATCAAGTTTCAACTTTGGTCGGCAGTGTTGGAAAAAAAGGCTTTTAAAAAAAAGACTCCGACTTACCATGTTTACTTAGTAAGCTTTGAATGTTGTTTGCTATCGATAACACAAAATCATAAAAAGTGTACGAGCCAGTTCCCCAACCAATTCCGACTGTTATTGCTCCAATTTCAATTTGAGAGGGAACAGGGAATCAAGCTACATTATACTTCTTGGATTTTGTGACATCTAATGATCTTTACAAACACAAGATTTTAGACAATATTCTGTATTCAATCTTTTGCAGTACATGTGTATTTGGAAAAATCACATTTTATTTTGAATGCATTCTGGTAGGTACTACTTAATAGAATGAGCGGAAATTAAAGTCTCATGCAATAACCATTGATCAAACGGAAAATAAAATTGAAATAACACTCCAACCAAGTCTGACATCGAATACAAACCATGGGAATGGAAATAAATAGCTTAATAATTCGCTTAGTTTCCATATAGATGTAGGATTATGTTTTAGAATTTGGCTAGCCGGGAAAACCTACAAATCTACGAAAATCCATAAAAAGAAGTCTAAACACACAAAAATGAGACTCACCTAAGAAAGCACATCCAACAATCCTGTAATGCGAAAGAGCAAGCTGATCTTTCCTGGTTTGTGCCGATTCCAGCTTAGGAATGATGATGTGGCAAGGTGGACAACTGACCAATATACTATTTGCCAACCTCATGACCAGCCAGCCCGCCAAAAATGTAACGGTCCAACGTGGCACTCTCAAGGGAAGACCGTGCGGTCAGATCGTACAGCAAGGTTATAAATGGTTTCAAGGAGAAACCTCTACTGAGGCAGCAAATCACCCCACAGTTCAGAAGCGAATGGCAGTTAAAAAAAAAAAAACCTTTATAGGCCTATATCATGAAAATAAAAATGACAAAACATGGAACTTAAAATGAAATTAATCTAAGTGTGAAAATACAAAGTGATCCGATAAAAACCTGACCGAGTAGGTCTTGGAGTAAAGTACACTTTGTAAACCCAGTACAACAGTCGGGGGATATATAGTTTAAATTGCCCTTCACGGACGTATAATCACTGTATCAGTGTGTTACTGTTATCATGATTGCAGCAAGCATCAATTTTGCACTGATTTCCTACGGACATGTAATAATTCAGGAAAAAGATATAACAGTACACATCAAATCCGTGAAGACAAGATATCGGCTGGTAATTAGCCTTTTCACTCCTAGCACTTTACGCGATACGGGGCGATACTATATTCGCTTCATTTTGCTGGCTTAAGCTTGTTTAAGCTTGTCTACAGTACGATACTGTAAAAAGAAATTACTGTAAATTACTGTAAATTACTGTAGACATTACTGTATAATTTAATTTTTTACAGTATTTTACAACTAATACAACGGCTCCTATCAATGTACTGTACTTCACAGTAAGGTACTGTAAAACAAATATACAGCACACTACTGTGGGAAATTACAGTAAGATACTGTCCAAATTACAGAAAAGTTTTACAGTGAGGCTTACGAAATCGATTGATAGACTGGTTTATTAAAAATCATCGTGGCGGCACATGCTAAATTAAGATGACAATACAATGTTGAATCATTAAAAACGAAAAAACAAAATTAATACGAAATTTACACAAGCATGCAATAAGAAATTTTATTAAAAATCATCGTGGCGGCAAATGCCGAATTAAGATAACAATACAATGTTGAATCATTAAAAAAAAATCAATTAATACGACATTTACACAAGCATGCAATAAGAAATGAAATAAAATAAAATCTGGACATTCGTTTGTCTTCGTGTAGTTAAGAAAAACTGGAAGGTAAAACTAATTTTACTTGCACTGTGTACACTCTTTGAACTCATTTCTTTTCATGATTTTTTTGAGTTTCTTGATTTTCTCTTTGTTTTGCGACTAATCCAAAAATGCCTCTAAACCTGATTTCCAGAGAAGGGGAAACCTTGTACAAGCATTACAATCACTGTGTGGACTTCCGAACAAAAGAGGTCCACATAAACCAGGTAGCAGCGACGTTGTGTGGACTTGCCCACGTCCACACAGTGTTTCCCTTCTCTGGAAAACAGGTTTAGAGGCATTTTGGGGTTAGGTTTATCCGTGGTAAAATAAAAGAGAAACACTATTCAAAGGGAATCATAGAACAACAATTGTGTTAAAAGAGTTTTTACAGTGTGAGTAGAATGAGTTTTTTTTTCACAGGTACACGAAAACAAATTTGTCCACACTACGTATGTGTGTAGACATGGGCAAGTCCACAGAAGGTTCACACTTCCAGCTCTCCGTGGACCTCTTTTGTTCACAGGTCATATACATGTATATGCAAGGTTAGAGCACGCTCCCCAGAAGGTTCAAAGAAAATGCTAGGCCACCCATGCCAAATTTCTTAAATCAAACCAGTACAACAAACGTAGTTAAAGCAGTTTTGCTACATGCAACATACTTCTTTCTGTCAATCATTTAATGCAAGATCCATTTTTGTCTGTCTTGCTTGAATGGCCTCACAGCCGTTCCCAAATCACCTGACTTCTTGCCGTCGGATTGCCAAATATTTGCTTTGGAATACATTGACCTACATTTGTGGCACCAAAGACCCATTTTCGTTATGTTGCACACACCTGTCTGAATTCTTCTTAAATCAACTTCATAATCGCGTGACTGTCTGTGACATGAATTTCAAATCGACGACGATAAACTTTTCTCGACCTGTAGAGAAAACTTTTCAACCCTTTGAGTGTGTATCACAATGGGAAATGTATCGCAATCAAGTGCCCGCTCCCTTGGCAGTGGAATAATTAAGAGTTGCCTAGAACTGCCTGGGCCTTACAAGTGGATTCAATGCTGTTATCATTATTGTGAGTGTGTTAAACACAAAGCTTATTAAAGGGCAACGTATCGTACATTTTTCATGGAACCTTTAAAAGCACCTTTGTGTCCCATCCCACCTTTTTAAATTTTAAGGATGTTCAGATCTTTTTTGTGCAAATGTGAATTGTTTTATGTTTTATAAGCAAAACAGTTGATGCATTGGTGTTTTAGTTGCTGCACCATAAAACACCGAGTTTTGCGAATAAATTCCAAGCTAATACTTTTTGAGTGGAAGGGTGGAATTGTTTTCTTGTGTCAGCCCATTTTCTTTTCATGACAGCCTGTAATTGAGTAAATGCGCCCAAAAGTCTTCAATTAGCTATGCATTCATAACGTCACTTACTTTACTACGGGGCTTACTGTATGCCGAGATTTATCAAGATTAAAGTCTGTATATTGTCAAAAGTGATTTCGAAACTGAACAAAGTTGATGGTATTTGGGATTGAAAAACAAGGAAGAAGAAAAAACAAATTGTAGAAAAGACAACAACTGGAGATTGCGGTTGTAACTGAACAACCACAGCGCTATTCCCAAAATACTTTTGATTGTCTATTGGACGGTACAAAATGATTTAATGATTTATCAAAAAAACTGTCACTTTCATAATGGAATGAAATTGGTAACAATAACAATGCTACAAATTGGTTGCGAAATACATATGAACTGGTGAGATACCAAAAGTCATAGCGTTTTGTGTGTCAGTTATTTATCGAGACTGAGCGCAGTGCCCTGGACAGCCCATAATAATACAATTTTCAGTCCGTGACGTCATCGGCAGAAATACGCCATCTTGCCAAACGTAGGTTTTCATTTCGCTGCGTCTTTTGGTTTATTCCACACTTTAGGCTAAACTACCCAACGGGTACACAACGAACTGAGAGAATGCGTATACATGATAGCTTTTAAACATTGTTAGTCCATACATGCCGACACAAGCACCATAATTTGCACACAGTTCTGCGCTTCAGAAATGGCAAGCTACGGGTTATATGATTTTTCCCCCGACGATGCAACAATGTAACATCCATAAAGGAGATGTCTTAGGAGGGTGTGCAAAGCAACACTGTTATCTCCCCAATGTTTCGACAACGTACCGTAAACACAAATAATGCTAGTTAAAGTTCTCACATCCATGCTCTTTGGAAGTTGCGCTCCTAGGAGTTTTCAAACTAGGGAATAAATGTGTACTTGGCCGGTTTTGAAAATTCTGTTTAAGACCGGTTTGAGTCTGGATGTTGATGATTACTCGAGCCGAACCATTCAGTCGAAGCATTTTTTTTTTTTATAGTTGCGTTCAGATGCTCTTCAACAAGTTCGATTTTTTTTGTGTTCTGAAAGATTATTTGCTTGAATTGCTTCACAGCCGGTCCCAAATAACCCGATTTCTTCCCGCCGGATCGCCAAATACTTGCTCTTGAATATATTGACCTACATTTGTGGCACCAAAGACCCATTTTCGTTATGTTGCACACACCTGTCTGAATTCTTCTTAAATCAACTTCATAATCGCGTGACTGTCTGTGACATGAATTTCAATTCGACGACGATAAACTTTTCTCGACCTGTAGAGAAAACTTTTCAACCCTTTGAGTGTGTATCACAATGGAAAATGTATCGCGATCAAGTGCCCGCTTCCTTGGCAGTGGAGTAATTAAGAGTTGCCTAGAACTGCCTGGGCCTTACAAGTGGATTCAATGCTGTTATCATTATTGTGTGTGTGTTCAACACAAAGCTTATTAAAGGGCAACGTGTCGTACATTTTTCATGGAATCTTTAAAAGCACCTTCGTGTCCCATTCCACCTTTAAACATTTTAAGGATGTTCAGAGCTGTCTTTAAATTCCAAGCTAATACTTTTTGAGTGGGAGGGTGGGGTTGTTTTCTTGTGTCAGCCCATTTTTTTTTATGACAGCCGGTAATTGAGTAAATGCGCCCAAAAGTTTCAAACTAGGGAATAAATGTGTACTAAACCGGTTTTAAAAATTCTGTTTTAAGACCGGTTTGAGTCTGGATGTTAATGATTATTCGAGCCGAACCCATTCATAAATACCTTTTCTGTCCAAAAGTCTAAACAAGTCAAAATTATCAATTTCAACGATTTTGTTTAACAATTTTACTTCATGTTTTTCGGGACACTCCTCTAGCTACATAATGGATTGTCTCTTTCGCAAAGTAGACGTAAAAACTCCGTATAAGGATATTGGCGCGTGCGTCGCGCGCGTACTGCGCGATGTGGCGCAGAACGCAGCTGTTCATGTTGTGAATTAAGGACTATGAAATACTGACTCACTGGTGGTATTGCGCATGCTTACTGAGGTTTGTGAACGTTCAACCAATAAAAATTGACAAGCAACCTGATTTTACAGAGTCCAAATTTCATGTGACACTGGAAAAGTACTTAAGACCAGCCAGTCGGTCTTTGTCAACCGTTTAAACCGGCCAAGTGACGGGCTCTCAACCAGAGGGTCTTCGGTATTTATAAATATTTATTTAAAGCAATTTGGCTCAGTACATGTAAAAATGAGTTTTCACCGAAACATAAACTAATCGCCAACGATATTAAAGCCAAAGATGAATTTTAATTTGAATTCAGAGTATGTTTACCCAGGCTCATTCCAATATTTAGTGCCCATGTTAAAATAATTCTACCATTCACAATAATAACGTTGTTTGTGATTTTATCCCAGCAACACACGGATCGCAATGACTGGTGGATACCCCTACCTGATTGGGATCATCAGTCGCCCTCCATGAAATGGACACGCCCCTGAAGTGGGAAGACTCCACGGTTCCTGTAAGAAACGCATGCAGCCCCAAGAACAGCAAAGCAAACTTAAACCCGCGCTCCATGTCTTAAAATGAAATGCTCCGACTTGACAAACCTTCACAAACTGCTCACAGAATTCGGTGGGTTGCCCTTTTAAGGCCAAATCCGGATCTGGAAATCTAGGGACTTTTCGAGCGGAGCAAGATCCGGTTCCCACTGAAGTAGAAACTTTTCGATAAAAAAAATTATCAGAGGCTTCCATTAAACAAAAAAGGGGTGTGTGGCTTGCGATTGAGGGTCATGTCATTCATAATGTGTGAAGGCCCAACAACTGTTAATAAAAAGAACACAAGCATTTTTTTTACGCGTTCAGATGCTCTTCAAGAAATTCTGTTTGCGTTCTGTTGAAGATTTTTTCAACTTGTATTTGTTTCCATCCAAAAAATCCACTTCCCAACTCCGCCCCTTATTTTTGTGACGTCTGCAAACCGCTGCAAAAGTTCGCTTTGCGAGCAGACTGTCCCGTTCCGTACGTTATCGATACTGATTGTGGGGCGGGAACCAACCCATTCCGCGGTAACGGAATTATTGGCCGACAGCCAACAATTCGAAATTGTAAAGTAACAATTCAGTAACTTAACATAACATGATGCAATTATTTTCGGTCGCTGTTTCATTCAAAAGTGAATAACTTTTGCATTGCTAGAACAAATGGCAATGTAGACAAAAATTAGGGGGGGGGGGGTGAAATTCCAAAATAGTACGGGGCGGAAGCATCTTTACCCCCTCATCATCCAGTAGCTGTCGATAACCCCCTTAGAAGAAAATCGATTCATCCACACGCAACAGCCAATGAACAAACTGTAAACGATAGATAAAGCCGAAACGTATTGACTCTTGACAACAAATTCCCATCTTTTAACCGTATTTAACCAGGGGAAATCCGGAATCCGGGATGCCACCTAAACCTCTTCAAAATCTGATTGCATAGTAGTCACGCAATCAAAGAAAGATTATTTACGATGTCTGTGAGGGTTAAGAGCAGGGGATAATGTTATCAGTGTTTGTGCCACGATCGGCAAATATACCGTCCCCTGTCACTCTGCAGTTGTGAAGTGATGTTACGTGCAGCCTTTGTCATCACAACTGCAATCCGGTAGTGAAGTATGAAATTAGGACACTGCGAAATACAGACTCACTGCTTGTACGTACAGAGTGTCCCCCCCCCAAGGTAAACCACCAACAAATTGATCATGAATAAGCATGGGCGTCGCCAGGATTGTTTCCATTGGGGGGGGGGGGGGCAAAGCACATCTCCCCCAAATACATTGTACTTCCTCTAGCATGTTCTCAATTTATCATTTTGTTCGAGGGAGGGTGGGCGGACATTTACCCACCCTACCCCATTGACACCCCATTGACACCCATTTTGTCAAATGTGTATTTAATTAATAGCAAATATGACTTCACGCCTTTTTTTCTTTTTCTTTCCTTTTTTTCTCTCCATTTTTCTTTTCCGGGCGGGGACGGGGGGGGGGGGCGCAAACGCCCCCAGTCTTGCCCCATGCTGCCGACGCACATGTGAATAAGCTATGAACTTAAGGCAGTGTGGCCTACAGTGGTTAGGGTTCGTGACTCATAACCAGAGGGTCAGGGGTTTGAATCCAGCTGCTGGTCATATGTTGTGTCCTTGGGCAAGCCACTTCACGCACAACTTACCTCTCTCCACCCAGGAGTATGAAAGGGTACCGACATTAGCTGGGGAGTAACCTACCATGGACAAGCATTTCATGCGGGGGAGGGGAGATGAAAACATTCTCAGTCATACTACCGGAAAGTGGAGATAAACGCTGGCCTGACGGGCCACAATTGCTCGTGACAGACTTTACAGTGAAATTAATGGCCATTGACATCCATGTCATGCATCACTCGGTTTCTTGTCCTGAAAATGATATGTGAAACCTTCCAATTGAGACAGCTTGGTGTAAGACATTTCGAACACAACCATACATTTCATAACTTCATGCATGGGACATTCAAATAAACGTGATGAAAATGGGATGTACGTCCATTGACGATCTTGTGCCGCAGTACGAGTTGGACTTCGAACACCGAGTCAAATCCACAGAGTGATTCGGCGCGATTGCTCTGTCCCCAAATGTTCCTGAATGCTTGGAGGGGAGAGAGGAGGGGGGGGGGGGCGTGGTACCATTTTCATATAAGGCGCTGTTCAAACCACACAATCACTGGCACCATCGGACAATAGATGGCGCTTTCAAAGCGGCGCAATTGCTGACTTTCGAGCAAAATTAAAAGGGCAGTCGTAAAAGGCCGTCGGTAAAAAAAAAGGCACTTGTGTTAACACAAAGGCACTCTCTACAAAGTATTGGGGGTAACCGTTGGTGAAAAGAATGGGGGGGGGGTATTGTTCTTTTTTGTTTCTACACCATAAAAATACCATGTATGCAAGTTGAGTTAGACTTAATGCAGTTTCACCTTGACTAAAACCAAATGGACTCAGATGACTACCTAGACCCATATTGGTATGGGACCGGTTCTACAAGTTTGCCTTGTACAGTGACACAATAGCTTTTGAAAGGCAACGACAAAAATGTCACCGTCTTTAGCTGCATACTCCCCACTTTCATAATTGTTTTTATTGACAATGAACACTGAACACGAGCGATTTCGCAATAGGCTGCCTCGCAAATGTTTCTCATGAAGGGAGTTCACCCATTACGCAGTCAGGCCTACGCCGGCTCTAAATATAAACGCTATAAAAGCACTGTTGATCTGGATGCATTCATGTTCTGCCTGTCAGAGCCTTTTCATCACAAGTTGCTTGAACGGACCTCTAGATTGCAACTGCGCCATGGGTAAGTGTGTGTCAATATTGGTTGCATTTTTTAAATCCCCTGATTTTAAGTTTACAGGCTTATTTACTTGCAATTACCTAAAAACCTAGCCTAGCTGCATAATTCATGGAGAAAACCCAGGTTATCATACCAAAACATCTTAAATTAATCTGTGAGGTATGTTGTCTTTTAAATATTTTGGGCAAACAGTTTATCAAATTGGAAGCTACAGCTTCTCTCTTGTCTTTGTTGTTATATAATCGGGTGCAAAGTCCTATACTCTCGAGACAACTCCTGACAATGACGATATATTACGCATTTACTTAGATATTCTTTTGTTTCAAACACTTAAGGGGGGGGGGGATAATAATTAAAGACCTCATTGCTTGACTGCGTGCAACAAATAATATTAAATCCTTAAGATGTGATTTTTTTTTATTTTAAGGGAAACTTTGGGCCCAGATTCTGATGCTCCTTCTTGCTATGGCAATCGCTGGTAAGTTATTAAAGTCATTTTGAGAGCACAAAATGGCTCTCATCATACAATTTCAAACGAAATTTGTTTCCTACGCAACATTTTGAATGGAATTTTAAGCAGGTTTTTAATTTTTTTTACTCACTGTAGAACCATTTGTATGTGTAAGATGACAAGAATATAAACGAAAATTAACATTTCAATCACATAAAGTCAATGTCATGTAAAATAACCTGTATTCTGTTAAATGAATGACGTAGCTAAATACAGTGGGACTTGAACTGATTATCTTCAAATTCTCCCCAAATAGTTTCCGCTTTTCCCAATTCACATAGGGATGTATGTTAATTGTTTTCGTTCTGCTGAAAGAACACCTACATTTTTGTGATCCGTGGGCATAACTTTAAAACGTTGTTGTTTTCATTTCCGTAACTTGAAACTTTTACATGAGTGATCGACTGATTCTTGTACTAAAAGAAAGCTTGAGAAAAAGTAAAACTGCTGCAAACTGCTTACTGACTGGATGGACCTGAAATATATAAATCTTAAAATTACGGTGGCCTGACGTTGCGAACTTAGCAAGTTCTTCTTCAGCAGAGGCTAAAACAGAAAAGAAAGCTTATGAATTGGGCTTTCATATCCTAGATTTTGAAAGTGCTACATGCAGAACTTCTATTACAAATGGTCCTGACATTTGGGTTTCCTTTTTTAACTCACCCTGTATATCCTATTTTAAAATGCTCTTTCCAATTTCACTGTAATATCTTTCGGTTTACAACGCGTTTTGTAGCCCAATTAGGCGCATTTCCGGCCTTAACCACACTCTGCACGGTACGAAGATTTCTCGTCGTGTCAAGTAAGGGTATATCCCCTATTGCGAAATCAGGAGAGAACAATACGCAGTCGACATGAGTCACGCTTGTATACGTCACACGCAATGTTAGACTTGATGACAAGTCCCCAGACAGTCGTGTTTTTGTCTGTTGGCATCCACTCACACGGTGCAGCTGTTGTGTATCATGTTTTTTTTTTTTATGATTTGCAGGCTTGGACATGTCTAGGGACATGACAAACACGATATCGGACGGGTTTATGCCACTATTATACTGACTGTCAGTATAATAGAGATCAGTGGTTTATGCCCCTAGCGAAATGCATGAGCATTTCGTTTCCATAGAGATAGCCAATGGTAGCGCACCTGTATCACCTGTATCACTGAGGAAGCATCCATTATATGAGTGGGGTATCTTTTGCCAGATCACTGTACGTTTGTCTACCCCACCCCTCCTTCGAAGGATTCTCATTAAAATACCAAACCCATTGGGTATAATTTTAATAAAATTATAAAACAGATTATGGTGATCGGATGATTTTTTTCGCGACTTGACTCCGAACCCTCCCTCCCCCAAAGTTAGAATGTTGCAATCTTTATCCATTTAATATGCAGGGTTGTGGTGTTTATGTATACCTTTACTGTCATAGGTCGCGTCAAATGAAGTAGTCATCATACTGGTGGGACGGGGGCCCTTAATGGACATGTAATTTTATTTCTCGACCTCGCATTTGAAATCTGTAAATAGAACAAGCACAAAAACTTAAAATTTTGTTCGAATCCGTATTTTCTTTTCCGTATCTGTTTAGGGTCCGCCCTGAAGTGTAATTTCTGCCACAGCATTTTTGTCCCGAATCCCGAATGCAAGAAAGCTGGGACCGAGTCCAAATTTCTTGTGGAATGCCCAGCCCAGCCGGAAGGCTACGTCACACGCTGCGGAAAAGCTGACGGTATTTTGAGTACCAAAACCGGCCGAGGTAGGTTTACATACGTGCATCCTTAACCCCTACAGTGCGAAAACAAAACAATCCATTGTGTGACATCTTTACTGTATCAATGGTCTAAAATAACAGGAAGGGTTGTTTTACAACGGCAGTTTTGGAAATGTAAACATTATTGTCTCGGCAATATTTAACTGTCGCGTCGAAAATCAAATGCAAGTTTTTGTTTTAAACGAAGATAAGTTGGAATCAATCAGATGAGAAACACACAAATAATATTAAAATATTTAAAAAAAAAGCGAATACAAATACTGTCAAATAGTTTTTATGTCAGTAACTTGAGCATTAATATAGGTCAGACATAAGCCTGAACCAAAAAGCCTTAGACTCTCCTTTCAAATTCTTTATCCTACGATAAGATTATAAGGTTTTGAAACTTTTTTCAACCACCTAATTCCACATTTCAAAGATAAAAGTAGCCTACAACCCCAAACCATCAACAAACAAAAAGTACCAACACAGAAAAAGGCAACTTCAACTCCAACTCCAACCACAGAAGATTCTCTTTGTGCAGTTGCGACCGGGATCAAAGTATGCCCTAGGACAGAGCTTTAACTGAGTCGATAGGTAATTACCAAAATCTTCTTTGGAAATATTACTTTCCCACCAGGACTTATCAACATGAAAGACTTTGAACTGGAGTGTTCAAACGTCAAGTCCAGCCATGTCCCCGAGAACAAGTGCTACGTGGACAACGAGGCCATTCCTTGGTTTTACGAGACCTTGGACCCCGCATCCCGATCCTATGCTGAGTCACTCTCACTCAACGTCGAGTTCAAGGGAACCGTTTGCTTCTGCGATACCGATGGATGTAACGCAGCCTTCCCGTAAGAAATCAATCAAGCTACCCTTTCAAATGTACACCAGTTTGGCCACACACTCTCAAATTTGTATCCTTGTGGAGACATTTCTTTGTTCTCATGTACTCAAATTTGTATCCTTATGGAGACACGCACACAATAGGTAACAAAACATTGTAAAGGTCTCCACAGGGCAATTTCTATAGATGAATAGATCTCCACAAGTTTTTCACGAAATAGATATATGGATTTTACTCAAAAACTAGGAATTCCCAAGGTGGGTTGATCCGTCGTAAATGGAAGAGTTTTAGAAAAGGGATATCCGAATTTTAGCCAAGGAAATTAATTCTGGTAAAAAAAAGAGCATTTTGAAACTTCACTTTCCAAATTGAAAACTTTACTACACGAGCACTAGCACTAGTGTTCTAAGAAGTTAAACCACAAATTAAGTGTTGATTAATGTTAGTAGGACGCCCTCCTGGTATGCAAAGAAGACAATGAAGAATTGAAACACGCACCATACACAGGCTCCCCCTCACTAACCTCGTCTCCAGGGCTTACTTTATTTCCAACTTCGTTTCCAATAGTAAGCTTTGGGATGGGAACTTGCTTCGTGTATCCTGATTCAATAGCGCAATTAGTTTTGTATAGATTTGTATCGCGTACTTGATGTTCTTATTTCCAACGCTTAACGTGCATCGTTCATTGTAATTATTTAAGTCCACACCTTCTAAAGATAATCCCCCAATTTGCACATATTAATATGAAATGTGATACTGCTTATTGACTGGATAAGATTGCAACATTTTAACTTTGATTTTCTATTCGTGTTTTCGGAACTCACGGCGCGACGCATTGCTTGTGTTTTTACTCCAGACATCGACACCACATACAAAAACGAATGCTGACAGACAGGCACAGATAGGCACCAGGCTATTCGCCATTTCCAAACGTGTCCAAAATTTTTGGATAGAAAATAATGATCCAATACAGAGAGCAGGTAGTGGTGGGAGCGTACTGCTCTACACCCCGAGAACGTGGTTGCCCGCTCACTTCTCTCCGCAATGGACTACAGAACAAGGATGCAGCCGACATTGCTCCAGTGAGCTCAACCTTGTTAAAGGTAGAGTACGCCTTTGGTAATCAAGGGCGGATCCAGAACACAATTTTTTTGGGGGGGGGCCCCCAATTTTTTTTGGATTCTAGATGCTCTGTGGTGCGATCTGAGGCAATTTCTGACCACTTTAACCAATGATTTTTTGAGGAAGAGATGGTGGTGTACTCATTGCCTGCCTTTATTGCGATGTCACATAAAAAAAAAAAATTGGTTTCGTTTTTTTTTTTGGGGGGGGGGCATGGCCCCCTTTGGCCCCCCCCGGATCCGCCCTTGTTGGTAATTAATTTGTGCCTTTCCCCACGTTTGAACCAACAAAAGCGCTTAAAATCCAAAGACGGATGGTCAATAACTAACCTTATGAAGTTGTAGCTCTTGTGAATGCTGTACATTTTGAGGAAACAGTACAAACATAAATATTCACTATTCTGGATCTCGATTTCAATTCCTGCCAAGCCATATTGAATCGCGCCCTCTTGCGACACAATCCCGAAATCAGCATTCGGGACATGATTCTCATTCAGGTGGTCACCCATTCACGAATTCTCCCAATTACAAACCAAACAACAAATTGAAAAGCATGGGGGCTGATTCACGAAAATTTCAAAATCAAAATGTGTCACTTGACACATCTTTGGAAATGACCTTCTTTTGTTGCTTTCTTCAAAATGACAGCTTCCAGAAGGAATAATTTCGCGGGGAGTTTAGAGTCATCACTACTCTCCAACTAAAAGTTTTTTTCACAATAATTGTGTCTGTATAATACTTTTTGGATAGCTGCAAATGGTACGCACCTTTAAGTACATGTATTTTAGAACCGAGGCTACACAACAATCGCCAGTTTCACAATCTAAATGTCAAAAAAAAATCCCTGTAAACTGGCCACCTCTGGTGTATTGCTTGAACACGCAAGTTTTAAGATTTCAGTAATGGGAACTTCTGTAGTACAGATGCAGCTTTTACTTTAGATACATATGCGCAAGTTTAGATAAATATGCTTTGTAAAAGTAACGTATAACTACAGCTTCAGTGATTTACAACAAGATTTCAACAGAAATGTATCTTGAATATGGGTTTAAAATATCGATATTGTACTCCAATCAATGTAGTTTCACTTAATCTGTCCTGACGAGACCAATTTACATTTGCAGGAAAAGTACACAGAAAAGAAAAGAAGAAGACACCTAGATTGCTTTGGCTTTGTTTTGGCTACATTGCTTTAGTGTTGTTATAGGCATATTGCGACGCAAATAAAATAAAATGTATGGTACATGAAAGTTGAACTCTCATCTCATTTTTGTTTGTCTTTCAAGGCGTATTGACATATAGGGATGAACAGAGAAGACAATTAGCAAAGATAATCGGTTTCGGTTTAAAATCGACGCTGATTGCGTGTCTCAAAACCCACATATTCAATGAGATATTTTCATATTGGCCAAGAAAGGTTCAACTTCATAACAATAACCTCACTCCCCAACGCCCCCAGCTAGTTAAATGTATTGTAGTTGTCATCCTTCTCAAAATAAGAGCTCAGAAATGTCTTAATTTTGGTTTTCAAAAACGCTTGGTATCGTGTAATATATTATTAAATTCCTTCAAGAATGTTGGTGCTGAACCGTAGTTTGAAAGAGAGAATAATCCTGCAGTTTTAATGATTGCATATAATATAATGAATGCCTGGAAATAACTGTTTTCCATTTAAAAATGTATTCTGACGTTACTTCAACACAAAGCTGAAAAAAGCAAGAAAAATGTTTGTTATTATTGTCTTAAAAGAACCCCTCTAAACCACAAGCTTCCTAGTGTGATTTTCAACAAGTTGAAACTGTACTCATAAAAAACGGTTCCAACCATGACAGATAGGGCAAATCTATTCCTGCAATCCAATGGCATTCTTCCTCCTTGGTCACGTGACTTGGTCACGTCACTGTCCCTGGCAGCTGCCATTTGTCAATGGCAAATAAACATTGCAAAGTGGAACAATCGTTGAACATAATACCAACGTTCAGTTACAAAATAGCTTGTAAAATGTATCGACAACAGTTCTACTGTTAGCTCCACATGCCCCACTATTTTTGTTTTGTGTAAATTGACAATGAAAAATGAACGCGAGCGATTTCGCAATAAGCTGCCCAGCAGATAGGGAATTAACCATTAAATATGCAGTCATGTCTCGGCTCCAAATATAGACACTATAAAAGCACTACGTAGATCTGGATCCTTTCAGTTTCTTTCCACAAGTTGCTTGAACGGACCTCTAGACTGCAACTGAGAACTTAACATGGGTGAGTGTGTGTTGGATTGGATTTAACATTATTAATAAAAAAAATATAAGCATCCTGATAATCGTACAAGCTTATTTACTTGTAATCACTTGAAAATGCATCTGCATAATTCTTATGGACAAAATGTTACAAAATGCCATTATCATTATTTTGTCAAGTTGAAAGCAAATGCTTGATGGTAGTTATGAAGAAAAAAAAGTGTATCAAACGAAGCTACATGTCGGAGCTGCTCTAGCACCCAATTAAAGGGCCATACAACATCCCAAAAAGGGATGTCAAATAGTTTTCATACAATTAAGAGGAGTATAAAGTTGTACAAAATATGCTCCTTCGAAAGATTCACTTCACGAACCCTTCAAGTAGGCTGTCCCATTAGGGATCGTGAGTGTGGTTTTCAGTGCTACTTTAGCTCAATATCAATGACTCAGGACAACTGGCATTGTAAAGCGTTTCAGGACAGTCAAAACAATGCATCCAAACCGAACAAAACTTCAGTTTATTTCTGTCAAATCATTTTTTGTTCTTTTCAGGGAAGTATTTTGCACTTCTTCTTCTTCTTCTTGCGGTGACAAGTGGTGGTAAGTCATTCTTGTAAGATGTTTACACGATTTTAGGGGGATTTTAATCGATGCGACTCCATACGTTTTTCATCTCCACGCGAACCCTTCCTGAGCATAGAGGTTCTTAAGATATAAAGTTAAATTAATCTGTGCTGGTCATTATCGATTGATCTATAGATCATTGATATATGATTGATTGAATAGTTAATCAATTTATGAACTGATTCATTGATTCCTTGGTCCAATCCATTTATCGATGGATATATAAATGGATCGAGCTATCGATTAAAGGGGCATATATTGTCCTGAAATCGCCAAAATTTGTAAGTTTGCGATTGTTAATTTTGTTTAAGGTCTGGTTGAAAGGAAACTAACCTAATTTCTTACTGTTCCCGAGAAAAGACGAAAAAAAAACCCCCAGTTGTAATACTTCTGGCGCAGCGGACATTTTGTGGCATACGCACACGTGTTTCCAGCCGTAAACATGTTTGTCTCCTTCATGGACGTTCATCCAGCTTAATTATATATGCTAGTGTGTGTTTGTGTACACTACATGCATAAGTACACATGTTGTTTCCTACATGTCCGCAGCATGCGATGCACTGGTGAACTATTTGCGACTGGAATCCAGACTAGCACCCAAAACAGCTTGGTTTTTGACTCGAAAGTTGGACCCCCGAAATTTGTTCCCAGAAGAGTAACACAAAAAACCCGGCCAATTTCTATATGTGTGGAAGTATATATCCTACTTTTAAATGATCTTTCCAATGAAAACCATTGTGTTTACAACGCGATTTGTAACCCAGTTGAGCGCTTTGCACGGCGTAGTGTCCCTTTAATGAATTTCCATTTATTTGCCCATTCGATGTCAACAATTAACGATGCCTCATTCGATAGTCACCGCGCGTACAAACATGATACATTTTAAACACGGAACATAAAAGTAGACACGTATTTTATTAAATCAATACTTTTTTTTATGAAATCAAGCACGTCAAGTTAATTCAAGATCAGTTAAAATACGGAGGGCTTATATGCCAATATGTCATAAAAGCAAACACAAAGGGGCATATGCCCCCAGCAAAATATCCGTTCAATACACGGAACATTTCTCATTGCTTGAAAAAAGGGTGATCCCAAATTGCGAAATAGAGGGGAAAAGAAATAAAAAGAGAAAAGAAAAGAAACAAAAAAGCAGGCAAAAAACACAAAAAAACATACACACACCACTTACAAATCGCCACGTCTAGTTATGAAGGTGTTTTTTTACTACCCTGGCAAAAAAATGAGTCATCCATATTCTTTTTGTGTTACTCTTTCCCCTCGCTGCAAGTGTTTCGCAATGGGGAAATCCCCTTCTTCTTTATAATGATAGATTGATCTAAGGATCAAATAAGGTAATCCATTTATCGAAGGACTATAAATGGATCGATCTATAGATTAATAGACAGCTATATTTATCTGCCCATGAGATATTATGAAAACAGCGACGCCCGTAGTGTATTTGTAATGTGAAACATAAATATAGCGGTAACACGTGATTTGAAACAAAGTAATTAAAGGGCCATGAAAAGAAATTTGTTAGGAACATATTTTTTGCATCTTTCTACTTCTCTTCAATGAATGAAAACTGTATAAGATTCTATTTTGGATGATTCAATTGAAAAGCGCACTTCTTGAAACATTTACAATTTACCATGCCTTTCCAGACAGATAAGGCTGCTGTTTCTGTGATGTCATTTCAGCAAGACACGGATCAGTTTAGGGGTTTTCTATTCAAATTGTGAACCCAACAGTTTGCTCATTGAAAACATCGGTGAGAAAAGTTTGCTCACTGGCTCACTGTCATGAACAGCGAATCACCTTAATCCTCGACAAGTTTTGATGCTGAAATAACAGTTACGCTGCGTTTTCTGCCTGACATGGCATCGCACTGTTGCTCATGAATATGGAAATTTGCTTTAGAAAAAATAGCCAGACTAATGTACAAAAATACCATTGAAAATGGCTAAAACAAATATTGAAATCAGGTTAATAGGATACACAGGTGCATTTTTAAGGACTGCATTAAAACTATTACATTGCATGAGCCTTTTTAAATTCAAGCCTCTTTAACTAACTGAAGATTGGACACGGTGGGCGTATTTGCCCAAGTGTCATAAAAACAAAACAAACGGGCATGACCCCACCACAAAACATCCGTTCATTGAACAGAACATTTCTCATTGCTTGAAGAAACGGGGGATACCGCATTGCGAAATGGAGGGGAAAGAAACATGAAAGAGGAAAGAAAAGATGGAAACACGAACAAACAACCCATAACAAACCCAAACCCCAAACCTCTGTCTACAAATCGCCACGTATATTTACGGAAATGTTTTTGTTTACTACACTGGCAAAGATGACTCATCCATATTCTTTTGTGTACGTATTGCTCTTTCCCCTTTCTTTCAGTGTTTCGCAATGGGTAAATCCCCATATTCTACGACGACGCCAACTTTCAATGTTTACTAGCAGGGCGCCCTCAATATAATATAATATAATACAATATAATCAGTATAATGCCTGCGGCGCATGCACTGCGGGCCAATCAGAAGACCCACAACATAGGCCGACCAATTAAAGATTTATACCATTAAACTATCTCCGTTTGCACTTGTCTGTTGCATTTGGGGGTTTGCAGAGAGGACGGGTTTTAGCTCTAAAATATGAGCTTGTATTTGTCATGCACGTGAAATGTAACGTGAAAGTCGCATAATTGTCGTACGAATAGGGGAATACAGTCCTGAATCCTCCAATTTTAATACGATTTTGCATACCCCCTAGGGAGTTAAGGTTCAATTTGCTTTAGGAATAAACTTTTGGTTTGAACATCTTTGCTCATGAGGTAAGTTAAATCCTGATGTAACATCCATCCCCAAAGCTACTAGCTTTTCTATTAATTTGAGGTATCATCATGATTACCAATTTGGAGAGTTTAATATTTTTTCCCGAATTTTGGAAGAGAGGGTATGAAGCATTGTTTCAATGGCAATATTTTTACACTGCTCAGTAGCGTTTTAGACCATTATTTACATGTAACACTAGTACTGTGTTGAACGATTCCTGTTATCCAGCATTTTATTGGGTTATTGGTTTTCTTTTGCATAATAATCTGCATCACTTGTCCATCTTGTTCCTTTGTCTGTTTATGCTTTAGCTGTATTTTCGACTGTTATGCTGTTTTGCTGTTAGATTTGTTTTTGGTCAAATTGATCGACTTAATGTGTTGTATGGATCGAATTTTTAGCATCATTTCGCTGTTCTCCTCTAGGGGGCGCCCTAAAGTGCTTCACATGCCACAACGTTTTATCGCCCTTTCCTGACTGCGAGAATTCACGCAACTGGGGAATCGACCACGATGGCTGTTCATCGGAGAATGGACTGGTCGCTTTATGCGCACAAGTGAATGGAATTTTGAGCGCCGACTATCACCACGGTAGGCCTATATTACCCCACACTGTACTATTAACTTGAGAATATAATGCATGGTGAGGGTACACCTAAGTAAATAGGCCTGAAAATCCGTCCAACAAGCTCATCATGAATAAAAGTTGTAAACTCAAATTCTTAGAGAGTTCTGAGAGCCATGGAGTTGGGAAATTGAAGAGATATGGCAATACACCTCTGGCCGGAACTTGGGGCTTACAATTTCGAGCATTTAGGGTGAAAGCGGCGCTATTTAGCCACGTTGTAGAGGGACCCTTTTTTCAAGATGGCTACTTTTCCACTCTGGGAAGCAACACTCGGTTTTTTTTTGGGGGGGGGGGTCGTCTTCATTGGCTGAGAATTTCTCGAAAACTCCCACCAAAAATTGAAAAGAAAATGAAAGATGACATGTTGAGCCCGAACACCTCTGAGAAGTTTTAAAAGAATTTTGAAGTATGGGCATTTACCACTGGTGTCTATGGGATTTTTTTATACTTGTGTGAGCCCTAATAGACCAATGCTCCTTGAAGCAACTTACCCGCCATCTTGGATCTCAAAACATCACATTCTGCACTGTGGGTTTTTGCCCACTTAAAAGTAATTACCCTATTCATGAATTATTCAATGGATGTCAGGAAGTCCTTGACACAGAACTGTTTATATATATTAAGAACCAGCTACCAGTTAGAATTATTTTAAGTCTTTACTGCGCGTGCTTCATGGGTGACCCAAAATGGCGGATGTGACTTCAATCCTTGGGCATTAGCAAACAGTCTAGTTACTACAAAGATATTGTGGAAATTGTCCGGTTAAGTTTATTTTTGAAACAAAGGAGCAGGTCCGTCAGCGCCATCAGATCATCTATGTACCCCTTCGAATACTGGACTGACAGTCACTTGGCGAATTGACTTGCTCTATCTCACCATGACCCGAATTCTTGAAATAGGAATACCCTGTAGGCCGCAATGAACAGGCTTAATCTAGCAAGACGTAGTGTTGGCAACGTGCACGAAACGACTTGTGGATCGATCCAGTGGAATGCTGTGCTTTAGTTTACTAGTTTAACCTTTTCGTATTTTCCTTTTATTCCCCAAAGTTCACAGTGGAATGAAGGATGTTGAGCTGGACTGCATGTTTTTCGACCAGGGCAATGTCCCAGAAAACAAATGCTACCATGGCGAAGACGCCTTAACGTTGATCAAGGACAACACGCCCTGGTCTATGTTCCCAGCGTCAATCGACGTCAAATCCGTGACCTTCCACTTTGAAGGGAGTGTGTGTTTGTGTGACACCGACTTGTGTAACGGGGACCTCCCTAAATAAAAACCGCCAACCGCGCCCCTTTAAAATGAGTGTCTCTTCTGTTTCGCATTTGTTTTGGTTACCTTTTTCTAAAAAAAATTGCAGACATTAAAATGACATACTTTTCCGTACAGCTGATGGAGCTGTTTTTGCGATGTCATTTAAAGGGAAATTACGGGCTAGAATACGCCCTCTTGGGCTACAAAACGCCCGTTAAACAAAATGATTTAAAATGGAAAGATCATTTTTAAGTAGGGTTAAAACGTCCAAACAACCATCCTTTAAAAACTGGGCGTTTTGTGTGATTCTTGCGAGAACCATGCAAGACGAATTTCGGAGGTTACAATTTTGAATTTAAACGACTTGAATTATGTATGCCACAAAACGTCCGTCGCGCACGATGTAAGTAACAACCGGTTTTGTTTTCGTCTTCTCGAGAGCGGTAAGACATTAGATTTGTTTCTTTTCAACCAGACCTTTCGAATTGTATATTAGTAAAGAATTAAAAACATGTTATTTTCGAAGATTTCAGGCCATAATGTTCCTGTAAGGTACACACTCTAAAGTAAAAGTTCAAATTGTGAACCAAAATAATTGCTCAATGAAAACAAACTTGTGTATACAGTTCGCATATTACTCTTATTTACCGTACTGAGACTGCAATAAATCACAAAAAGGAAGAAAAAATTACCACAGCAACAAAAAAACAATACAATAAATACATTAAAAACATTCTATGATGATGCTGAAGGACTGGTTTCTACCATGAATGGCGTCACAATTTTGCTCATGAACACGAAAATTTGCATCATCTTAAAAACCGAAAAGGTGCAAAAGACACGCTTGACAATGGACATTTCAAGATAGAAACCTAAGTTAAACGAAACACAAAGGAAGAGGGGCGTTTAATGAGGCTATATTCCATCATGGTCTTTCTAAGGTTTTTTTTTATGCCTTACACTACGGTATTGCGTGCGTCCGTTTTTGTAACAATTTCATGTACATGTAGGTTTGTAGATAAATGTACATGTTCATCGCCGTAGATAGTGATTTGCTTGAAGCTGCATATAACCACTTGCTTGATGTTTTACTTAAATTTAATTAAAAGTCACAGTTAACATCGGTTCATGAAAAGTTCAGTGGACGCACATGATACTATTTGGCTTGTTTTTACCACGTTAACCTTTTCGTTACTGTAGCACCTGAAATCACCCCAGCACTCTATGGTTGTATTGATTCTTCAGTGAATAAACACATTGTAATACAATGTATTTCAATGTATTACAGACGATAATGGGTAATACTGCGTAAAAAAATCCATCGCATAAAGTAAATAAAAAACATGAACTTTTTGTCACTATGAGAGACAGTAAACGAGACTTTCGTGAAAAAAATAAAATAATGTGAGTCTACTACTTGGAGATTACCAATGTTAACGTGGTTTATAATAACTAGTCCAGCTTGCTCCAGGTTAAGTGTGTAATTTGCATATGGTTGACCAAGCACGGTTTAATTGATAACGTGGTTTGTAACAACCTGTCTAGCTTGCTCAAGCTTATTAGTGTGTAATTTGCATGGTTGCCCAAACCGCAATATCGTGGTTCATAATGACTAGTCTAGCTTGCTCCGGCTTTGTTAATTTTTGTGTTTAACTTGCATAGTTGCCCAAGCTGCATGGTTCAACTGATAAACATACTTTGACAAAATAAAGGTGTCCAAGTGAAGATAAAGTGAACTTTAATGACGAAGAAAATCAACTTGATTTAGTTTCTCCGAGAAAAACCCCACACAACTAGGCCAGGGGAACTTCATTTCTCTTCCCTTTCCAAACACTCTCTGAAAAGTTTGTGATAATCATGTTAGATTAACTGAAAAAAATGTGGGATGTCTCAGCATTGGGACATGAAAATGATACTGAGCTCCCTCCCTTAAAAGAAGTTGGTTTTGAACTGTAGCCAGAAAATTAATGAAATTACTCAGTAAAGAAATAATAAAATAATTGCAGTCAAAACAAAAGGAACATATTTGTATGCAGTCTCTTCATTATCGAATCAATTGTTTTATCTTTCTTTGCTGTAAAACCCTCTTTTTAGAGAAAACCATGCACAGAGTTTATAATCGGGTTTTGCCCAAGCCTGTACCTGGATTTTATCTCCACTTTTAATCTCCTTGTGGAGATTATCACGGTTGACCGGTCACCACCAGCACAAAACAATTATTATTAAGTAATGTACTTGACTAAATGACTAGTTAGTTTTTTTCTAAATCCTTTTTGAGTCGCCTTATCTGCACACATAAATTCCAATAAGTATAATATCTGGCGTAATATTTTCTCATGTCGAGTAATGGAACTTTTATTATTTTTCAATAATTGAAAATGACCGATGAACACTTCTCAAAGTGCCACACTTTGAACACCATTATGCCCAGTCTCCACATCTAATATCGTCATTGTAAGACAGACTTCTTTTTTTTTTTTGTCAGTGCTCTTTCCAGCATTTATTCCGATAATTTATTTCCACAGAAAGCAACGAAAAAAGCAAGACATTTAAGTGCATGTTTTGATTCATTTTAATATGCCGTCATTTTTTTTTAGCAATTTAGCTGTAATCAAGTTGAATGACTTATACATTTTAAATCTAAAAATGTTCATCGAGAATTTCTCATCAAGTTCAATTAATCTTACAAGTTCGTTGCCACTGCCAACAATGATAGGTCACGTGTTGCAAATCTATACCTGCAACCCAATCGCATTCACTCTTCCCTCGTCACCTGACCTGCCACGTTGCCTGGTACCCGGTGTCCAGCCCCGCCACAGTTTATTCCTCTGTCGGTTCCCGTTCTGCACTCGCCGTCTCAGCTTTGTTCCTTCACCACTGCTTTCCCTCGCTGGTTCCCCGGGGCTCCCCGGAGCCCCGTTCCCCTGACGACCGTTCATGAACGCCCGTATGTCACTTTCACTGGTATCGCTGCGGCGGAACCCGAACGCCGATTTCTTGGTCGATGATGCGCCCGAAGGCGAGTCCCCCCTCCGCAAGCCTTCATGCACCTCACGGATCACCTTCAAATAGTGCTCCTCGGTTTTTCCCTTTTTGATCACGGCCAAGATGTTTCCATGGTGATCGCGCCATTCTCCGGTCCTCTTATCATACGAGCCGTTGAGAGAGTGCTCCACTATGTCGGCGCCTAGCAACTCCTCGTGCAGTGGTACGCGCAGGCCCATGGTAACGTCCAATAAGATGAGGCAGATGTATGACGTCACGGCCGTCCATACGACTATGGAGACGCAGGCAAGTGCCTGGACACCTAACAACTCCCAGCCACCGCCCGCAATTAAACCTGCAAAATCAACACCAATCCAACCTACATAAGAATCCGATGTTGAAACCTTTCCCTCTTGTTTACTTGGTCTACTACAACTCGAAAACCACTCACACACACTGACAGGAAATGCAAAGAATTATGGATTGTTTGAGCCCCCCCCCCGAAAAACCCAACAAAACACCTGAGACGCATAGATGAGCAGCAGGATGAACAATATTTTGTACGTCCAGCCATGAAATGCGTTCAGATCTGCCCACATGTATAAATTTAGATTATTGTCCCCTGGGGGCGCTATACAAGAAGTCTGTGCTATTAAAGCTGTCAAGGCGCCTCCGAGGACAGTTGACGAATTACAACGCCGTGGTTTAGCAAGGCACAGTTTGGAATTTAGACCTTTTCAGTGTTATCTCTTATTCCTAATTATTTTTGTTTCCAAATTAAACAGAAAATGGTTCTGGTTCTGCTGCGGTTTGTTTGTAGGTCATACAGTCCTATCCTCTGGTTCTCCTATTTGGAAAATAAGTGGATCCGTCTTTTTCTAAGAACAAGTGTCAGTGCATATCTGTACCATTCGTTATTCAAAAAGTATCATTCCATTTAGGTTGTCAAACACACACACACACACACAGACTTACGTTACATACCTTGTGTGGACATTGCTTTGTTTTTGTGTAGTTAAGAAAACTCGGTACAAAAAATAACTTTACTTAAACTGTGAAAACTCTTTTAACCCAATTTTTTTTCTATGATTCCCTATAGTGTTTCTCTTCATTCTGCTACAAATAAACCTAACCCAAAAATGCCTCTAAACCTGTTTTCCAGAAAGGGCAAAACCTTATGTGGACACGGCTTAGTCCACATAAGGTTAACACAACCTGCATTATGTGGACCTCTTTTGTTCACAAGTCCACATAGGGTATGTAACACAAACTCACACCCACACACACATACTTCCTTTGTTCTCGTGTACTAAAATATGCAACGTCGCACACTTATGTCAAAATGCTCTTATTTTAATCATAGTTAATTTCCTGGGCTGAAATTCGGACTTAATATCCCTTTTCTAAAATTCTTCCATTTGCGACTGATCAACCCACCTTGGAAATTCCTAGTTTTTGAGTAAAACTCATATATCTATTTCGTGAAAAAAAACCTTGTGGGGTACCAAAACAGTACCCCGCAAGTCGGTGGGCATTCCTTGTGGGGTACCTCCCATTGTTCCGGTACCCCACAAGGCAGTGTTTGTACACACACACACACATTGTTTTGCATAACTTTCGAGGACAAGGACGTGTCTTTCCCTTTATTCCTATTATATAACGCTCTCATATAAGCACACAAACTCACGACTAACGTTTCAACAAACGATAAACCCCAGTATATGTCCTCAGGTTGTATAGAATTCACGAACACAAAGATTCTCTTTATGGAAACAAGTGTGTCGGTCATTACCTTTCTTGGTATTCAGAGGCACCTTCGTTCCCAGGTTGTCTTCATCGCCGAATATTCCGACGGCGAGTAGCCCCCAGATGGCGGCTAGAGCGTGAACGGGCACCACGCCCACCGGGTCGTCGATGCGAAGTCTCTCGGTGGCTTTGCAGCCGAGACACGCTATGATCGCACCCACGATGCCGATGACTAGACCGTGCCACGGCTGCGCAAGAGCGCAAAAGGCTGTCAGAGACACGGGCGAAATAAGGATTACATTGTATACTGAAGAGGATGTTGTTCAAGGAATAATATAGCAGAGGGCGCTGTTTAAGTGGCAATTAACTAATCAGGAGGGCGCTGTTGACAGAATTTCAACGTGGAGGGGACCTCTTAAGGAAGTTTAATGTGGAGGGCGCTCATCACATAATTATTATTTAGAGGGCGCTGTTTATTGTGCCGTAATATTTTTTAGGGGTGTGTTATGTTTCATTATTCAAGCGATGAACGGTTAATGCAAACTGTTGGTAAAGATTGACGGCTCTTAATCGCGTTTTTACGTTTTGTTATGCGTTATTTTGTTTTACTCATAACGAATAGATTGAGGTAGGCTTTAGCTTACTTCTTCCCTCTGCAGCTGTACTTTGACCTGAGTAGCTCGAATATTTTTATCTTTAAATGTATTGTCTGTAGTTCGAGTGGTACATTTGTTCATAGTTTTAATGAAGTCCACCATTGTCAGTTCGTAGTTATGGCCTTTAAGTTGCAAATTATGATACTGCATGCTATGGTTCACGATGGGTTTTAAACAACACCAAAATGACCTTTCTGTAGGCTTTCTACGCCACTTTTTAAACTAGAACATTAATGAAGGAACCATTTAAACCAATATACATCACACCAGTAGCGTTCTGCTAAATTAACAAAAACAAAATTACACGCACCTGATATGGCCACCAGCGACCCAAGGATACCACTGATGATGTAAGACACATCGAACTTCTTCCTTCTTGTTACATAACTAATGAGAAATAATGCATACAGTACAGAGTTCAAAGGTCAATCTTGGGTGCAACAAACGCAAACAATTGGAACACTGATCTACAGAGGGCGCACAGTCATATAAACGGCAAAGTCAGTAAAGGCAGTCAATACGCCACTCAGAAACTCCTGTTAAATTGCCACCTTTCATTTTGTTTGTTTTGAACCCTTTCGCATTTCATACAAGTAATATCCCACCACATTTTAAAATACCTGCCTATTCTAATCATGACAGGCCAACAAGTTTTTTGCACAATGGGCAAAAAAGCATATCGTCCTTTTTACTGGCTATATCGTTAGAGGCCAACTACCCAATTATGACCAAATGGAATACATCGCCTAGGTCCCAATGGGACATAATTTCACAAGCAACAACTATCAGGTATCAGTCTGAAAGTGACTATGGGGATAGTGACATCGATCGCCCGCTATCCCATGAGTTCTGGATTCAGGAGCGCCAGCAGTCGAGCATCAGACAACTATTAGTAAAGGGCAATGCGATGGCATTACCGATTGCACTGCTACCCCATGGGATCTATATACTAACCTCAGGAATATCGCGGACATACCTCCTCCTATCGAAGCTGTGATCGTTGCGACTGCCGATCTGCACAAAACGATGTAAAAGAAATTACTTGAAAAGGTTGCTATCTACCGTCACACGTCGCGAATTGCTCAGTATGGCATTTGACACTCAATCGCGCGTAAGATGATATCTGGTGAATAATGATTCACAAACCCATCCAATTTGGGCAGGATTTGTTTTTGTACATCTCTCTCGGGATTCTTGGACTGAGCCAGATTCCACATTGGGTTTGACGTGTTAATATCTCAGCTCTGTAAACAACACAAACAAGTCCAGTAAAGCGGGTCCCAGCGGGCAGAATAATCTATACAATGTATTCAGAATACCTTTGGATGCGAATCTTGTCATGCACGTGGTCTACACAATGGGCCGATTTAGCCCATGCATTCATAAACGTTAAGGTGTAATCCTATACGATAGCACTGCTTGGCTCAGATTTCTCTTAAACTCAAGTAAATGTGACAAATTGCCAGAGCGCATACACTCTTGTTTAACTATACTCTCGAGGACAATGCTTTGTGTTTCCCTTTCTCCAATAACACTCTCCCAAAGATTAAGCACACACACGTACTACAGAGGACCGTTTCGAACAAGAGACCCAACGCCCGATGACTGAAAGGATCTGTTGTTCTCCCTTTGTGTGTCGGTCCTTGGAGTTATGTTGAACACGTACATGCTGTCCACATCCCACTAACTATAAGAGGTTTCCGAGTTAGGCGGCTCTTACTAAAAAAAAAACCTGCCTTTTGGGTGTCGTTTTGTTGGAATTGTTCATCTTGATTGTGTCAACTATAACCTTAAAATAATAGTGGTTTAATCCTTTGTTGATTTATATTCTTAACTATATAAATTCATCCGTTATTTCAATTAGTTTAGTGGTGGGTGGGATGACCATTGCCTCTATCCTTCAAAACCCTCCAACAAACAGTTGCCTCGGTTTAAGCGGAGCTGATAACATTCAGCAGCTGTGCGAATGATATATCAAGCATAATGCAGGGCTCAATTTTGCATGACGGAACTTAAACAAGGGTACAACCTGTGGACTCTACACAATGCATCCTCCAAAATCAACCGACACTTTTTTGGCCTTTCGGCCTCAATCCTACAAAATCCTCATACAAAAGCATCCGGTGGATTTTGTAGGATTGAGGACGGCTAGGGCTAGTGGAGCGTTTACCAAACCTACCGTGTAGCCAGTATCCATTTCTTGTCAGTAATCCCGTAGGTACTGCCACAGTTAAATCCGAGCCAGCCCCACCTGCAAGGTTAAAAATTGTTTTAAAGAATGTCATTTAACCCTTACTCTCTGAGGGTAGTTTACTGCATGTCAGTTGGTTAAGCCAATGCCCTCCAGCTGCAGTTTATTGGAGGATACTTTGATGTAGCAGTGAAGGCTCCAATTGGCAGGAGTTGGAGGCCCTGGAGGGTGCCTGATACTGACCAGCTGGGGGCACTTGATTGTTATCAGAGGACTCTCATTGTTCTCTGTGGCATGTATTGGAGTGCCTGTCCAGTTACCCTTGAAATGACATGGCAGATATTGGAGGGCCATGCAAAAAACATAGGAGGTTTTCTTGAGGCACATATTGGCATGCGTTGGAGGGTCTAGTAGGGTAAGGGTTAAATTACATATTACTATGTTCGAGGACACAATTCCACACAGATTCACTAGGCGCAGTTGACTTCAGGCGCGCTTAAAAAAAGATCCGTTGCAAGGACAACCACGAATTGGATTTTGTTTTGTATGGCTGTATATGAGACGCAAATTGAACATTTCATTTAAAAATAGAATACCTAATACGAATACCATTTCTATTCGAGAAACCTCTATTGTAGTAAATATATAACAGTCGAGATATTTTCCATTTTTAAAGTGTCAATGATGTGAATTTTTTTGTAGGAACACATGTTGTGCAACTTAATACTCCTCTTAAAATTAATGTACGAAAACTATTTGACATCCCTTTATTTTTTTGTCATCAAAGGTGCACTTTTATAAATATTTAAATGTTTCCATGCTTTTTGGGGACAACCGAGGGCGCTGTTGCTGTGATGTCATTTCAGGAAGATGCTGTTCAGTTAAGGGGTTTGCTGTTCAAATGTGAACCCGAAAATCTGTTCATTGGAAAGATTTGTGAGAAAAACAAAATCTGTATTGGCTTATCGCCATGTACTGACACAACAACAAATCACAAAGAAAAGACCACAGCAAAATATCCAAAATCTTCCTCACTTTGTGTGCTGAAATAGCTGTAACATAGAGATTTCTGCCTGAATCGACAATACATTTTTCGCTCATGATAATGGACATTCACGTGCGCATTAAGAACAAAAAGGCACCAAAACACCCTTGACAATGGAAAAACGAAAATTGAAAATAAAGTTAAATGGGACACAAAGGTGCTTTTTAAGGATTGCATTAAATAATTTTAATAATAAAGACGCCACTATAATGCCTGTATTCTGATACAGAGGGCTCCTTTTCTGGTTGGAATAGCTATTTCAAAATAGAGAAACCTCTACTCTTATGCTCATAAGTAAAAAGGTATCTCTTTTTCAGGCTTCAAATAAATCCAATTCTGCACGACACATCTAAATTTAGTCTCAATGTAATTCACGCATATATTGACACTCAAATATACACCGGCCTTGTGTTTACCATTTCCGTGTGTTCTCTGCAAAAAATGTGTACCTCAAATACATTTCTTCGCACTTCACCATTGCCGCTGGCCTTTTTTGTATTTGGAAGAAGGGCTTTTTGCGTTAATTTCCTTCTAAAAAATATATTTAAAAACTCAGAAAATACAGCGACCTGCCACTCCGTTAAAGAACAAATACAGTGTATGAGATATAACCTGGCATACATCATGAAATAATATCATAAAAAGGAAAATTGTTCGCTGGTACAATTATTACAGACATAAGTAACATCATTTTATAATGCTCTTGGTGATGTTTTCACACTTGGTTCAATCCTATGGCTATTCTTCATTACATCTCGACAATATTTCCTTCATTGCAAAAAGTGTTCATTATTTTACGTACTTCCTTCAGCGCGACATTTTCTTGCCGAGGCAATTACCGACGCGACGAACAATTTGACTGACTGTCAACTAATGACAGCTAGTTTCAATAAATAGCCAGCAGTTTTTCTCCATCAATTCATTCCTCGACAAAGCGGCAATGCATCTCTCGCCTGTGAGCTCGTCTCCCAGGGATGCGTTGCCTTGGCAACACAGCAGAACGCAATCAAGGAGCATTGAATAGTTTGGGGGAGAAGCCACAAATAATTCATTCACTCTTGTACGCATCATTTCGTATGTGGGCGCAAGCCGAAGTAAACACGTTGATCATGCCATGCGTTAAAATAAAATAGACCGCAAGTTCAACGAGCAGACATTCGAAAATAAATTGCCCTACCCTCCTACTATTTAAACAGTCACAGAAAGTCACAATGTCCACCCACTTCCACTGCTATACCCTTTTAACACAGGCTCGTCATAACAGTCAGATCATGTGTCAAGCAAGCACTGTGACTAGTCAAATTCAGTCAACAGACCATGTACAGACAAACAGGCAACTTGTAAGCACAGCTGGCTTATCAAAGCAAAGCTGTATCAAATTACATAACGGTCACAGCAAGTCAATCCTGCTTTATGTAGGCTGGGAATTCTTAACTGTTGAAAACAGTCACTTGATTGATTCAAACAAAGCAGACTAAAATTATTCATCTTTTTTAAATAAAAGTCTATGAAGGCCAACGGTAACATAATCCTCAATCATCAAAAAGATGACATTAAAGTCCCAGGTGCATTGAAAAAGACAAAACCCTCACAGATGACACAGGCCAAAGTTTGTGGAACTTCAAATGAAATGCGATTTCAAAATTCCGTCAAAACCCGAAGTGTACTTGTGGGCGATTTGGCAATTTGAACAATGCACTGGTTCTTTTAAGAGATAATTGCAACTATTCATGAAGCATTCAGCGATAAACGTATAGATATAAAAGCTATTTATGTCACAGGAATAAAAAAAAAACACCTGACGTTGTTGTAAGAATTCGATCGCATCGTAAAACCACCTGCCGGCATAGAAATGATTGGCAGCGGATCGCGCGTATTAAATATCGTCCTTTCTTGCCTTTAAAAGAGATTATTGATCGCTTTGCTGAATCGCCTGAAAACAGGTGCTCTTTCAAAGAGAAACACACTTCTTGGTAGCTTGCCAAACCTCGAGAGGTCAACTTGTGGCCAAGTGAAGAAAAGATTCCATAAAATACCGGGCAGAGTTTATCATTTCGACAGAGGGCTAAATATATCGTTGGCAAATCTATCATGCATTAAACAGATAACCTGCCTCCGAGCAAAGACATTTATCTTGATATTTGATGAAGTTCTTATTTCGGCAAGCCATTGAGCTTTTAGCCTTTTGGCCTTTTTGGAACCAATTCCTCTATATATGATGGAAATATGCGTCGGCAAGATGTAAATTTAATACTGGGTTTTGAACTTCAGCGACGTGGCTTTTCTATAAAAGTTGTATACGCACCGTACCTTTTTCCATGCCTTGACTGTAAAGTGTTTAATCGCGCGTTATACCACAAATCAAGTATCGCACAAAAAGATTACCAGCCCGATACTGGCCCGATACTGGCCCGATACTGGCCCGATACTGGACCTCAAAAAAAGTTTTAAATTCTGATGATGCTGCGGACCTTAGGTCACGCAGCTGGTTCTCTGCTGATTCTCAACAGTGATGCAGGCACGCATTCTGAGAACTTTAACTGCTATGCATTATGAGTAATTACATTAAAAGCTGCATGGTAACAAACTTGTAGTTCGTGTGCAAAATAGTTCTGACTAGAATATGTCGAAAGAAACCATTACCCGTAGAGAGTATTGAATTGATAATCCAATATTTCCGGGTGTGCATACACTGTTTTGTATCTAACATCTTGTTGAAGGGTTGCTTTGAATTTGATAACTTCTTTTAACTGGAAACGTCTTCCCGCATGAACGAGAACTTTTAAAAATCATTGACGCGCGAGGCACAGTACTTTATCCCATTCAAAATCCAAACACGTCACCATGGTTACGTCAGGGAGAAGATTTCAGAGCTCAATGACACCATTGTATTATCGTTTAATAAAAAACAGACAAGATTTTTTTGTAGCACATCACTTTGGGAGAGTAATCATTCCTAAAAATTGAACAAAGAGCTTTACTGAAATTGGATAATTACAAAGTACAGCTAAAGTTCTTTAAATCCTTGTATGATTTTTTGTGTTTGTAATCACTTCTGCTCGTCTATAAACATATTACAAATTAGGACAAACCCGGCGTTAGGTTATGTCCGTTACAAAGCCATTAAGAGCTCTGCCAACTTGTCTTTTTAAAATAGTATACATCATTTTACTAGTAATGGTAATCATTCATTACATCACATCTCTGGTTAATTGGCTCAGTCATGGACATTACACTTCCATTTATATAACGCTAAAACTGCCTTTAGCAGTGAAAATGTGGGCCCAAAAACCCTCTTTTACCGTGAGGATCACAGGGTGTCCCAATAAACATTGTGCATGAAGAAATCGGTGATTTTCTCTAAATTTGGTCAGACTAGCTTATCAAATTTTATAGCATTTTCAAGCCTATAGTCTTGTTTATAATTGGTAAAAAAAAGCAAGAACACTTGTCCAACGTTGCAAACCAGGGATATCTTTTGCTCGTAATATTTCTCTTTAAATTGAATTTATTTACTGTTCGTTATCATTGATTATAAGTATACAGATCACTGTCTCGAATGTAACCAAAACGAGTTCAGACAGAAAATTGAGATGTTCCATAACTGCGTGCATCTTCGAAATATTAAAACATTAAACTCGGGTGCCGACCCTGATAAGGGATAAATGCCACATCACAAATGCCATGCCCTCTCCGGGCCACCATAGCATGCCGAGTGGTCCACAAATCCTTCGATAAAAGTCAGACAAGTGCATCGATGCAACTTTCTGTTTTAATGACCTCTGACACAGGCCAAGCCATGGGCGTCGCGATGGGGAGGGGGCCAAGGGGGGCGCTTGCCCCTCCCCGGAAAAGGAAAAAAGAGGGGAAAAAAGAGGGGGACAAAAAAAAAAGGGAAAAGTGGTGCGAAGCCATATTGCTATTAATTTTATGGAGGGGGGGGGGTGTCAGGGCAAATGCTCCCCTGCTCACGCTCAGAAAAATGATAAATTGAGAATATAATGAAAAAGTTAAG